AAATATTTTGACATTCGAAAATATATATTCGAGAGGGGCGGAGCTGTCAACCGATCATCACCTGGTCGTGAGTTGGATCCGCTGGCAGGGGAAGAAGCCGGTCAGAGCTGGCAGACCCAAGCGTATAGTGAGGGTCTGCTGGGAACGTCTCGCTGAGCCCCCTGTCAGACGGACTTTCAACTCACACCTCCGGGAGAGCTTCTCCCAGGTCCCGGCGGAGGAGGGGGACATCGAGTCCGAGTGGACCATGTTCTCTGCCTCAATCGCCGATGAGGCGGCTCGTAGCTGTGGTCGCAAGGTCTCTGGTGCTGGTCCCGGCGGCAACCGCCGAACCCGGTGGTGGACACCGGCAGTAAGGGATGCTGTCAGGCTGAAGAAGGAGTCCTATCGAGCCATGATAGTTCGGGGGACTCCTGAGGCAGCTGTCCAGTACCGGCAGGCCAAGCGTGCCGCGGCCCGGGCTGTTGCAGAGGCAAAAACCCGGGACTGGGAGGAGGTCGGAGAGTCCATGGAGCATGACTATCGGTCGGCCTCGAAGAGATTCTGGCAAACCATCCGGCGCCTCTGGAGGGGGAAGCAGTTCTTTGCCAACACCATGTACGGTGCGGGTGGAGAGCTGCTGACCTCGACTGGGGATATTGTCGGGCGGTGGAAGGAATACTTTGAGGTTCTCCTCAATCCCCCCGTCACGTCCTCTGTTACAGAGGCAGAGGCTGAGGATGTTGGGGCAGATACATCCATCTCCCTGGCTGAGGTCACCAAGGTGGTTGGCAGCCTCCATGGTGGCAAGGCTCCGGGTGTGGATGAGATCCGTCCTGATTATCTAAAGTCTTTGGATGTTGTAGGACTGTCTTGGCTGACACGTCTCTGCAAGATCGCGTGGCGATCGGGGACGGTGCCAATGGAGTGGCAGACCGGGGTGGTGGTCCCTCTCTACAAGAAGGGGGACCGGAGGGTGTGTTCCAATTATCGTGGGATCACACTCCTCAGCCTCCCCGGTAAGGTCTACTCCAAGGTACTGGAGAGGAGGCTACGGCCGATGGTCGAATCTCGGATTCAGGAGGAGCAGTGTGGTTTTCGTCCCGGTCGCGGAACACTGGACCAGCTCTATACTCTCCATCGGATACTCGAGGGTTCATGGGAGTTCGCCCAACCTGTCCACATGTGCTTTGTGGATTTGAAGAAGGCGTTCGACTGTGTTCCCCGGGGTGTCCTTTGGGGGGTTCTCCGGGAGTACGGGGTTGGAGGTCCTCTGCTGAGGGCCATCCGATCCCTGTATGACCGGAGCCAGAGCTGTGTTCGCATTGCCGGCAGTAAGTCAGACCTGTTCCCGGTGAATGTTGGCCTCCGACAGGGCTGCCCTTTGTCACCGGTTCTGTTCACTGTATTTATGGACAGAATTTCTAGGCGCAGCCAGGGGTCAGAGGGGGTCCGGTTCGGAGACCACAGGATTTCATCTCTGCTGTTTGCGGACGATGTTGTCCTGTTGGCTCCAACGAACCAGGACCTGCAGCATGCCCTGGGACGGTTTGTAGCCGAGTGTGAAGCGGCTGGGATGAGAATCAGCACCTCCAAATCCGAGGCCATGGTGCTCGACCGGAAAAAGGTGCCTTGCCCTCTACAGGTGGGTGGGGAGGTCCTTCCTCAAGTGGAGGAGTTAAAGTATCTCGGGTTCTTGTTCACGAGTGAGGGAAGGATGGAGCGTGAGATTGACAGGCGGATCGGTGCAGCGTGCGCAGTGATGCGGTCGCTGTATCGGACCGTTGTGGTGAAGAGGGAGCTGAGCCAAAAGGCAAAGCTCTCGATTTACCGGTCAATCTTCGTTCCCTCCCTCACCTATGGTCATGAGCTTTGGGTAATGACCGAAAGAACGAGATCGTGGATACAAGCGGTCGAAATGAGCTTCCTCCGCAGAGTGGCTGGGCGCTCCCTTAGAGATAGGGTGAGGAGCTCAGTCACACGGGAGGAGCTCGGAGTAGAGCCGCTGCTACTCCACGTCGAGAGGAACCAGTTGAGGTGGCTCGGGCATCTGTTCCGGATGCCTCCTGGACGCCTCCCTGGGGAGGTGTTCCGGGCACGTCCCACCGGGAGGAGGCCCCGGGGAAGACCCAGGACACGCTGGAGGGACTATGTCTCTCAGCTGGCCTGGGAACGCCTTGGGGTCCCCCCGGACGAGCTGGAGGAAGTGTGTGTAGATAGGGAAGTCTGGGCGTCTCTGCTTAGACTGCTGCCCGGAAGCGGAAGAAAATGGATGGATAGATGGATATATTCGAAAATTAATATTAATAAAACAATTAAATTCAAATATAAATAAGAATTAATTAAATAATACATTCGGAGACCAATATTTAAATCTAAATGTGTTCACAGTAAAGTGCATGGCTCCCACAGAAATACAGACTTTTTTCGCTATTTCAGCTAAAAACCTTCACGGTGTCTGCTGTAGAGCATCTTTAGACTACTTTTTTCCCTTGCTTTATACTGCATTACTTTCCTCATGTCATACATTGTATAATGTTCTTTTAGACATCAGATGTTGACGCTGTGCTTTTATCAGTCCATCCAAGCATAAAGGCCTGAAGTTCTGAGATTTTCATTCCAACAATACCAGGAGTGGGGTTTGAACCCACGAAGACTGCTGTCCATTGGATCTTAAGTCCAACGCCTTAACCACTCGGCCATCCTGGTATGAATAAACGAGATTGAAATGTATAATAACATCACTAACAAGATCAACTAAGGAGACAGGCAACGCAGAAAAACCTCAAATCAGCAACATCTGACCACTGCAAGTAGTAAATCATAAAATGGGAACAATGCAAAAATAATTGGAACGTAAGGATATAAATACAAGAGGTGGATCAAAGAGGCAAGTTTGAATAATGTACAATTGTATAATAAGTAATAAAATATATTTGAGAAAATTCTATGTTATCATCTGATAATTAATGTTTGATGTACATTGAACTCAAAATAAATAAACACTCAACTCAACGCGACTCAAGATGCAACTTATTTATACCATTGTTTGTTTCCCTCGGAGACCGCATACCTCTCCCAAACTGAGAGCACGTACCTCTCCATGACTCTCGGAGCAGACGGCATAGCAATTACACAGCATGCAATGACTCAAGTTATTTTTGATTTTCAAAAACACAAGCGGAGGGAGTGCACGGGCATCACAAAATACAGGTGAACTTGAGCGGTGCGCGGGAAAATAAAGTACACTGAAAAAATAACATCTTGGTCAGATTTATTTACTAAAAATAACATAAATTATCCTTATTTTTTTAATGGCAAGATTTTTTGCTTGAATTTAGTTTGTCATATAATATAATATAAATATTTTTTCCCTAGTTTTAAGATTATAATAATAGTTAATAATCTTATTAGAGAAAAAAGTCTGAGCAGTGAGCTGTATTTTTTCTTATTTCCAGACAACTTTTCTTGAAATACTTGAAATGTATGTTTTTATACTAGAATCAAGTCCTTTGGGGCAAGTATTATTTTCTTATTTTCAGAAATCTTGTCAAGTCATCTTTTCTGTTTCTATTGGCAGATATTTTTTCTTATTTGATTTACTTTCATTTTTTATTTTTTAAGGGATTTTTTTCCAGTGTAGAAAAGGTCTGAGGCTCTCTGACTTCACTTCAAAATCCTTTATGGTTGAAAGAACATTGCGACGCCTTCATCAAGGTCCGATCAAGACCGAGGTCATTTCCCTTTTGGTTTTTCACTTTTGATATTTTAATACGGTTTGGTTCACACCTTTTTGAACCACAATGCACTCGCACCTCTCTCAGTAAACGTACATTTAAGTTCTGAATAAGGAAAATGATTGGTTCAAAAACGTATTTCATATTTTCCAAATGTATTACGTACCGTATCTATTTTCTTAAATTTAAATATGTATTGTATGACATATGACACTGATATTTCTGAGGGACAAATGAAGCTCATCCTAACATTGTATACAAATTCGTTTTTAATCAAAGATTCTCAACTATGAAAAAGTGATTTTGAAATAGATAACCCATTTTTGCGCCCCGTCGCACATTACAGGAAACCAACAAGATATAGCTGTAAATGCTTTGCTTAGCTTTAGCGGTAAAATCTTCAATAAACCTAATAAAATAGACAATAATTTATTTAAAATCTATCATGTGTAAACTTTTCCGACAGAGGACAGAGAAAGCAGGACACAAAGAGAAGCTCATAACTTTCTGAAAGGTATATGAGGATTTTCTACTTCCGGGTGGATCATCAAGACTATTGGTCCTCCTAATTGTCAATCATTTTGGTAAAAAACGTGATTGTCAAATAAGACCAGAGAGTTTTGTTCAAAAAGTAGAGAATCTTTCCTAAAATTTGGGTAAATCCACCTGCATTCCTTTAAGTACAAAAGCTTAAGAAACCCTAACCCTAACCCATGTTCTCCTGGCCTCATCTAAAGACCTGGTTTCTGGGGTTAGCGTGGGTTTTACAGAGACCAGAGCGAAGCCTCATGAAAGATAACATAAATGTGTGTGTACGTTCTGATAATTCACTAGTCTCTTTACCTGCTGCTATTCTTATTATTGTTTATCTGCCTATATTATCTGCTGCTGCTAAAGTACGATAAGAATATCTATAGATGTCTCCGAATTCTCATTATTTTTGAGCCAAGTGCAATTATTAGAGTTTATTATCCTATTTCATTATTGTATTATCTATCATCTTAAATAATAGATCCTGTTTGATGTGGGCTGCTCTTAATTCTCCTTTTATTCTGCTGAAATGTGCAACTTTGACATTAAGATTTCCACTGAGGGACGATTAAAGGATCATCTTATCTTACTGTATGTTAGTTTGTTGTGCTGAATTAGGGTCTAAATCACTCAGGACTGGTCAAATTATGGAATATCATAAAAATTCAGCTCAAGGTTTTTTTTTTAATTTAGGGTACTTTTTAGCCACTTTGGTCTATTCGACTGGAGGATAGCACAAGGGTTAAAGTGTACCTGAGCTGATGTTGACATTGGTACCAGCTCCGAACAGGACGTGTCCACATGCCGCCACCGCGCAGTAGTAGGGGCCTGTGTCCTCGTAGGTCTCTATGGTGGTGGACAGACTGTAGACACATGTCCTCTGGAGCTGCTTGTCGCTCCGGCTCTCGTAAGTGTACATGACGCTGGCTGCAGAGGCTGATGCTCCGGCTCTGAACCAGTGCACGTTGCGTTTGGAAGGACACCGCTGCAGACACTCGTTCTTGGACACAACGGAACAGTTGAGCTGCACTGGATCTCCCAGAGGAGCTGAGGCCTGAGGGGTCTGCTCCACGTGGAAAAAGGGCTTCTCCTGGTCTGTGGAGTCATTCACACAACTGTTCAAACCAGCAGACGCGCATGTTCTGACTACAGTGCAGCAAGTCTCAGTATCTTTGTTCCTTCAGTTATAACAGATCTGTCTGAGTTAAACATGTGACTTTATTAATATTGTTAGTCACTTTTAGAATGATGTATTTATTTGTTTGTACGGATGGATGTGTTTCTGCTGCTGGACACCTGAACTCTCTCTCTCTGTAACTGGACTAAGGAGATAAAAGAAATTCTTACCGTCAACAATCAAAAGAGTAGAGTTGAAAAAACTCATTTTGTATGAAGATCCGGCTTGGCAAACATAAGTCGCACCATCTTCTTTCCTCACATTTAAGATGTCGAGAGTATACAAAAATCTGCTGTCTACTTCTGTGTAGGACAAAAGGAATCTTGGACTTGTAAAGTTTCCTTTACAAGTTAGCTTCCCCAGCGATCCCCCAGCGACCGTTTGGATCAGTGATTCCAAACTCACTTTGTAAAAGTACAGCAGTCCGACATCAGCCCGATTTAATGAACAGGACATAGAGAAATGACCTCCAGATTTGACGACAGTCAGAGTCATTGCCCTGTCTGCTTTAGTCTGACAGACAGCTGAGAAAACACCACAAATAATTACAATACATAACATGTCAAACATTTAAAACATGGTAGAAATGGCTCAGATGAACAGGTGTCTCACAGAACTCACCCAATGTGCTGAGCAGGATCACAGGGCCCAGTGTGTGCATCATGTGAGCATCAGTGAGGCTCTGACGACGCCTCTCACACACATGGAAGATTCTATCAAAAGGTCGCATCACCATAAATCTGCGCTTGTGCAATGAGTTCCACTTTCGCTTCCTTTCATTTCAATCCAACCCAAAAAAAAATTGTTTTGTCTGCAGTGTCCTTTTAATTAGATTGTAGGCGTTTAGCGAAAATGAAAAACACATTTATATGAAATACATTTGTTCACAATATACAAAACATAATCTTGATGTGGACTTTGAAGAGGCATTGCGCATTTTCTTTTTTCCAAACAGTGAATATATTTGAGATACCAGTGAGAGACTAGATCAAAGGTTAGGAACCTATGGCTCAAGAGCCAGATGTTCCTTTTGATGATTGTGTCTGGCTCTTAGACAAATCTTAGTGAGCATTCGTCATAAGAATGTATGGATTTCTCCAGTACAAACATGTTTTTACATTTAAATAAGAATGTATTAAATAAAAAAGTGTAAATGATTGACGTTTTCATCCTAAAGTCACCAGGAACAGGGTTAGAACCCACACAAACAACTGTCCATTGGATAATAAGCCCACCTACTAAACCACTCGGCCATCCTGGTATATTTACATGTACAAAGACTCTGACAAATCCTAGTACAAGACTGGATACAACAGGAGAAAAAGTGCAATGTCAAAATGTAAAAAAACGCCACAAGATCAACAAAGAAAAAATCAAAGCAAGAAAACCTCAAATCAGCAACATCTGACCACTGCCATCCTGGTATACAGTATAACATTGTCTGTGTGCATACAGCGCACCTAGGCTTGTGTTTTTGGTGGAGTGAGGAGAGAGCAGGGCCAACGATAAATGTTAATCCTCTCTGAGGTATTAATAGATATTTATGTATTAGATTTTCTAAGTACAAGAATGTTATTTAACAAAATACTACATTCTGAGGCTATTATTATTCTCTACATGGGTTGATCTTGATTTTTTTTTTTGATCATCTAATATTCACAGTTTAAAAAAAAAAAGTGTACGGCTAAAGTTTGGCTTATTTGGCTCTCTCAGCTAAAAAGGTTCCCGACTTCTGAGCCGACCTGAGACAGACTAGAGAGATCAGGGGAAAAAACAGAGATTCTGGTGACCACAGAGAGGCCAAAGAGAGACACGAGAGAGATCAGAGACAGGCTAGAGAGACACCAAAGAGAATAGGTCTCTGAAAAGACCCCGAAGATCATGGAGAGACTAGAGAGACACCACAGAGCAACCACAGATGGACCAGAGACCAGACTATGACCAGAGAGGGACTAGAGAGAGAAACCAGAAAAGGAGACCAGAGAGAGACTTGACTTGAGTACAGTGCTTTGCAAAAGTAATTATACAGCTTGAACTTCTGCACAATTTGTTGTAGCAGTAACAGAAAACTGTGAAGTGAGAGCAAAATGAAAGGTGATTTTGTTGATTTAATTACTGTATATCCAAATCTGTAAAGTAGGGCATGCACCAGTATTCATACAGCATGAGTTAATACTATGTGGAATCACCAGCTCCAAAATGCTCTGTATGGCTCATGGGGGTGGCAGCATCATGTTATGGTGGATGCTTTTCTTCGTTGTGGTCCTTCAATAGACAAGGAAAGACAAGGCAAGTTTATTTGTACAGAAGAGATCATTCTCAAGGCAACTACAAAGTGCTTAACAAAACAGGACATAAATAATCAAGGCATAAATGATACATACAATAATCCATTTCAGTACATGAAAAATAGTGCATATACAATCCTTCAGCTGCGAAACAGAACTGTTTTTAACCTGGATTTAAACATGGTCAGAGAAGAAGCCTAATGCATAAATCTGAAATGCTGCCTTCCCATGAGGTCGGTCCCTGTGCTTCAGAGTCTGAGTCGGTTTATGTGGCACCAAATTGCAGCGTTTTCAATTTACTGGAGCTGTTGTAGATCTCGTTTGGAGAGACCAGTGAGCAGCCATTACGGAAGTCTAACCTACTGGAGACAAGTGCAGGATAGAATTGTTGCTTTAGACTTTATATTTTGGATCTTGACGAGAGAGAGTTTTGCTTAGTTTGTAAAAAAAGTTAACTCCTCTTGCTCAGGCTTAAAAATCCTAAATTGACAATCAGTTACCTTCATTCATTCGGGAAACTCCAGATTGCTTTAGCAACCGTCTTAGCAACACGTGTGGCCCTGTTACAGCGCAAAGCTAACGCTAACGAAACAAATTCCCATATAAGGAAATTGGCTCAAGCTAATTTATGTTCAAATAGGTTTGATTGATTTTTTTATTTTCTATTTTTTTATTTAAACAAAACAGCATGAACATACATACATACATGGGGAAAAGGGGGGGGGGGGGGCTTCCGCGCTTGTGTGTGTGCGTGTTGTTTATTATTTACTTTTTAGTTTAGTTTATTTATTTAATTTTTGTGTGTACATTTATTAATTATCCAAGTGTATTGATGGGAACTTGGTGTACGTTAACCGGGGCAAGATGAGAGAGGCAAAATAACAATGACTAACAAAATAACAACCAAAAAAGAAGAAAGTAAAAGCAATAGCGATGATGGTGATGATTAAGATAACAATTCCGACGATACTAGCGTCCTTAACAGTAGCATTACTATTGGCACTTGTTAGGATCTGTCTGGTTCATTCCTGACACACTCTTCCGACAGCTTTCCTGAATAGTTTGTCTGTGGTTGTGTGGTGCATTAAAAACCTGTGTGAGATGTTGTGCATTAAAAAGGCATATGCCTGAGATGCATGTGGGAAGAGAGCCCTTTTGTATTATTTATTACACAATGTTTATTATTTAATATATTTATTCCGATTTATTATTGTTGCTTCCTCACCATCACAGTTCCCCATTGCTTATTCTATATAATCAAATAATATGATATAAGATATGTATGTAAATACTAATTGTATAATTTGTAATATTAACAGTTAAGCAGGGAAAATACAAAAAGAACAACAACAAGTGAGCAAAGTAAATAAATAAATAAAAATAATTATTACAATAATAATGATAATAATAATAATAATACTGATAATAATCCAGTCAGGCTACGTAGGAAAAATAAATAAAAATAATAAGAAGAAGAAGAAGAAGAAAACTACATTAACATTGTAATAAAAAAATAATTATCGTAACAATTAAAATTATAGTAATAATAATAATAGCAATAACAATGCGATTAGTTAATTTGTAAGACAATGTATGAGTTTGTTCCAGTTGCTGGGTGTTTCAATATTTCTGTGATTGGTGGAAGTTAGTTCAAAGGATTGGTGTTCTAGGAGGAGGTCTTTTCACTGTGGGATGCTGATTTAGAATTTTGATTTCCAGTTTAGGAGTATTGTTTTTTTGGCTATTGTTAATGCTATTAAGATTAGTTGATGGTCTGTTGGGTCTAAGGTTAGAGTGGATGTATCGCAGAGTAGGCGGTGTACAGGGCTGTGGGGGATGCAGCGGTCCATAATGGTAGAAAGGGTTTCTGTCACTTCTCAGGTGGGCAGAGCCAAAAAGCATGTATGTGTGTGTCAGTTGAGTTTTGTGTGCAGTTGGTGCATTTGTCTGTACATGGGCTGAATTTTGACATTTTCTGTCCGGTGAGGTTTGATTAAGATTAAGATTAAGATTAAGAGATCCTTTTTTTGTCCCACCGTGGGGAAATTTCAGTGTTGCATCACAAGTTATCGCTAGGAAACAACAAAACTAAATCTCTAACTCTAGCATCAATATCAAGTATAAAATCTCTATCTTGAAAATAAATAATATGAAAAAAGAAGTTTAAGAGTTTTTGGCTTCATTATGTTTTCTCATCCATACATTTGAGAACTATATATACATTACTTTTTGCATGTGTTAATAGTTTTTTTTATAACGTGACACTTGACTGATTTTAAAATATGTTGAGTATTTAATATTAAAATTAATTGGGGGAAAGTAAATCAGACAATTGTGATTGGTTAAAGTCTGTGTATTATTCAAGTAACAAACACCTTTCTTTCTTTCGCCTAAACCTAACCCACAGGATGTGGCATCTGTTTCATACACCAGAGCTTTGACTTTAGAAGTGCTAAAAGGTTTCACAGACTAAATGTTAACTCAAAGGTCATGCAAAGACTTGGTCAGAAATGTTTTCCATCGGAGATTAGAATTATGAGTAAAATTACAGATGAGTTTGTGTTCCTCTGTGCGTCGTTTCAGTCCTGGATTACTGACTTCTGACTATACTGTGTTTTCTGCGGAAGAAAGATGGTCAGCTGCTATTTCTTTAAATCCTGTGAACATTAATCAATCTGTCTTTTTCTGCTGGGACTCTGAGGAGCACAGGGACTGGCCTCCTGCTCGGACTTTGAGGAGCACAGGGACTGGCCTCCTGCTGGGACTCTGAGGAGCACAGGGACTGGCCTCCTGCTGGGACTCTGAGGAGCACAGGGACTGGCCTCCTGCTCGGACTTTGAGGAGCACAGGGACTAGCCTCCTGCTCGGACTTTGAGGAGCACAGGGACTAGCCTCCTGCTCGGACTTTGAGGAGCACAGGGACTGGCCTCCTGCTGGGACTCTGAGGAGGCAGTTGCAGTGTGCTACATCCTCGTGCAGAAAGATGTTATTTCCTGTGGCATGTTTCATATAGACAGGAAGTCTACACCCACACCCAAACATGCTTTGTTAAATGCAAAGTAAAAGATTGACTTTATAGATATTCATCCCATTAATCATACACTCTCAGGTGCAGGAAGAAAAACTTTCTATTAAGTTCAAGACTGCAGAACTGAGCACTTCACCATAAAAAGCTGTAGGTTTTCATGTGCTGGTTCTGACTGTTGATAAAATGTTAGTCTTACACCTGAAACTTGTTGTCAGTTGTTGTTGGTTACTACTTTAGAACCATGGGCGTGGATCGGTAAGTAAGCAAGTAAGTAAGTAATCTGTATTTATATAGCACCTTTCACAGACCAGAGTCACGAAGCACTTTACAAGTGACTTTAAACTGCACAATCAGCACATGTTCAAACACTGAATGGCCACATTTCTCTAGTGTTCTGCAAATACTGTATGACATGGCGCTCCTTGTCATAGCAGCACGTTTCCATGACAACATGTCCACAGCACAACAGGATGTGCCTGCGCGCACACACGTGTCTTCAAGTCAACATTTGGTCAATTTACACTGACACGGTCATTTTAAGTCAAGGTTCAGGGCCAGGACTTTAAACAAAGTCTGAATGCTTTGTTTGCATAATAAAAAAATCATGGTGGTTAAAGCTATCCATTGATTCTACACTTCATATCAAGCCATTTTGAGCCACGTTGTTGAAGGAGATAGACTTGGTAAGGCCTGGCAAAACATTTTGTTTTTAATTTTAAATTCAAGAGGGTGGACCACCTGTTTGTTTGTGAGCATGGTCAAACAATATGTTTTACTTATCTTACGTCAGCTCCACATGCCCACAACATGTGACATCAGAAAGAAGATGATGGGTCTAATAGTGACTCGGGACTTCTTGTCTGCCATGTGGTGAAACGAAGGAAGGGCCTAAAATGCAGGAATGTGAAAAAATAATATGATTTAATGATTGTATAAATAAAAAGTTTAAGGTAAAAATAAAAACGCAAATATCCAAACAGAACCAGGAACATAAACAGACATTGGCAATGGACCAGCAACAGATGGGGATAAGCACAGGTACATATAGACACAGAGAGACACAGGTGCATATAGACACAGGTAAATATAGATACAGAGACACAGGTACATATAGACGCAGAGACACAGGTACATATAGACACAGGTACATATAGACACAGAGAGACACAGGTACATATAGACACACAGAGACACAGGTACGTATAGACACAGGTACATATAGACACAGAGAGACACAGGTACATATAGACACAGAGAGACACAGGTACGTATAGACACAGGTACATATAGACACAGAGAGACACAGGTACATATAGACACAGAGAGACACAGGTACATATAGACACAGAGAGACACAGGTGCATATAGACACAGACACACAGGTACATATAGACACAGGTACATATAGACACAGAGAGACACAGGTACATATAGACACACAGAGACACAGGTACGTATAGACACAGAGAGACACAGGTACATATAGACACAGAGAGACACAGGTACATATAGACACAGAGAGACACAGGTACATATAGATACAGAGAGACACAAGTACATATAGACATAGAGAGACACAGGTACATATAGACACAGAGAGACACAGGGACAGTACATATAGACACAGAGACACAGGTACATATAGACACAGAGAGACACAGGTACAGTACATATAGACACAGAGAGACACAGGGACAGTACATATAGACACAGAGAGACACAGGTACATATAGACACAGAGAGACACAGGTACAAATACACACAGGTGAAACACATGAGGGTGGGGCAGACAATCATACAGAGGAACACAACAGGAAATCTAACTAAGGCCCCGATTAGACGGGGACGCTGCAAAGAAATTCGCCAAAACGACCAAGGTCCCTTTTCGAAGTACACCGTCTCTACTGTGCTCTCATGCACGTGCACAGAGGGGCTTGGCTGCACTTTGACGAATCAGAGCTGCTGATCAGAGTGGAGCTAGAGCGGGGGCCAAACAAACAGAGACATGGTAAATGAATGTCCACTAACGTGTGGATTTAAAGACAACGGAAAAATTTAAGAAGAAAAAAAGTTCAGGATGACAAGGGACACTAAAATCCCCACAAAATCCAACCTTTATGAAAGCTGAAGGTTCTCTGTCAGCTGAGGTCAAGCTGTTTTATGGCACGGTCACAAAGGTTTTTACAAACGAACTAGGCCAAGTGGCCCGGATCTTCGGGTGTGACGACGGCCCTCGGTCACATTAGCTTGTTATCGGAAACGTGCCAGAGCAACTGTGCTCTAGTACCACACTCTGCCCAGCTGGTGGCGCTAATACGAACTTCAGCGACTACCTCGTTGTCAGAGTTAAGTTTCCTTTTCTCTTCCTGTTTACATTCTGCTCTGTGCACTAACAGCTCGAGCACGGATCGCGTTGTTTGTATCAGAGCAATGTGTACAACTGTGCAGTACCTTGTCTTTCCCCAAAGTACTGCAGCTCAGTGTGACACGTGTGTGTCTGCGTTTGGATTAAAGAGCGTAAGCGCGCTGAGAGATGAATGGATGAGAATGAAAGAATAATAAGTGTGTCGTACGAGCAGAGCGACTGGAGACAGGCAGGATATGAGTGTGTGTTAGTGTGTTCTGCCGATTAATTAAAGTTTGATTCTTCAACGTCTGAAGTGTTATTGCAAAAGCACCACACTGTGAGAGCGAGGGTCAGGAGGACAGAAGGTATTTAATCCCTGTAGAAAACACTCTGGAGCGACACACTCCTCAGCGCCCCTCAGCCACGTTCCGGGGGCTTTTATGGAAGGTTTAACACAAACGGAGAATACAAAGTGCAGAGACGTGTGTGAAAATGCATGTCCCAACGAAAGATGTAGTGTGACGCACAATATCAAGTCCCCACCACACCTCATCCCCCACTCCCCACCACCCACCACACCGACCCCCCTCATCTGGGCTTTACAACCGTGCTCAGGGTCACCTCTCTCAACAGTGCCCAAGCACAGTTGCCGCGGTCACATAACACCTAAAGCCCGGATCTAATCGCGAAGTGGGCCCAGGCACACTTTAACCGGGCTTTAGGCTGTGCATGTGACCGCAGCCTTAGTTTACATTGAGTTCTATGGGGAACATTTCTGGGTAGCCCACGTATGAATTTAGTCTGCAGTACAGCGAGAATCCCCCAAGCACATGGGTCCTTCAGCTCCAAGCTAGTAATAATAAAACCCTATCCAGTGTTTATAATAGATCCATGGTCTACATGGACACCATGTAGTTCTAGCGCCCGGCCAGCAGTGGCCTCGTATGGACCAGTGTCTCTTTGTGTTTTTTGCATTCCTTGTGTTTGATTCTCTGATCTGTGTTGGTGACTTCAAGAGTTTTGTAAAGTCCTCAGAGATAACTACTGTTGTGATTTAGGGCTATACAAGCATACATTGAATTGAATTGGACTTTCTGTTAATTTATCTGGTTTCATCTGGTTGTCGGCCCATTGTTGTTTTTTTCGCCATGTCTTGTTGCTGGTTTATACTTTTGGATTTATTTTCTCGTGCCATTTATTAAATTATATTATTTTTGCAGTTCTGCTTTTTGGTCCTTCCTTGTTTATCCATGACAACTACATCTCTGCATCCTCATCCTCCTGATCATCCTCACCTCTGCAGTATAAGGACCCGGTTCACCTTTTACCATATGCCAGATCGGCAGTACTGTATATCCTCTGTACCGTTATACCCTTTTCACTTTCTCTTGATAATGTATATTTTCATAAATCCACCAGACTGAAATTTGGGTCCAGACTTTGCCAACTGTCTTTTACTTTTGTTGAATATTTGTTGTTAATTACTTTTGACTCTTTATCAGCCAGTTTGAATCAACAGTTGTTTATGTACAGTTGCACCACACGTTTGAATAAATCTTCAATAAATGAGCCAATGATAAACTTGGACTTATGCAGTTGAACATTGGAGCATTGTTAGTTGAAGATAAATCACCACCACCGCACCCTGTTTGTGTTCTGTATACTTACCTACAGTTAGTCTCCATGGCTCTAGTAAATCATTTACTGCAATAAAAGCTTTGCCTCATGGACAGTCGTGACCATGAGGGAAAAGAGCATGACTTATCTGTGGATTATTTTCGGTTTTTCTGCAGTCAATTGCTTCAACTTTGACACTGAGAATGCACAAGTGAAACATGGAGATCCGGACGGTTTGTTTGGCTTTTCCATTGCTTTCCATCAGCAGCTAAACTCGACCAAGACCAATCTGTAAGTGTGAGTGCGTGAGATGTGTTGTTCTTGCGGTGCTGGAGTGTGTTGTGTTGTTGTGTTGCTGAAGTGTGTTCTGCAAACGCTGGGTGCAGGTTGCTGGTTGGAGCGCCTCAGTCCAAACATGCAGACCATGAGAATGTGACTGGTGTTGTTTACAAGTGTGACCTGAGCCGAGCAGAGGAGCAGTGCGAGCCGCTGCAGTTTGACCACACAGGTACTTCCACACTCCGCACATGAGCACTTTTACCACAGAAGTACGGTAGCAGTCCACACTTATTCCATTTGAACCAACTGTTCACAGAAATGTAACATTAATAACATTGTTTTCAGATATAACATCTTATATTTTGAGTGAAGTGTGTGTGTGTGTGTGTGTGTGTGTGTGTGTGTGCATGTGTGGTTTATTGCTGTGTTTTGAAATGCAGGAGAAATTCAAATCCAATGGACTATTGCACATATTCAAGTGCTTCCTCCAAAAGGAACTGGTAGACTTTAATATCTGCCAGTTCTATAATAGAAAAACCATTGTTGCTAATGAACCAAAACTCATCTTCATGAAAGCCACTAGTGCGTCCTCCAAGATGGTTTGGAGCGGTATTCCTCCTGTGATGGGATAAGATAAGATAAGATAGACTTTATTGATCTCGCACAGGAGAAATTTACAGAAATGATTATGTCACCCAAATCTATGCACAGCAACAGGACCAGTCTAAGCTTGTGTGTGTTGTACCCCGTGTTTGTGTGTGTGTGTGCGTGCGTATGTACATGTGCGTGCGTTTGTGTGTGTGGGTGTGTGTGTGTGTGTGTGTATGTGTGTGTGTGTGCGTTTGTGTGTGTGTGTATGCGTGCGTTTGTGTGTGTGGGTGTGTGTGTTGAATAACCCTTTACAGTAGTTTTTATGTGTGTAATTATATTTAATGTGTATATCTTTTTCACTTTCCCAGAGTTCTTAAATAGTAAAGGCATAAAAGGCCAATGGATGGGCGTCAGAGTGACGAGCCAAGGCCCAGGCAGGAATGTGATGGTAAGACCTGCTCTGTCACAACTACACATATAACTACAGAGATTTAGTATCAGCCAACATTAAAACCACTCACACAATTATTATCAATTCTAACCCAATTATCGATATGCCATTTTTCAAACATAATTACAGGCTGTGCTAAAACAAAAACAGCACATTTAAACTTTATCAAAAGATTTTCTCTCGCGTATGAAGGCATCTGATCAGTCAATCCTTTGATTGATTTACAAATACAACATAAAAATAAACATGAATAAACAAGAATCATAGAGAGTGAGAAACTACTATTGTTTTAAGACCAAAATGGTAAGTTTGACACAGGAGTTAATTGGTGCAAAACTCCATTCACGAGCTAGACCTACATACAGTCTTTGATTCAGAGTGACTGAATACAAAATTGTGAAGGCTCATTTAATGTATAAGCTTGTCAATGTTGAGAGTCCAACTGTGCTAATAGAATAATCCATGTCGTTCTGAGAGGGTCACTACATCTCAGACAGAAACACATAATTAGATTAGATCAGACTGAACTGTATTGTCATTACAAAGTCAGAACAACGCAACAAAATGCAGTTCAGCATCTAACCAGTAGTTCAATAGAGCAAGTTTAGGATCATGATTACAACACAGATGAATATCGATGTGAGACTGTACAAACCATCTGCCAACTACGGTGGGCAGACGCAACAGGACACGGCGATATGGTGTAGGCTATTGTGAGGCGATGTAGATGTATGTTAGCTTCACTGTCCACACATCCCCTCAGACCCTCCAGACCCCATCCGGAATGGGAACTACAGATGTGAGAACTGTGCACACTAGAATATTACCCGTCAAACTATTTTTTTCAGCACCAGTACAGAGATAAATGAAAATCTATTAAGAACATGATCACCTGTGCATCCACTCTGCTGCTATTGCTGCTATATAAATAAAGTAGCAATATGTAAGATTTTTATGTCAAGTCAGCATTAAAGGGCCCTACTCTTTTAAAAGACATTATTACACGGCTCCTCACAGCAGCAGTAGAATGCTCCATTGATTTGAAAGTAATTTCAAAACGTTCTACCGGTCATTATTTCTTATAACGGACCTCTAAAAACAATAATGACCGCTGCCCATGGCAACGCACTCTCTGCTTGTAATTCATGTGTGTAGATTGCTCCGCAGGTAGTTCCGGCCACTCTGGAGCTGGCCACGCTCAATAAACGCAAATACCAATCAATCGACACATTTAAATGTTAATGGGAGAATATATTATACATACATTCGTAACACACGTGCACAGAGGTTTTCAGAAGTATCTATTAAGGTTTTCATGACAAAAATACTTATTTAATGTGACTAAAGCGATCGCTTTTTTGAAGTAGGTTTACTATCCTCACCGTTACTCGCCTGCCACAGTTAAACCTTTGAACTACTTTCTTTGCAGTCATTAAATAAACCTTTCGGCATTAATAAAAGTGACTGAAGTTTATTTTGTGTGTTCAGTTCGTACAAAGCTGTATAATAAGCGGACCCCGACGCGCTTCGTCTGTACTTATTTCCCGATAGTCACGAAGTTGAAAAGAAATCACAAAGTTGAAAAAAAGGTGTGAGAATTGTATACATTCTGGATTAGGACAAACAATACTAATATGGATTGATGGGGTAAATGGTATAAAGAGAAAGTTTGTGCTAACTACATTCAGAAGAGATCAGACGGACCTGATACAACGGTCCAGACGGTCCAGGTCCAGTCCCAGCTAAACGTAGCTAGGATTGGATCTGGATGCTTCACAGTTGGTCCAGCGAAGTGTTTTGAACAAATATGAGTCCTTTCTAACATTTTCATGAGAGAAATTCTGCCGACCACAAGCACCCACCTCTTGCACTTGTCCTGGTCTGGTCCTGGTCTGATCTGATCCTGGTCTGGACGTGGTGGGTTTAACAAACGGGTTGAATGTTACTGCTTTCATGTAGTCCTTTTCAGAGTATCTGAAATCACTCCGACAAGCACCATAACTGCAGTGTTTTGTTGTCACCATGATTCAATGATTTAGCCCAAGTAAATACACACGCGTATGTGGAGAACACAGTAGTACTCAACGAGTCGTACACAATGTTTGTCCGAAACATGCGCGCATGCGCAGTCATCGGAGCTATTTTTAGCACATTTTGGAAACCGGACAGTGCCCTATTAGTCAAACGGTCTCCGCGTGACAGACTCCAAAAGTGTGGTTATTTTCATAGACAGGTGTGAAGTTCCCATGTTATCCAATGGAGACTGTATGGACACACTCAGAGATTGTATGTGCAAACAGGAGCACATTTACAAACTCTGATTTGTACTAAACTTGACTCGGTTGTTCAACTCCTGGGCCTAGGTCACATGACTGTGTGAACAATGACATTGGCCCATTAGCGCCCCCTACAGACTGAGTAAAGGTTTTCATGGGGACACAGGTATTCAGTTTTGCTGTTGTTTGATCTCACATTTGACGACACTTAACAAACACGAAAACTCACACAATTTTGCCACAAGTTTGTGTCAGGCATAAAATGTAATATTTTGATGATCTTTGGCATAAGACTAAAAAAATTTAATTGTAGGGGGCGCTATTGTACAACATTAATGCCACCATTTGCACACACAAAATCCGATTTGAACAAAATTTGAATTGATTGTTCAACTCTTGGGTTTGAGTAAACTGAAAGTGTGAATCATGGAATTGCAGCATTAGCGCCCCCTACAGACTGATAGAAGTGCTACATGGGGAGAATGAGGTTTACCTTTTCAATAGAGACACACAATCACTGATCATAGGAATTCAAAATGCACAGTGTCGCTCCCGTCAGGGTGGTAGGAAAATGGCGCCATTTTTGTTGCGCGGTGCGGCGAGAGCTGTTCGACGCTGCTTGCGGCTTTAATTATGGCTTTGTTTCCGTTGTCTGTGCAGATTTGCGCTCACCGCTACAGGGAGTGGAGGCCTGAACAGTACATTCCTCATCTCATAACGGGACAGTGTTATCTGCTGGGGGACGGGTTGAGGCCGGGGCCAGAGGTGCGCTCATGGAGGAGGGTGCTGTGTGACCCCCAGCACCTCCACAGCCGGGCGAACCATGAGGGGTTTGCCTACTGTCAGCAAGGCCACGGGGCTGCGTTCGCCAAGGACAACACCTCACTGATCTTTGGAGCACCAGGAGCGTACCAGTGGAAGGGTGAGAGAGACTGTAGTTCTATGAAAGCATCCCATCCAGACATTCAATTCAAGTTATATTTGTATATATATATTCTCTTGTCCTGACACTGATTTGTGATGTGAAATGGGCCTAAAATACACTTTTGAGATGCTGCCAGCCCTACCCCATTTAAGATGGCTTCTCATAATGAACAAAAAATAAAAAAATTACAACGTTTTCGACTTTTTAAAGCTGCAGAGACTTTAGCATCAACATCCATCTCCTTTGTCATGTTTGGTTTTTAGGAGTAGTACGAATGGAGGCGATTGACAACAAGAATGATTACAACACCGACGGTGAAGTCTTACAGGAGGCGGTCGCTCCTCGAGAGACGGGGGACATCGCACAGTTCCAGCACACTCTCATCCCCCTTCAGAGGAGCAGCTACTTGGGTCAGACTCACTTCCTCTTAGCTCTATATTACATTCAAACCTTTTGTCTTTGAGTGTTTTCTTTGCTCCACAGGTTTTTCCATTGACAGCAGCATGTCTTTGGTCCGAAAGGGTGAGCTGACCATCGTGTCCGGGGCTCCCAGAGGAGGCTACAGTGGACAGGTGGCCTTCCTGAAGATGGACCCAGAGGCCAGACAGAACCTCCACATTGAGCTGCTCTTGTCTGGACCTGGACTGGCCTCCTCTTTCGGATACGATTTAGCTGTAGCGGATCTGAACGGTGACGGGTACATTTGCAATCGACTATCAACATACAACAATTCTTTATTCATTTGAAATCCAAAAGATGCAAACCAGTGCGTAACTTGCATCTCTGTTGTGATTCATTGATTTTCTGATTTGGTGGCTTTTTCCTATTCTTTGGATGTGTCATGTCTCTATTTGAACTGATGCTCAATTCAATTTGATTCAATTCAATGTATTTTTGTATATCCCTAAATCCTCAGAATCAGAATCATAGTTATTTTATTGCCATCGTGAGTAACAACAAGTCACAAACTAGGAAATTGGTTTGGCTCTTGATGCAAAAAAGTAAAAGTAGAGAAAAGAATAGGAGAGTATATACATTTCTTCAAAATACACCTATACAAGTGCAATAAGTACACACAATAGACTTTTAGCAGTACAGTAGCATAAAGAGACAGTAGCATAAAGTGACAGTAGCATAAAGTGACAGTAGCATAAAGTGACAGTAGCATAAAGTGACAGTAGCATAAAGAGACAGTAGCATAAAGTGACAGTAGCATAAAGTGACAGTAGCATAAAGAGACAGTAGCATAAAGTGACAGTAGCATAAAGTGAAGCATAAAGTGACAGTAGCATAAACTGACGGTCATAAAGGCCAGAGACGTCACTTTATGCTACTGTCACTTTAAATGACAAAAGCAGTTATCTTAGAGGACTTTACAAAACCGTATCGAAGAATCAAACAGTTCAAACACAGAAAATCCAATGATAAAAAAAACCATAGAGCAGGGGTCTCCAACCTTTTTCAATCGGAGAGCTACTTTTATACAAACAAACAGGCAGAGAGCTACTCCTTTTTGCAGTCGGAATAAAAATCGATCTAATAATTGCGACCAAACTCAGAGAACACATATAAAATACACCGTAATACTGTATAACCCTGTATTTATACTTATAATAGATATGTATTGGGTCAAAAGTGTATTTGTTGAATTCTAATTCCTTTGACGAGCTACCTGTAAGGGGCTGGAGAGCTACTGGTGGCTCCCGAGCTACAGGTTGGAGACCCCTGACAAGTCCATAAGGGGCGAATGACCAATGTCCATAAATGTTGATAAAGTCCATAAATATCATTGAATGTCGAGTGTCCTGGATTATCAGCACTGTCCTTAGCCCCTCTACATCCTCTGACTGTAGTATCCGAGATTTGACAGTTGAATTGTTGATGCTTAGCTTTTAAACAGGAGAACTCACAATAAATGTCTTGTCAGTTAATACTAAAATTCTTATATTCCAGTTGGGATGACTTGATTGTAGGAGCACCACAGTTTTTTGTGAAAAATGGTGAAGTGGGAGGCGCTGTCTACGTCTATATCAACAATAAAGGAGCAAACTGGGAACACACGGACCCTCTGCTGGGACAAACAGACTCCATGTTCGGCCTTGCAGTTGGGAACATTGGGGACGTCAATCAGGATGGATTTGGAGGTAAACTCTTCTTTCCAGAAAAAAGGACACATCTTTACAGAAACTTGCATGCACTTGAGAGAAGTTTCTGTTTTTAGGCGAAAAGTATCTGTTTTTAATAATAATAATAGGGAAATGCAGAGGAAGATGATGTATCTGGAAAGCTCTTTGTAATTTCCTAACATTAGTGTGATTACATACTATACTTACTTCTTGTTATATCTGCTGTTTACATTTTCTTAGCCTTTTCTTTTTCTTTTAATTTCCCCTTGTAGATTTTGCTGTCGGAGCTCCATATGAAAACCAGGGCCGAGTTTACATTTACTGTGGCTCCCAAAGAGGTATTAACAAGAAGCCGGCACAAGTGAGACTGACTTTTCGGATGATCTTTTACAATCCTAAAACCTGTCACCAGCAAATGTTTTTTTTTTTTTGCTGCAGGTCATTTCACCGGCGTTGAATGGAGTCCGTTTGTTTGGATATTCTCTGTCTGGAGACCTGGATGTGGACGATAACCAGCACCCTGACCTGGCCGTGGGCGCGCTCTCCGGGACGGTCTTTATTTACAGGTGACTAAGTGACTCTGGATGGAATCAGAATCTGTGTGATCTGTCTCCAACTTAAATGTAAAGCAGCAACGTTCCACATCTACCTGAAGATGGGGGTGTTTGTTATTTGATCAATTATAAATGTTTTTCCATATATTTTCAATTCTAATTCACATTCTGATACGTGAACATTAAGGGAAGTTATCTAAACACAAATTCTGAATATGTGACCTTTGAATTACGATCTTTCCTCTATGTTCAGAGCAAAGCCGGTGGTCAGTGTCTCCATCTCTCTAAAGCTAACACCCTACGTGATTGACATCGCAAAGGAGAACTGTCAAACTCGGAACTGGTAAGAAACCATTCGTCCAATCGTCAAGTTTTCATAATCTGCTGATTTTCTGTTCAGTTACTTTGAAGCCAAAGCTTGTTATCGTTACACAGCAAACCTCGGGACTTTGAACCCCAAACTGTGTAAGTTCATTCTTCTGTGTTTTAAAACTAGGACTCCCAGAATTCTGAAGCTACTGCAACTCCCAGAGCCGCCATTTTGACTGCTCTTATCCAAACCAATGGGATTCTGAGAAATTCCCCGCACAACATGTGTATGGTTTTGTATTTTTTTACTTTTTTTTTCCAGGACCATTCGAGAATCATCAAAAGCGGCTTTAACTGCCAAGTTGGTCACCAAGCAACCGAAGATGATTGTTTATATAGCAACTACAGTATATATATATTTTTATATTTATTTATTTGGCTACTACTGCCATTCATTTAGAAAACAATAAGATAATTATAATGACAGAAATAAACAAACAGAAACATTAACACAAAGTGATAAAGTTAGACTGACAAAGTTATGAAGATCAATAATATACATACTCTGAGTAATTACATTTCCAAAACTAAAAGCCGTCAAATGGACTGCTCTGGGAGTTCTCGTGTTAAGAAGCGCAAACAAAAGGTTTGGTGTGTGCTTCCTGTGACAGTGTTGAACTTCTCTCTGGAGGCCGACTCTGAGCGGAGGAAGGCTCGGCTGGCTCCCAGAATGCACTTTGTGGGCACAAACAGAGGACAGCTGGAACTGCCTGCACAGAATGTGGACGAGTGTAGAATCATGCAGCTCAAACTCGTGGTATGTTTATATTCTGCTTTTATCGACATTGTTCTGGTTCCAACCCTGTTCGTGACGCCATTCTGTTATCAAGAAAATGTAATCGTTGCTGTACATACTAGGCCCAAACCAATAGATATAAAAGAGGACATTTAATGACACTGAATTATAACGTGATACATACAGACATAACAGAAAATATCACACCCCAAGGAGAGATGGTTGGAGAGAGAGAGAGAACCCTGGAGGCTTTGGGCCTCAGTATTAGGCTGCTACATGTAGCTTAGAGAGTTGACACTGACCAAGACCCCAAACTAGTCCATCCCAGCTCTCTATATCTAATTTCTCAGGTTCCGCTGGATTGGTCAGGGGGGTCAGCCAGGAGCAAGCCAGCCCCCATGGAGGGGGAACATGGATATCAGATAAGGGGGAAAATCCATACCAACATTAAACGTGCAGTATGCAACATTTTATGTGGAAAAATAAAGTTTGTTCTTGCAGTGACCCAGCGGCTGTAAGATGGTGAGTTCACTTTTGGTCAGGGTTGTGTTTCCAGTGCTCCAGGATCCATTGGTTTGTAAGTTTCCTGGTGCAGAGAGTCCATCAGCTGAAAAACATTCCAAACAATTGATCCAGCATCATGTAAGACTGTGATGGAGGCACCATGCTGACCACTCACACAGACACTGAGTCACTATGAGGTCAAACAAATGGGCCAAAAATAGTGCTCTACTGGAGCTATCCAAGATGGCCGCGAGTGGTCCCGCCCACAAGAAAATTGTGAAAAAACGCATCTGCGCATGCGTCAGCCGGCGTGAGCCCCGTTCATTTGAACGAGAGACTTCAAAAATTCACAGCAAGTAAACTAGAGTGGTCCAAAAAAATTCACCCCCTTCAGCATTGACACACATGTGGAACGGAGCTTTGGGCCAAGAGCCAACTTTTGGACCATCCTTTAAAGGTGTTTTCAAGAGGTCTGCCGATGCTATATGTTAGCATTGGCTAATTCTTATTCCGGGTCCACCCCCATCGGCCCGGGGTGGTATTGCAAGCATGTCAGCGCACGTCATTTTGGCCACTTTTGAGCCGGGACCCAACTGGGCCAAATACACAGAATCAATATCAGCATTATGCTATGTATAATAATAATAATAATAAAGCATTGGTTTTACATAGCGCTTTTTTGGACACTCAAAGACGCTAAACATGTAATTAATTCTTTCACTCCATACACGGTGGTGATAAACTGCTACTGTAGCCACAGCTGCCCTGGGGCACACTGACAGAAGCGAGGCAACCAGTATGTGCCACCACCAACCATTCACATACACACCAGACTTATTCTAGGCAATGGGGGTGAAGTGTCTTGCCTAAGGACACAATGGCAGTTTGGCACTTTACAGCCGCAGCCTTATAAGCTAACACTGAACCTAATAGAAGAGACACCATTAAAAATCTTGTTTTTATGCTTTTAACTGTATAACTGTCAAGATTCAAAAATGAATACAACGATAATAGAGAAACTTGGATTAAGGAAAGTCCAAAGTCCCTACGGATACTAATCTCCTCTGCTCTCCTGCTATCACTATCTCCTACAAGCTTCTTAAGGTTGACCTCAAAAGATGATATTAGTGGCAATAAGAACTGGAAAGTAGGTATTATTAGATTTTTCTGGGAAGCAGACAGGGATTATCATTTGTCATTCCATGATCATTTCAAACATCATCGTATTTGCTTCTCATTTCTTCAATTACAAAATCGGTTTTGAAAGTCATTGTTTGACATTTTTCAGGAGAGGAATAACAAACTTCAAACATAAAAGGCTTAATATTTATACTTCTGTGTCAATGATTATCTATCCATTTCTTTCTATTTTATCCGTTGCCATGCGCGGGGGCAGCAGTCTGAGCAGAGATGCCCAGACCTCCCTCTCCACACAAAATTGCTCCAGCTCACTCAGGACGATCCCAGACACAGTCCCTCTGTATTCTGGGTCTTCACTTGGCCTCCTGCCGGTAGGACATGACCAGAACACCTCTCCAGGCAAGCGTACAGGAGGCATCCCAAACAGACCCCTGAACCACCTCAACTACTGTACCTCCTCTCCACGTGGAGGAGCAGCAGTTCTACTCCAAGCTCCTCCCTTTCTCTAAGGGATCTGTACTTTGGAGGAAACTCATACGGACCGCTTGTATCCGTAATCTCGTTCTTTTGGTCATTACCCAAAGCTCATGACCAGTTCGGCTCAGCTCTCTCTCAGTAATTGTTACTCATTTAGATCATGTTATTCTTAGTTGTAGTTTTTGTGTTTTTTTTACATCTCTGTCAGCAAAACATCACAGATAAGCTGCACAAGATCCCTATTTCCGTGGCTGTGTCCCTGGTGAGCTCCCCCCCCAGCACCAGGACCGGCCAGTCCCGTCTGTCCCCAGTGCTCAACATCTATCAGCACAAGAGAACCGTCTCGGAGGTATTGTCCATATTAGAGCCTTGGGAATTATACTGTTTAGAACGTTGATTTATTTTTATTTTTTTGTCACAGATTACATTGATAAATCCAGGCTGTGGTGCAGATAATATTTGCCAAAGCCAGCTCACAATGGGATACAAGTTCTGCTCAATAAAGGAAAAGAATGGTGTCAGCGTGTTCCAATCCCTACACAGGTGAGTGGCCACAAATCTGAAACTGTTTGAGTCAAGGCCGAATCGAGACCGTTTTTAGTGCCACATTGTAGATGAAATGTAAAGCTGGACTGCCAAACTTGGATAAATATCACTTCGTCAAAACTAAGAGACGAAAAAGTTACATGAACAAATCAGACCAAAACATGCTGTCTCGTTTCAGTGTTGTCCTTCGTATTCTTGTAAGAAAGAGCTTTGTGAGTCACTATTTGATGCTTTGGGCTGAGAGCTGATTGGCTGAGTGAGGGTCGTTGTCATTCAGCCCCACGGAGAAAGCACAATTTCCCACTCGAAGCTCATGTGAACCGGCTTTAAATCAAAATACACAGAAAACATATTTGTTCTTTACCTGAGGGATTATGTCCTATGAATGAGAACACATGATGTAACCCTCCTCCTCCATGTTCCACACAATGGAAAATAACACACTTCATCACATGAACAGATACAAATGTATGCCAAACTTGCTCTGTGTCTTCTGTTTTTGCTACTTCTTAAATGTTATACTCGATCTCCCTTTTATCTAAAAACACTTTGACCAGAAAAAGTCCTTCTCTGCTGGTGCTAAAAACATGCCTTATCCTTTGCATGCATGTAAGAAAGAGACCTGCAAGTCAGAATTTGTCGCTTTGGGCAGAAAAGGCTGATCTCCTGAAAATACATTCATGTGAAGCAAGTGAGAGAACCAAAATGTTCTGAGAGATAGGAACTAGTGCTTATTGACTTCCCTCGGTAGGTAGTAAGTAAGTAGTAGTAATCTTTATTTATATACCGCCTTTTCACTGCACATCGGAGTCTCAAAGCGGTTTACAATTGTTATTTTTGTGAGTGGGGGTGCCAGTACAGGAGGCACATGCCAGACCTATTGTACATATTTTTAGTGGTAGGGGAAACCGGAGCACCCGGAGGAAACCTACGCAGACACGGGGAGAACATGCAAACTCCACTCAGAAACGCCCTGGTCCAACCGGGATTCGAACCCAGGACCTTCTTGCTGAGAGGCATGAGTGCTATCCACTCAGCCACCGTGCCGGTAGGTAGCCCAGCTTTAACAAGGAAGGATAAGAAATGTGTTTGCTCAATTAATTCAGATGCAGCCGATATGCACGGTTACAGTTTGTGGTCATGTTAGTCTGGTTGTGTGTGTGTGTCCAGGGACAGTGGACCTGCAGTCATCACTCCCTCTGACAAAGTCGTTGCTCTGGAAATAACAGTCTCAAACATGAACGGGGACGACGCTCACCAGAGCCGGCTCGTCATGATGCTGCCAGATACTCTACGTTACGACAAAATGGAACCACACACGGCAGCAGTGAGTACTACGCTCTTGTACAGTACTGTAATTTCCCCACTGTGGAACTAATACAGGCATTCATTATTTCATTCCTTGTAATACTGATCATTGAGGCTGAGGGAAAGAGGGTGGAACAGGTAAAAACACAAAAAGGTACATTATATTGTTCAATCAATCAATACTTCTTGTAGTAAGTAAGTCACATGTATGTATAGATAGGTACTTTATTGATCCCCGTAGGAGAAATTCAGGTGTCCAGTAGCAGCAGAAACACATCTATCCATACAAACAAAACAAATAAATAGATAATTCTAAAAATTGCTAGGTCCGCACAACAGCCTGAAAACCTGCAGTACCTCTACTTAACATATAGCACCTTTCACAGTCGCAATTGTTGTGGGAACCGGTCAGCATTGTGATGGGAGACCGCTTGGAACACACAATGGGGCGGGGGCGGCTGTAAAGTGCCAAACAGTTGTTGCGTGAGTCTAGTGTGTGGGAGGGGCTGCAGGTTCCCTCACTTCTATCCTGAACGTCCATCCATCCATCCATCCATTTTCTACCCTTTAATCCATTTCTGGGTCAGGGGGGTGGCAGTCAGAGATGCCACCCAAGTCTCATAGCACCAGCCCCTCACTGACCCTCTGCAGGTGGTGAGTCCAGAGGAGGACGGCTGCTCTCTGACTGTGAGCACAGCCTTGATCTTTCAGTGGGAGCTTTTTTGGGCAAAGTGGGGTTAAGTGTCTTGCCCATGGACACAACGACAGCAGTCATCAGTGGGAGTCAGTGGAGAAGGTGCAGAGGTGGGAATTGAACCCACGACCTTCTGGGCTTAAGGCCAATGCTCTACCAAATGAGCTACTGTCGCCCCTCTATCCTGAACGTAGACTGTAAAAATAATGAACGTAGTGACGCCTATTTCCTCAGTTGAAATGTATGTGCGATCAACTTGCACCTTTTGAAAAATGGCAGCTAGTAGCTCCTCCCACAGAAAAACCTGCTTTGTTAGCCCGCATGAGGAAATGGATCCATCCTGACACATGGCTGAAAAAACATGTTCATTCAAAAGCCACCGCAGATAAAATCGGCTGGTCCAAAACAAATACCCCGCCTCAGCATTGACACACATCTGGAACGTAGCTTTGAGCCAAGAGCCAACTTTTGGACCAGACTGTAAAGCTACTTTTGAGAGGAAAAAAGGCAAAAAAAGAAAATAATTAATTGGATCATTCTGTTTCCGGGTACACCCCCACCAGCAAGGAGTCAGATTAAAAGCACGTGCTCTCAGACCCTTTTCGAGCCGGGACCCACCCCACTGGTCCTGAAAGAGTTTTTTTGTGCTTTTTTCTGGTGCACACTGGGGTAGTCTTGCACAGTTTTTCCAATGTGGTTTTACTGCAAATGGCAAATAAATGAATCTGAATCTGAATCTGAAGTAGGTAGTAGGTTTGAACAGTGTCGTAATCCTCACAGTCCCCCCCCCCCCCTGCTGGTGAAGTACAGGTACTGCACCCACATGTTCAGTCTGTCGTCTTCTTGTGTGGACTGTAGAACGGTCCAGAGAGCTGCAGCTCCGACAACAACGGGACTCTGGTGAACTGCGAACTGGGGAATCCACTGCAGAGAGACGCTCAGGTGAGGAGTGTGTGACTCTGTGTGTGTGTGTGTGTGTGTGTGTGTGTGTGTGTGTGTGTGTGTGTGTGTGTGTGTGTGTGTGTGTGTGTGTGTGTGTGTGTGTGTGTGTGTGTGTGTGAGCGAGCCAACATTAGCAGACACTTGCATCAACGTTCATTAATTATCAACTATTACATCATGATGAGGAAAAGTATAAATGTTTTTCAATATTGACCAGATGCATCAACGTCATCCAGTCACGTGATTGTGAATGAGCTTACGGCGGAAGTATTGGAAACTAGCATTGCTGCGAGAGCAAAACGGACACAACTCTTAAAAACGGAGCTTCCTCTCTTAAATCAAGAAGTGACTGCTTCAAGCAATGTTCGATTACGTTATAGGTGGAAGTAGGACATCAGGTCAGGGCTCACAAAGAGTGGTATTTGGAGAAGTTAAGGATTGCCTAACTGGATGTTGACCCGTACCTTCTCCCCTGGCCATCGTCGTCTTCTGTCTTCGTGACGAGCAGGTATCAGATAAAAAAGCTTATGTCCTTGCCTGTTAGTATAATCAACCGCACTGCAAAATGTTACAGTTTTGGCTGTAATGCGCTGAAACAGGTTGTTTTGGTCAGGTGTCCGTAGGCTCGCAGTTAGACTTCTGCCGTCTGTCATGGAGAGAGGGTGTGGCCGGAACGTCACATGCAAGGGGTCAATAGGGTATTTACACTTGCATGAATTACTGCATCATTCTTGCAGGATTTCTTCATATTCATGCCCTAATTTGAGACCTTTTTAGCTCAAACTAGCTTATACCTACAGTAAGTCTTATTTGTCCAAGGGAAAACATGGGAGCAGTGGGGATCATCTATAGCACATAGATTGGGAGTAAAATACATTTGAAGCTTAAATGGATGGGATTTGACTCTAAAGACAAATGTTTAAATGTGCAATGTACTTTTGTTTATATTTTGCCTTATGTCACCCGTATTCTTTTACTAGAGAAAACTAGAGAAAAAGAGAGCAAGATTACAAGGGACACCAACATCCCCACAAATTATGACCTTTGTGAAAGCTGAGGGTTCCCTGTCAGATGAAGACGAGGTGTTTTAGTTCACTTTGAGGTCTATGGGAAAATTCTCCTACACAGCACATGTGAATTTAAGTGGTAGCGCTGCAGATGGCCTCTTGTCCGTGCTGGAAACAAGTTTAAGCAGCAATACCCTATACAGATAAATACATCCATAAAAAATGCATATTGGCCATCTGGTATATTCTGTAGATAAATTATAAAAAATACAGTCTGATGGCTTTATCACTGCATTCTCCCATCACCTTAAGGACTTCTCTTTTGCTGCAGGTTACATTTTATGTCATTATGGCGACCTCCAACACCCCCCTGAGCACAAATCAGGTCAACCTCACTCTTCAACTCAAAACGTAAGTAACAAAAGCTGCTGGGTTCACCGCAAGTTCAGGGCTCTCAATTTTAGATTGCTTGAATTATGGTGAATTATAGGAAATGCATCTTTTTTTCTGACTTTGTAACCATTGAGCGCATTCTAGGAGAGGTCTGAACTGGTGCTGAGGTCACCATAGTGTTTGTCGTGTGAGGAAACAGCTGATTTGAACATAAGCTAACTGGAGCCATTGTGAGATCAATAAAGTTTATCTTATCTTATCCTAGTGGGTTACCAATGAGTTAGCGGGTTCGTATTGCCTGCCTGTATTCAGCCTATGTTTGCAACTAAAACTAAAACTAAGTTCTCATAACGTTTTTAAAATTATTTCTCATTCCTTCTATATTTTTGCGCAGTAGCCATTATTGCTGTTACAAATATGTGTGTGCGTGTGTGTGTGTGTGTGTGTGTGTGTGTGTGTGTGTGTGTGTGTGTAGGAGCAGTGAGCAGCTCTTGAAGCCGCTGGAAGTTTTTGCCAGAGTGGTGTTTGAACTCAAGTTGCAACTACAAGGGTGAGTGACTTAAACCAATACTTATAAACAACTTAAAAACGATTAATCAGTGGGGGCCAAAAGGTTATTTAACTACTGTATTTCCTTTTATTTTATTTTATTTCATTGCTATCATTATTAGTGTATGTGTGTGTATTTATGTGTGTGCTTACCTTAGGGATAAAAGAATAATATTAATAATGATCAATTGTAAAATAAATAATTTAACATAAAAAATAATGAAAATTACCTGTGTGTGTTACAACCATTGTTTGAGATTATATTGATCCGTGGCAACACCTTGTTTTTCTACATATTTGATATCATCATTTACTTTCAGTCCACCTCCATCTTTTCCCCTATTTTACTTCAGTATCTTAGCTCTTTCTAATTACTTGTTGGGTTCAAATGTTAGAATAGAGTAAAGCAGGGGTCTCCAACCTGTATCTCGGGAGCCACCAGTAGCTCGCCACCCCCTTCCAGGTAGCTCACCAAAGGATTGAGAAATGAACAAATACTAAACTTAATATTTCAGATTGTATTATTAACCAATATGAGATGATAAACAAGGACTGTACCTGATATCAGCCTTGTTCACACCAATATATCACAATTTTCTTTCCCAGGGAAGCTTAAAGGAGTAGTGCTCTGCTTTATCGTCCTGGGAAAGTAACTCTCTGTGTGATAAAAGGTTGGAGACACCTGGAGTAAATGATGTAGTTGCTTTCATGAGAAAAGTAGGTTTAACATGAGGTATAACATGCCATGGTACCTCCCATCCTCAACACTGCAAGTCAATCGTAATAATTGAAAATCCTCTCGCGGGGCCATGAAAGGGTCTTGGGGCCAGCATGACAGAGACATAAAGGGACAGTTGTAAATAAATGTTTCCCCTGCTCTCAGACTTCCTCGACCGTCCCAGGTTTCCTTGGGGGAAAGCTGGAAAGGAGAAAGTGGCGTTCACTCAGTCGGGGACATCGGTTCAACGGTCGAATATGAATTCCGAGTGAGCTGCTGTTTTGTCTTATATCTTATATTGCCTTAGATCTGAGAAGTCAAACTCAAAATAAATGACATTTTCAGATCACCAATTTGGGAAGACCTCTGGAATCTTTTGCCAATATTTCCTTGAACGTCCTCTGGCCCAAAGAGAACGCTGTGGGGAAGTGGCTGCTTTATCTGAGCCACGTCAGCAGCAAAGGAGTGCAGCCGCTTCAGTGCTCGCCTGGAGCCGAGATCAACCCCCTCAAACACCACAAGGTCAACAACACCATTACTAGATATTCTCTATGGATTTAATCTAATATAAATAATGTAAAATTCGAAAATAGTTTATTGATAGTTTATTTATTTATACATATATTTTATTCATTTATTTATTTATGGGGCAGGTTTGGCGTAGATCATTTGCTGTCCACAATTTTAGTCAACCACCAAATGTGCAAGTCCTTCTCCTTACAAAGATCATTAGGTTATTTGAAAATTATGGAAAATAAGAAGCTCACCTGGAGCCCAGATCAACCCCCTCAAACACTAGAGGGACAAAACACCATTACTAGATTTTCTCTATGGATTTAATTTGAAATATTATTTATCAATTAATATTAATCTTCATTAAGGACACAATACAATATGGTCCATAAATAAAAAATGCAACATTTTAAAACGTATTCCATTGAAACCGTACTTTATGTGTATATTTATTTTATTTATTTTCTTATTTGACAGGGACAATGTAGTCATACATAGTTACAGTATGCAACCATTTATGACGGATGAATGATTGAAGGTTTAGTTGGTTACAAACAAATCAAAAATATAGGTCTATTTCTTTGCAAAAAAGATGTAGGCTGAAGCCGTGGCTTATTATGCCTACCCTTTTAACAAAACAACATCTACCCAACTAAATTAAAATTATACATGTTATATACATACATAAACATACTCGTATATAGATACACATATAGCTATACATATATACACAGACAACAAGATATAAGAGTAAATCCAATTATTCTGTCCCTATTTATACTTCACTCCATTGGACTCAGTGATTGTCATGTTTCTGCTCTTGCTTGTGTGTATTCCAATTAGACCATTCTTTGGATTTGTTTGCGCAGATTTATGTTGTGTTTGTGTGTGAAATGTGCCTGTGAATGTGCAGGGCAGGTTTGACCCCCAGAGGAGGCGGCGAGACGTGGCACCAGAGCCCGAGCCACTGTCCACTGACTCCTTCACTTTAATTACCCAGAAGAGGACTCACCGGACACTGGTACAGCATACATAGAATTATTATGGTTATTATATTTATATAGATATTATAAAACAGAAGAAGACTCAGTGATAATTCCCGCAGTATTTGTCTCACACTATGACATGAGCTCACAGCAGCTGCAGTTTGAGCTGTGTATGCTCTTTGATATTCTGAAAGTTACATTGGCGTCATGTCTCTCAAAGAGTAGACTTTAGAACTATGTTGGTCCATTGAATCCTAAATGCTAAAGGTGCATGTGTTGGCCCCTCAGACCTGCAAGGACTGGACCAGAGTCCTGTCTAGTCTCAGTCCCATACTTTTAGCTACCAGATTGCTTATGTGGTCTTTTATAATATTTTCTCCTGCAAAATCCTGAAAATTCATGCATTATCTTATCTACTTCTGGAAAACTCCATAAACGTCAAACGTAAAATCAAGATACATAACTCTTTAATAACATCCATCTCACCATTCCCTCTCTCTCAGTGGAGTTCTATCAATAGTTTTCTCATCAATGTATCTTTCACTCAGAAAAGAGAAAAAGAGAGGACTTCCCTCACTCAGCCATTCAGAATCAACTTATAGGGCTCTTTCTTGCCAATATTTTTACACCTGAATGTTGTGGTCTCATGCATCCTCAACTCTTTTCTTATTTGAGGGTAGAAAGTTAGAGACCCCAAAGAGACAGCCCCATTCCTTGTATATTATTGTATTATATTTGCTTAACTGTGCTTTGGACTAGATTGCTTATTAAATCTGTGTTAAAATCATGGTTGTGTACATCATATTCCCTGAACCTTGAGTCCAGACATGCGCTGATGGACTGAGGTGTGTGGAGATCCGCTGCCCTCTGCTGGCGCTGGACAGAATTGCGCACATTGTGCTGCACTCACGTGTGTGGAACACTACTTTCACAGAGGTGAGGGCGTTTCACTAAGACACCACCACAAGTCCAGCTTCAGAAGGTACCAACGCTAATCAGGAGTCTAGAATCATCAAATCTGCTTTCAAAGCCATTCACAACCAGGCCCCTCCATTTCTATCTGGGCTCCTCCAGACCAGCAAACCTACCTGCTCCCTTCAGCTCCTGCCTCCTCCTCCTGGTGCCTCCTGCTGCCTCACCACCATGAGGAGCAGAACCCTCTTCCTCCTGACCTCTGCAACACTGACACACTCCAAACCGCACTTAAAACACATCTTTTCAGACCTGTGACCCTACATTCCACTGTCCATTTTTAACTGTATGCTTTTAAATGTTTTTGCTTTTAACTTTGTACCTTTTGTAATGCTCTCAGCTGGCCTGGGAGACAGGAACACCTTTCACATTTGCACTAAGTCACTTGTTAATTATATCCCATATATTTAAACAAGGTACTTTTTTTTTGTTAGTCTTCCCTTTGTCACAAATCCTCTTGTATTGTTCTTGTTTCAGGACTATAACTCATTTAACTACCTGGAAATTGTGGTGGATGCATTTCTCAGTTTGACCAACTCTCCAGAGAATATTGGGCTGTTGTCTGAGTCGAAGACAAAGGTAAAACAAATTTTAAAAACACAAAGAATGAGTTTTCCAGATCACACGTCTGCACAGCATGTATGTGATTGACAGGTCGAACTCACAGTGTTCCTGCCGAAGAGGGTGGAGTACCTGACCAAAGTGGCCTGGTGGATCATCCTGCTCACAGTCATCACGCTGCTGCTGCTGCTGGCGTTTATCGCTTTCATGATGTGGAAGGTAACACAATGACAGACTTTATTATTATTGATATCATTATTGACATATTTTCTCTGCAGTATGGACCTGCCAAACGCATCATTCGAAACAAGAAGCTCCAACATAAACAGCAGACGTCGGAGACAGAGCAGCTGAGGTTTTAGCCCCGTTTCCACTGTGCTTCCTGCATTTGTGGATTGCTCATTTATTGGTCTAATTTTGTAAAGTCAAAAAGCCAGGCTGTGAGCCAGAGTTAAAGAGACAGACCTCTGGGCAGACAGAAATAACACATTTCAATTGGAGGCCAAAGTCCTGGGTGCTCTCTGGAACCCATTTGTTAGCTTAAGAACAATGAGGGTTTTTTGTGTGTATGTTTTCTAATAAATGTTTTGCTACCTGAGCCTTTGTGACAACAAAACTATTATTATTGAATAATGAAAATAAGCCATCACACTGCATAAGATTCTGGTTATTTCAAAAACATTTATTATGAAGTGTCACATTCACACAACATTCAAAATGCTGTTTTCAACACCCAGTGTGCTGAACAGGTTTCTTTACAACATACGTGCCGCTTCCAAATTCAACAAATCTACCCCCTTCTTTATGCTTCCTCATCCTTTTGTATGCTTTAAAATGGGCTCATGAGACAAGGACAGCTACAGGTTTGGTCAAGTGAATTGAAAATATATATTTTATGCCACTTACAGTAGGTCACAATGTAGGCCACAAAGGTCAATAGAAACAAGTAGGAAGGCTGGGAAGGATGAGGAAGGGATTTGACCCTTAGATAGGGCAAGGTGCTCAGTCACATGGGAGGAGCTCGGAGTAGATCCAATGCTTCTCCACGTGGAGAGGAGACAGTTGAGGTGGCTATGGCATTTGTTTGGATGCCTCCTGGGGAGGTGTTCCAAACATATCCCACTGGGAGGAGACCAGACCCAGGACACAATAGGACTGTATCTCTGAGCTGGCCTGGGAACGCCTCAGGAGTCCCCCAGATGAGCCGGAGGACATACGTGTGAAGAGCACTGGACGTCTCTGCTTAGACTGCTGCCCCCCTGACCCGGAAACGGATAAAGTGGGAGAAAATGGGTGGATCAATAAGGAATTTGGATGCAGCCGCTGTATTCTTGATTTGTGCTTGAAATGCCATTCTAGACCTGGCCTTAAAACAGAGGGAGAGATGAGTCTTTCCTAATTCCACCATCATCAAATAAGATCCACGTTTGACTTACTTATAGTTAATACTGTTGTGATTCATTATTGCATCGATGCAAACATTGATACGTGGAGCACCGACTTGTGATCTTTACACATTCAAACAACTCTCAAATTCTTCTCATGTTTTAAAAATGGGTTACAAAAGCCCTGGTGCCGAGACAGAACAGCAGACATACAAAAGGCCACTACAGAAAACGTAGTCAGAATTCAGTCAGTAGTGTGGGTTTTTACAAAAGACAGAAGGATTTAGAAAAGAGCAACATTTACACATTTGATTACAATTCACACAGAATAAATAAATAAATAAATAAATACATTAAAACATGAACATTTACAGAGCTTTGGAAATAGTCAGAAATGCTTTATATCAATGATTACAGCCATTAGAAAATGTTGAGAATGTATTGCCATATCATGAATTATTCACTTTCAATTGTTTAAAATTGTGATTTTTTTTTTGTTGGCTTCAAAATCAAATTCTGCTTTCATTTTATTCGTTTTTTTTTTATTAAAAAAAATCTAATAAAATACATGTTTTACTAAGCCTGTCACGCCAACACAAATCCACTTGAAAAAGCGGAAACTCTTTACTTTGGGACTAGTATGGGATTTCACTACGATACAGAGGTTTGAAAGGTATTTAATATGATACTGTTATGATATTGGTTTCTAAGACGGTTGCTAAGGCAAGATGGAGTTTTCCCCGCACGAATGAAGGCATCTGATTGGCCAATCCTTCTATGGCTCTTATCTGGATTTACAAAAGACAATATCACAATGTGAACACTAGGATCATAGAGAGCGCTAAACCACAGATTTAATCCCAAAATGGTTATAATATACAATTGTTACGTCAATTAATATGTTTACCCTTTGTTTTCTGTGTAAGTACATTTTTGCATTGATATCATTGATTACTCTTAATTTGCTCATGTGAAACCTTCATTGCAGTATTGTTTTTGCTGTATTTTCACCTCACTTGTTCAGGTCCATCTTTTTGCCCTGGACTATTCCACCATCATTAAACTTTCCATCTCCATCGGAGACAAGCAAGTTACATGTCACATTTACAAGGCTCATGAAAGCAACGCAATATCTGCTCCAAGGAACACGAACTACATGTAGTACTTATTCCACTACTGCTATTGCGTAAATACTCATCGTTTCATTATCGTCCTTTGCACCATATCATTGTAGCAACATATTGTGCTTGAAAATGAGTTAGCGTGACAAGCTTAGAGAAAAACAGACATATTCAAAGCTGGTGTCACCTAAATGTAGAGAATTCTTATTCGTTGTGCTTAAAAACTGCAGCATTAGCCCTGTTTCCACCAGCACTCCTCCGCTCTACTCTGCCCCGACTGGGAGTGTATCCAGTGGCCCTGTATAACTGTTACCAGGTACTTTATTGGTACTTTTGGGTCAAGCTGGTACTAAAGTGATGGTGGTCAGAGTGCTGCTGGGAGTCATAGATACCAAGGAATTTCCCTGAATACTGGTTTTTGGTGAATAGGTTGCAAGGATACACTATAAAATATTAATGAGTAAGGGAAACAAAACCGGGTAGAGTAGAGCAGAGCAGCGTAGGGCCAAGTAGGGCTGGTGGAGACAGAGCTTTAGTGTACAATCATGGGGTGTACTGACCAACTATCTCCACACGGGGGCAGTACTGGCCAGGAGTGATAAGCACAGCAGAGGCAGTGCAGACAGTGTGGGCAAGCAGGAGGCTGAATTGGCTCTCCCGTTCTTGTTCCACTTGGAGCCGTGCCGGTCCCGGGTGCGGGAGGGCTTCTGGGGGCCCTGGTGGTGCGGGTGTCTGGGGGCCGAGGGAGAGTGTGCCCCGTTTCCCGGCCAGTCATCGTTGTACCGCTCCACGTGGTCGTCGCCGCCGCCGCCGGAGCCACTGCCCTCCTCACCTGAAGAAGAAAGAGGAAAGAATGCAAAAAAGCTGTATGAATACTTGCGCACGCCCAACTTTTCACTTATCAATTTTTGAAATAATTGATCACAGAATTATTATTGCATTTCACATTCACTTCACAGTTGTCTGATACTTGTGTGTGAACTTTCAGTAAAACATTCAAAATAAAATCTCTTTGTTTATGATTGTAAACCTGACAAATGTGCAAAGGTTCAAGGTGTATTTGTACTTTTGAAAGGCACTGTATTGTGGGAATATAATAATAATGGAAATAATAATAGAAATATAACCAGGAAGAGTAGAGTAGAGTAGAGTAGAGTAGAGTAAAGGCAAGTTGGGCTGGTGGAAACAGGGCTTATGTTAAAGCTCTGGGAGAACCTGACTTTTTGTTGTCGTAAATACATGTTGTTTGTCCCAAAAGAAAAGAGCCTAGTTTAAGTTACATTCTCTGAACAAATCAGCTCACAACACGCTGTGTTTAGCTTATGATCAAAACAATCGATCTTTTACATACTGAGAGCTGATTGGCCAAGAAGTGGTTCTCTGAAGGATCAGAATTACTCCATGAGCTCCTGAATCCAAACGTTTCCATTCAATTCACATTCATGTATTTATTTCTGTTATTGGTTTCACCAGTCTTCTATCTCTTATACCAGTGTCTCCCAAAGTGGGGTCCGCGGCCCCCTGGTGGGCCGCGAGGGTACTGCAGGGGGCCGCGGGAGGTCATAAAAAAAAAATATATATATATATAATTATTTAATGTTAAATTTATAATGTTTTGTTTGTAATATTAAAATATTTGTGTTCATTATTTGACTTGAATAATCCACTGTAATAATTTTTGTATTACAATGTTTGTAGCAGAGGCTATTTCCCCAAAATAAAATAACCAGAAGAGCCTATTCTTAATGTTGTCTTCTTGGTTATTATTTTGGGGGGGCCACGCAGACCCGTCAGATTTTTAAGGGGGCCTCGGTGTTACTGAGTTTGGGAATGGCTGTCTTATACCGTTTCAGACCGCCCTCAATGTGGGCTTCCCCGGTGTTTCTCATTTTCTTCCAATGGGTTTAGAGTTTTTCCTTTGCCAATGCAGGAGGGTCTGAGGACAGTAGTGATGATCCAGGACACTCGACATTCAACGAGATTTATGGTTTATTAGTCATCGGCCCCTTATGGACCAATCTATGTGTTTTTTAATCATTGCGTTTCCTGTGAACTGTTGTATTTTCTGATCTGTGTTGGCAAATCGACAGCTTTGTAAAGTCCTCCAAGATAACTACTGTATTGCTATTCAATTACAATACATTGAATTGAATTGAAGTTGAGGGCTCCAATTCAAAGCATTTTTTTTCATCCAACCCCTTTGCAAAACAGTTTTTTTGTTCTGTAAAATTATGTTGTACAGACTTAAAATTTGTTCTGTTTGCCTTCATGTATTTGACTTGTGTATAAAAATGGAGCAAGCCTCTTACTCTCACTGTCCACAAAGTCCATGTCCTGACCGCTCAGGGCATGCTTGAGCTTGTTGGAGGCCACACGCAGCTCCATGATCAGCTGTCTGGTGCGGACGTCCGGGCGGCTGGTGTCCACCTCCACCTCCGGGTTATTGAGTTGATTGATCAGACCGTCTCCAGTCACATGAGGCAAGTACCTGCAGCAGAAGAGTAGGGCAAGTCCATTCAGGGCCAGGCTTAAAACATTACTTTTTTTAAGTTAGCATATGGTTAGGTTGATAAGACTCACAAATACACATTCAAGTCAATAACACAGGTTGTCAGTGATGCTGCAGATGGGGCCCCCTGCTGGAGAAATATAGAAACAGCACTATCCTCTCCTCTTCTACTTTTATCTGTCATCATTATGACTTCAGCTGTAGTCTGTTCATTGCCATTCAGACGCTGTCTCATGTCTGTTTCATAGGGTGATGATGGGACCGCTGCGCCTCCTTCATCTGCACCTGTGGACTTTCTATCTCCAGCCTGGACTTGTGGCCTGCCCCACCTTTTTGAGTTGTTCCTTGCCGAGGTAGGAAGGACATTGAGGATCCAGGACTTTTAAGGACATTTATTCATTTATTCATCCCGCTCCCTATGGACCAATGGCTCCTACTGTATGTATTTGTTATTATTTCATTTCCTGTGATTGAATGGTTTGATTCTCTGATCTGTTGTTGGTAAATCCATAACTTTGTAAAGTCCTCTGAGACAACTGCCGTTCTCTCTAAGGCTACACAAAAATAATAAGAAAGGCTTTCTTATTGTTCAGATTGAATGGAAAATCAAAGGACTTTCCAGCACACCTGTATACTACAAATAATGCAATGGTTTTATATAGCGTTTTTCTGGACACTCAAAGACTCTTTACGTGTCATTATGAATTCACTCCATACACGGTGGTGATAAACTAGTACTGTAGCCACAGATGCGCTGGGGCACACTGACAGAAGCGAGGCAACCAGTTTGTGCCATCGGCCCCTCCGACCACCACAAACCATTCACACACACACCAGACTCTTTCTAGGCAATGGGGTTGACGTGTCTTGCCTAAGGACACAACAGGAGTTTCATAATTTACAGCCGCAGCCGCCCCACTGTGGCATCTGGTGTGCCAAGAGGTTAAGAAACAAAGAAACAATCCATCTAATGTAATCAATTTCACAGCTGTGTGAAGAAAAATGTGTGAATTATCTGCTACAGTGACTTCAGCACTTCCCTGCACGTACATTTGGACATGTGCAGAGCCAAGAACGTAAACAACAATGGCGGCGGGTATACTAATGCTACGTGTGCTTCAAGCGCTACACGGAGGAGAATTCTACTCCTTCGTTCGTCCAAACAAAACCACAAAAAAGTTGTAGTTTCAGTTTACATTTTTGCTGCTATGATGTTCTTTCACATCTTTATGGTGGACTAAGGAAGATGTTGTTGAGGAAGTGAATATACTGGTGGGGGTAACGCATGTCGTGTTGTAAAGTTCCACTGCCCACTACTGGCCGGGCTCTAGACCTACCCTGTTTTCCGTCGTTGTGTAGAAGCTGTGCACTTAGAATACAAAGCCTGGTCGTTTTTGCAAATTGCTTCTCTGCGTCCCTGCAGCGTCTCCGTCTAAACAATCGCCTTAATCTTAAACAAACCTTCCTTGAGAAGCAGACTCATTTCTTCAAAGATTGGAAGCAGACCCACGCAGGACTCAGGTGGGCGCGCTCAGCAGCGGATGAAAGGACCTCTGGCCTTTCCCTTTCTGTCCAATACAACCACCTCTTCAGCATTGCTCACCGCTCCTCCTCCTTTCCCTCGCTCCCCCGCCCGGCTCCAGCCTCACCTCCTCCTTTCCCTCGCTCCCCCACCCAACTCCAGCCTCACCTCCCCCGCGTCTGCCCGTTCCAGCAGCGCTCCTCGTTGGTGACGTCGGCCGCCATCTTCTCCTCGCTGCAGATGGTGTGTGGGAGGGACACCCAGAAGCCCTGCATGGGCCCCAGTCGCTCCTTCAATTCAGTGACCTGCACAGAGGCGTGAAGAAGAGAGTGGCTATGACTCAAGACTGCTTTGAAAAAAGTATTAAACACGGGGGGAGGGCGTGCACCAACAGGTCTCTGAAATCCAAACAGCGATTTGTTGGGTTCAGTCGCTCCGGTGCTTTTTCCTCGCTTCCTTTCTGCAAACATGTTTTAATTTCAGTGATTGAATAAAAAGTTCATTCAAGTTCAAGGCCATTTAGCAGTGGTTCACTCTGTGCCTCGATATCTATAACGGATTTATTTTAAAAACCTTTCAGGGACTTTCTATTAAAAACTGCACAACTGATAAGAGATACCACCTCATATTTCACCAACTTCACCAGGATTCATGTGTCGCTAATGTTGAACAGGCCTATGTACATGTTTTAACTTAAAGATGCAGTCAGTGATTTTTTCCAGACGCATTTTTTTAAATATTGTGGGAAAACGTCCCTAAACCCCAAAAGTAGAAAAGTTATCATGTGTTTTCAAATAGTAATGGAATAAACCAGATGTCTATAGTCTCCAAAAATTAATAAAACATATTTTGGAGCAGACCGATTAAAATAAACCGATTTGTTCATCCCCAACGAACCAATGGGATACGTTTACCCCCTTCACGCTCTTCCTGTTTCTCGCGAGTGCACCTGAGTTATCGGATTTTCAAAAACCTAAAATGACTGAACAGAAAATGCCAATTTCACGTTTTTCCACCCACTCTCCCTGTTGTGACAAAGAAAAGAAAATGCTGGATGTTTGGTTTGGTGGAGAGGCGAGGGAAGGAGGGGGGAGTGGTTTTGAGTTGGTGCTACGGCTAAGCTAACAACATCCCTTACGGCACCTTTAAGTGATCACCAGTAAAAGACAAGTGGTGAGTGGCACTGAAGACAATTTGAGACTTCCTTCCAGCATCTACTAATCAATCATCAATCCACCTACGCTACTCTACAAGCAAATATTTAACGTTGTGCAGTGAGAACAACATTAAATGGAGCACAAAGAGCAGCATGGAGGTTCACTTTTGCACACATTATAGAGTCCCAGAAAACGTCTACTCAGAAAAACTATTATATTCTTGTAGTGACTTATGTCAGTATAATAAAAATAATATACTGACATACAGTAAGTCAGACCTCATGGGACCGATGATACGGCATCGGTGAAAGCTAACAAGTAAAAGTGGTTTACCAGTCGATCTAGATTGGTCCCTGCAGCTGTTGTGGGCTTCTCCTCAGGAGTGTAGGTCCTGAAGGGTCTTCTGTGGCCTTCAGAGTCTTTGGGGGATCGCTTTGAACGAGCTGGACGAGGGTTCCCACAGCCCTGGAATACCTGAATACAATAGAATTCATAAAAGACTTAAAGTAAAATGATATAAACTGACCACCAAGATATCATGATTAACAATGTTTTGACACAGGTTTTGAGCCAGGAGTTTCCCAACTGGGCTTGAGCTACAGTAGGAGGTTAGCATTGTCCATCTGTATACAGTCTACGAGTCTACGCTTTAAATGAGGTCTGACGTGCATATAATGGCATGCAAACCTTTTTTTGAAGTATATTGTATATATTAATCAATCAGGTCTATTCACTTGATTTTAAAATGTACTTTTTTACTTTTATATTTTATAAACTTATTGCAAAGTCCGATGTGTAATAGGAAATAGAATGGAAAAGCAACACAAACAAACGTACATGCTACAATAATAAACGACATGGCGCTCTCACCTTGCTGGAGAGGCTCACACTGTTCTCCTGCATGTGCATGATGGCTTCAGACACTTTTACAGAGATGGAGTCTGCTGCCAGCTCTATGTTGAACGGCCCCGCCAACTTCTCAGAGACCAGGTACAGGACGTCTGCACATGGACAAACGCATTTACTGTCATTGGTGCAAATATACAAGGAAGGATTTCAACAAGTTTCCATCGTTTATAATATTTCCACTATTCAAATTAAATGAGAAGGAATGTCTTATGTCCAGTCCTGCTGTGTTGTAAAATTCTAAATTCTGTTCTTGAAACTACACAAGTCAAAGGTGACGGAACTTGGCTATTACATCAGTTTGTAGATCTCACTTTAAAGCTGAAATCCTGACCTGGAGACGCGGACCAAAATGTTTGCATGAAACCAATCACAGAAAAGGGAGAGAGGAAAGATGATGACACACTATTGGTCAGACGGATGATTGGAGTTTGTTTAGGGATCCAGCCGACAGCAGCGGAAGCCTTCTTCCTCATGTTTTATTTGTACAAACAGCAGTCATTATTTTGGCAACATTGAGTAAACATGATTTATATTTTTTGCCACTTCTGTTCTCTGTCATGTAAGATAAATACTTATACCTTACCCTAATATGAACCATTATTTCCTTATTTATTTATCAACATTTGCAGTGATCCTTGCATTTCTAAACTCATTTTAGAGCTCTAATCACAAAGATTATTTTTATAACATTTGTAAAAAAAAAAAAAAAAAAAAAAAGTCCTTGATGGAAAATTGCAGTCTTTGTGGAGACTAAAAACTTTTTTTTGGGTTTGATTGTAATGAATCTAAAATGACTCACACCTGCATGAATCATGGTTTAAGAAGGTTTTATTACCAGACACATGTAAGATAGTGACGATATCACTTCTGAGGAAGCCTAAGTCAGCCATCGAAACTAGTCAAGGTATTGACATTTTAATAAGACATCTTATTTTTGTCTGGAATAGAAGAACCAAATAGCATGTATCATTTCTAAAAAGGCAAATGCAAAGAAATAGTGAAATGAAAAAGCTGATAGGAGTGCAGGAAGAACCCTAGGGAGAGCGACTCCCTTTAAACAGTTAACATACTGTAACTGTGTACTAGAATGGATTAAGTAGATTTTATCTTGATTTGAAAAAAAATCTTAAAACAATGGAACATCCAGCTTAAGTCCGATTTCAAGAATGTATTTCTTGTTCCATTGACAAATCTTCAAAATGTTCTCTAATTTATTCATGCACATTTGGACATTTTTTATATTTTTTGTCCTCTGCATTTGACCCCACTTGAGCCTCTGTCAGATGCAGTTGTGGCCAAAGTACAGCCCCCGGGAACCCGAGGAACCCTACGCAAACTACACTCAGAAAGGCCGGGTTCCATCTGGGATTCAAACCCAAGACCTTATTGCTGAGAAGTGAGAGTGCTATCCACTCAGTCACTGTGCTGCACATATTACAATCCATCATCATTTATTAGTGCAAAGAATAGGCATTTACCCATTTGGGGAGCTACCTTGAAGAGGGTGGTGAGCTACTGGTACCTCCTGAGCTATAGGTTGGAAACCCATGGTGTAAGCTTTTTTTCATGACATCTGCTTCTCTGTAACCTCTGCTTGTGTGTAACCCCAGTGTGACAGTTGCTCTTCTATGTGCACTACCAACAAGGATCAGGTGCGACACAGGGCTCAGGAGGTTCAAAAGTCTCTTCACACTCACCAATGAAGCTGTTCCACTCGGAGCCCAGGTCGGCCTGATTGGCCAGGCAGCCCTTCATGACGTTCAGGCAGAGCGAGTGACAGGGCCGCAGCGACGTCATCCCCCGACACAGAGGGCAGTACCACTGACGCATGAGGCCCCGCACACACTGGGGGTCTGCGCTCAGCTACAACAGGGACATGAGGCCAATGAGAAGGGCAAGTATTTTCTGTGGCATTGAAAATAGAGAATGACACACACTAAAGTAATCTTAAAGACCCAGTCATGCATAGATCTGCATTTTTCTTATTCCCTTTCCAGACTTTGTGAGGAGCTGTGTTGGACACAGAACACACTAATATGAGTCTAAATATATTGAAGCCAAAATGCAGCTAGTAAATGTTTGTTTTGTACATGATTAAGGGCAGGCATTTGTGTGACATTATTTGCAATGTAATTTTACTGTGTTGTGTGCCGTCATGTCCACAATTGAAATAACTACTGACATAATCGCCTGATGAGACTTACTTTGGTCGCTTTGTTGACAATATCTCGACCGGTGGCGAGGCCTTGTGAAAGCGCTCTTGCTGCAATAAACGCTCGTGAAACCTGAAGACCACAGGAGATTTCCGTTTATCTGTTTTATCTCGATAGAGAGTCACATCCATGTTAGCCTGTGTTAGTGCAGTACATACTGTACATACACACACATGCAAACATACATACACACATACAGCCGCATATAAACACATACACGCCTACACACATATATAGATAAAAATATACACACATAAACATACGCACAGATACACACATACACATACACACACATATTGTCAGTATACATATGTACTGTGGGGAGTATAGTGGGGACTACACACCTGTGTCCTCAGCTTGCGTGGCACGTCTCCAAAGGGCTGCAGCTGCTCGGCGTGTTTGCTCACACACTCCAGGTACTCCTCGTTGAAATGGTACTGAGGATTGACCAGAGAGAAGACCCGCTCCACCAGCCGTGACCAGAAGTCAGACAGGACCTCCGACAGGCTCACACTGCCCCCTGTGGAGAACAGCGGGCATAGCGTCAAACTGGAAATGGATTTTCACTGAATAAAATGCATAATAGTCATAAGGATTCAATTTTTATAAATCGAAAAAACATGTTATTTTTAAACACCCACTCGTAACATACCAGGAAAACCTCTCAAACATACAATTAAAATTAGGGCTGACACAATTTCAATGTTTGTAATCAGATACAGCATTTAAATATCTGCTATTTTATGAAGTAATCAAATAGTTGTTGAACCATCCAGAGTCTAAACATGTTGTGAAGATCTTTCTCGGGCAGCTAAGATTAAACCTGTGACCTGTAAAATGTAGACATGTGTAAATGTGGGTGGCACAGCGGTTCTTTTTCTTCACAATAAGAAGGTAGTAGGTTTGATTCCTTTTTTTGCACCAAAGTAGATCATGTCCATGTTGGCGCCTCCTGCTGGGAGTCTGAGGAGCACAGGGACTTGCCTCCTGCTGGTGCCCAGAGTCAGGACTAAACATGGGGAGGCAGCATTTCATATTTGTGAACGGTCTTCCTGAAACTGTGAGACAAGCTTCTACTGTGACAAAGTTCAAATCCAGGTTAAAAACACGTCTGGCCACGGGTGGCAAAGTCAAGGCCCAGGGGCTAGATCCAGCCCGCAAATGTATTACCTTGGTGCCTGAGATTATTCATTTAACGTTCAGGACATGTGATTTCTCTTCAAAGGAAGTTTGTTATTGTCGGTGAGCCTGTTGATAAATGTACTGACAGAGCCAAACAAAAAACGTTGTATTGTTAATTAAAATATAGTACACTGTGCAATAGGTTATGTAATCATTTTTAATATGTTTTAAAACACATTGAACCTGTCCGGCCCTAAGGTTGTAGCAAATGTAGCAGCTGCAGACGATCAAAAGCTGAGTTTTTTTTTTCCACGGATCATGTTTTAAATTAGTTCAGGAAGACGTTCAGCTGCACCATATTATAAAACCAATTGTCACTTAAAATCTTTTTTTCCCAACCGCTGTAGACTGCTGTACTAACTGAGCTTATATAGTTGTATTATGTTCATATGTTTGTATGGGCTCCACTTCATATCAAATCACTTATGTTACTGTCTGACATTTCTTTTGTTTTGTATGTGTGTTCTTTATGCTTTGTGCTGCTCAATCAAATTGCCCCTGGTGGGAGAAAAAAAAACTAGTCTGAATCAGAATTGGAGTTTAGTAACCATTTCATTCTATTGAAAGTGACCCAGTTTTGTCCTGGATTTGGTTTCAAGTGACTCAGCAAACACATACACACATTTATTTCACCATAATATTCCCACCTATCTTTCAGTTCAATAATAAACGTTATATATGTGCTGTGAAAGGCCCTTCTTGTTCACATACACCTCCAGACAGTGACTCAACCCACCTGAATAATATCTGCGCAGCTCCACAAACAACTCCTGAAAAACCAGTGCGTTCTGAGTGAAGAGCTTCCCATACGTCTTGGTGAACATCTGGTTCATGGACTTCTCCGACACATCGATGAGCTCACGGAAGAACTCTGCAAAGGACACGTTCAAAGCAGAGATTTGTTTCACACCCACAGCCGCATTAGAACACACTCTGTGCCCGGTGTCTTCCTGATCTCTAAATTGACAGCTTACATGGTGTTATTATGCACTGGATCGCGTACACTGGCAAATAACAAAATGTTCTGCGGTTTAGAATGATCTTTCGTATATATTCTCCCACACAGCCAGTGATTCAGCGAGCAAAGCATGCTAAATGAAGAAGCAGAGAAGGATGTAAAGGATGCAATACAGGCTGTGATTTGGAGATAGAAAAACGCTAATCAGACACAGGTTTCCACAAAGAATATTCCGATTCAGCAGAAAATCAAAATTGTGCTTCAGAATAAGAAGGTCCTGGGTTTGATTCCACCTCCAGGCGTTTTTGTGTGGAGTTTGTACGTTCTCCCTGTGTCTGTGTAGGTTTCCTCCAGGTGCTCCGGTTTCTGTTAACACTAAAAACATATACAATAGTTCTGGCATGCACCTCCCTTCCCCAATTCACAGAGTGCAGTGAGAGAATAAATGCAAAGCGCTTTGTGACTCTGGTCTGTGAAAGGCACTATGTAAATAAAGATTACTTACATACGCTCTACCGACTGAGCTACTGGGCGCCCATTGGTCCCTAAATCCATGCAAACATTTCAACCCGGGTTTCCAGGCTGTTGTGCAGTTTGAATAAGGGGATTCCAAGGGTACATATGACACTCAAAACTATTAAAAAAGTGAGGTACCCAACTTCTTTTCTTTCATAAACCTTTTGTTTGTCCCAACAGAAAGTCTTGTAAACGCAAACATGCTGTTCTTATCTTATTATAAAATACGTTATCTTTTGTACACTTGTAAGAAAGATCCCTCAGAGTCACTATTTGACTCTTTGGGCAGAAAAATAATTGGCTGAGTGAGGGTGGTCCTCTCTTTTTAACTTTTCTCTCTGATAAAAAAAACATCAAAACTTACCAAAATTACATGTGTGAGAAAACGAAACGAAACTGTTTTAGGAGCGAGGAAAAAAAATATTATTTTGTGGTTTTAAAAATCAGGTCCCACCGTTCTGTTCACACGACGCCCACACGCAGCGTCTTGGCCTCAACAGACATAGAAACAAACACACCTCTCCTCAGAAATCTGATGCAACAAGTGTGAACCGAGCTTAATTTATAAATGGAGTAATTTCTATTAAAAATCCTATTCAACTCAAACTCTTTGTCAACAAGTAAAATATATTACAGTTGTCTTTCACTTTAAGGCGGTTCACCCTTCGTGGCCTCAATGTTTTGCTGATTTTTGAGCTTTTATTTTTTACAGTATGCTTCTCATCACGCAGGTCTCTCTCTCACTGGTGTCTCTCTCTCACTGGTGTGTCTCTCTCACTGGTGTGTCTCTCTCACTGTGTGTCTCTCTCACTGGTGTGTCTCTCTCACTGGTGTCTCTCTCTCTAGTCTCTCTCTAGTCTCTCTCTAGTCCAGGGGTCGGGAACCCAAAATGTTCAAAGAGCCATAATTGACAAAAAAACTAAAAACAACATCTGTCTGGAGCCGCAAAAAAATAACAGCCTTGTATGAGGCTTTTATGAAGTTAACACAGGCTGCAAGATGTATTAGCTAAATTAGCCTAATATCTAAATGACAAAGTAAAGGCTACAAATACATAATAATCATTCATGATTATCAAATGTGTATTTTCACTGCAGCGTGTCGCACCACGCGTGTCGTGAATGACGCAACACGGGACAACTCTGCTTTAGTTTAACTTCCATTTTTTTGCCTTCATGCAATTGTAGAAATACAGTAAATAAATCTGCTTTGGGCTCAGAGGTCACACACCTGCATCACTGTCTGCTCATATCCATCACGTCACAGGCTGAAGTTAGCTGGAGCTGAATTAAAATCCTTAATGGCCTTTTCTTTCACCGTCTTTGAGAAGGTTTTGAAGTCTGAAAATAGGTGCTCTGAATTTTTGATGAATGAATCCTTCACGTAATCACCGTTTACGTCGTTTTGCGCGTCATTGTTCCTCGTGTTGCAACAAAACTTCTCATTACAAACATGAAGCAGTCCTTCCTCATTGACTGAAAGAAAATGTTCATTCTCATTCTTAGTCCAGTCTTGTTATCGACTCTTTCTCGTTTTAGCTTTGGGATCCATGTGCACTTACAGTCTATGATGCACACACGCCGGTTTGTTTACAACAGCGGCCGCATGGGGCGGGGCCGCGTGACCGCACGTCATAGGATATGACGCACTACGTTGACAGAAATGTTGAAATTAGATATTACTTATACATATTTTTACAGCATTTAAAAACGTAAAGATTGTTTTTCCTTCTACAGAAACCACATTCAAACTAGAAATAAAATATATAGCCCTCACACTCCATTTTCAGACATTTTTGAAAAGGCTCCAGGAGCCACTCCAGGAGCACTCAAGACCCGCATGCGGCTCCGGAGCCGCGGGTTGCCGACCCCTTCTCTAGTCTCTCTCTAGTCTCTCTGTAGTCTCTCTCTAGTCTCTCTGTAGTCTCTCTCTAGTCTCTCTCTAGTCTCTCTCTAGTCTCTCTGTAGTCTCTCTCTAGTCTCTCTCTAGTCTCTCTCTAGTCTCTCTCTAGTCTCTCTCTAGTCTCTCTCTAGTCTCTCTCTCTCTGGTATTCCTGTAGTCCTCAGTCCTGCTCATGTCCCTCTGCAGCTGTAGTTTACTGTGTTTGCATGTTTTTGTAAGCTGCAGCAGCGCTCAGACCTACAACCAACAGGTTCAATAACTCTGGTCTCTCTCACTTCAGTTGTCGTGAGTTCATGTAGTTAGGAATGTTTTTTACAGCCTTAAAACATACAGCTGCTACTGAGAGGATTTCACTTACTGCTGGTAATTTTTAGATTGCAACCCAGGGACCACTGTCATTGTGATACATTTGGTTCTGTATTGTAATACGCTAAATTAGAACAGTAGTTTTTACTTTCATCTGAAAAAGTAATTGGTCTTCTCACCGTCAAAGCGGCGGTGTCTCTGTGTGAAAGTGGTGAGGAGGAACTGGCTGCCGTCTTGCACAGCTTTGAGGAAGTCCCTCTCACTCTGCAGAGCCAGGGTCTCCTCCATGTGGCTGGAGCAGCAGGTGTAGTCCTGAGGGCACAGTCGCAAGTGTTCCCCTAGACACAGAGACATGAACCACAATGTCAGAACGGCCTACACCTCCAATCAAGGCTTCCATAAATTATATGATTTAGTTATTACTGCACTGTGAATGAATGAACTACTTTATTGATCATTTTGTATGTATTTATCAATAAATGTCACAATCTGAAATAAATTAACAGCACAAATTAAGCAATACTTTGCCATTGAAGGGACTTAGTTGGCTGACTTCATGATAATGTACAGATGATAAATATTGAGCCCCAAAGTAAACTTGTTTCAGAATGTCAGGAGGACCGGATTTTACTTCTACAGGAGGTCTAGGAGTTAAGCAGGGTGAAATGAATAAAAAGATTAAAGACCGAATATTACCTTAGTTTAGAAAATGTAGGGTAAATCAAGAATTGTTGTTAAAATATCTTGAAATAAAAATTATATCCACATTATTGGCTTTCTGTAACAAAAATATATACAGTGGGCCAAAAGTATTTAGTCAGCCAACAATTGTGCAAGTTCTTCCACTTAAAAAGATGAGGGAGGCGTGTCATTTTCATCATAAGTATATGACTTCTATGAAAGACAGTATTTGGTGAATAACAAAAGTTCAACTCAATACTTTATCATATACTCTTTGTTGGCAATGACAGAGCTTTTCTGAAAGTCTTCACAAGGTTTTCACACACTGTTAGTGGTATTTTGGCCCATTCCTCCATGCAAATCTCCTCTAAAGCAGTGATGTTTTGAGGCTGTCGCTGGGCAACACAGACTTTCAACTCCCCCCAAACATTTTCTATGGGGTTGAGATCTGGAGATCTGGAGACTGGCTAGGCCACTTGTCCAGAAGCCACTCCTTCGTTGCCCGGGCGGTGTGTTTGGGATCATTGTCATGCTGAAAGACCCAGCCACGTTTCATCTTGAATGCCCTTGCTGATGGAAGGAGGTTTTCTTTCAAAATCTTACGATACATGGCCTTATTTATTCTTTTCTTTGCACGGATCAGTGTTCCTGGTCCCTTTGCAGGAAAAACAGCCCCAAAGCATGACGTTTCCACCCCCATGCTTCAAAGTAGGTATGGTGTTCTTTGGATGCATCCCAGCATTCCTTCTCCTCCAAACACTACAAGTTGAATTTTTACCAAAAAGTTATATGACATTCTCCCAATTCTCTTCTGGATTATCCAAATGCTTCTAGCACACTGGACATGTACTACTTGAGTAGGGGACACATCTGGCACTGTAGGATTTCGAGTCCCGGGCGACGTAGTGTGTCACTGATGGTAGTCTTTGATACGTCCCAACTTCTAATTATTGCTCCCACAGTTGATTTCTTCACACCAAGCTGCTTACCTATCGCAGATTCAGTCTTCCCAGCCTGGTGCAGGTCTACAATGTTGTTTTTTTGGTGTCCTTTGACAGATCTTTGGTCTTGGCCATAGTGGAGTTTGGAGTGTTTGAGGTTGTGGACAGGTGTCTTTCATACTTATAACGAGTTGAAATAGGTGCCATTAATACAGGTAACAGGTGGAGGACAGACACCTCTTAAAGAAGGAGTTACAGGTCTGTGAGAGGCAGAATTCTTGCTTGTCTGTAGGTGACCAAATGCTTATTTTCCACCATAATTTGCAAATAAAATCTTGAATGTGGTTTATGTGGTTTTTCTGGATTTTTTTCTCATTCAGTAGGGTAAGGGTAGGGTCTGTAGGGGTCTAGGGTTACCTATGAGGTATACCTATGATGAAAATTACAGGCCTCCCTCATCTTTTTGTTGGCTAACTATAAAACTTTTTTGCCCCCAATTTGAACATTTGTAATGTTTCTAGAATAATTCCAAAAGCTTTGGCCTCCACCTCCGGTGTCATATTGTGTCATCACTGCTGTCTATCTCCAACAAAGGTAATTTAGAAACTTGAGAAAACTAGTCAATTGTGAAGTAAAATTATACTGTCTATTGCAGCTGGTTTCTTCTTTAAAATATGCTCAAATGAGAATTTAAAAAACCCCAGTTTGCCCTTTAATTGTGAAGGCTTCAGTAATCTATAAGACTTTTATTCTGACATAATCCTTGCAAAATAAAATATAAAGGGTAAATGCTTGAATCAAGTAGTTTTTTATTCAGCAGTTAGTATAATGTAAAAGATTGTTCTAGTTCAAGGTGAGAATTGTTTTAAGACTGACATTTACCAGATTCAAGCATTGCTTTTGGCCTTTTTTGCAGTGCCTGCACCAGGCTATTTGAAAACATGTCACTCAGTGTAGTGAAATGCAAAGATAAGGATGTTTAAGGAAATTGCATGAATAATTCAGCCTCAATCTGTCTTTTTGTCAGCTCAATTTAAGGCTTTAATATGTCAAAGGTAATGAAATGCAAACGAAAACCGAAGTGCATGGTGGTGTTGATTTTAGCAGCATTGAAATCTGTTAATTAAGACAGTCTTCCAGCCTCTCCGCCCAGCCTGACAATTTGCCGGGGGCTCCCTTTTGTTCTGCTCATGTCTGGCTGTTTTAGTTTGCTCTCATCACACCATTTCCATCTCTATAACTGCCTCCCTGCATCTTTCCCTCTCCAGGCCATCTGCTCCCCTGGCCCACGGGACAGTGAAACCGGCCCAAGCAGTAATAGCCCTGCAGCACACACACGCACACACTAAATAAATCAATATCTCTCTTGTCTCAGTGTGGGCTCGTCTGCTGCTACGTCAATCAATTTCAGACTATATACACTTTATTATATGGTGTGGTATGGTGTGAAGGACATTAAAGTATTATACTAAATGGCTACCTCCTAAACTACTGTATTATACTGCTGTCTCGCAAAATACTTAAGAGGGAGGGATACATCCAAAGGCTATAACAGCTTGATGAACTAGATTGGTAGATGATCAGTGTTCATTGCAAATATTCGGCAGAGATTTGGGAGAGGGGCATAAGGGAAAGGCTCATTAGGGGCGAGGCTCTTTGTTGCACCGGTGTTGGTAATTTGCTCAGCCCCTGATCATCCACTTTGAGACACAGCATGGATAAAGGGGAGGGACACCACAGCATGGATAAAGGGGAGGGACACCACACCGGGCTTTGTCATTCGTTTTGGAAAGCCCAAAGTTCTGAAAGCCATGTATGTATCCTGTCATATCTGAATACACAGGACAAGTTTGAGCAAAGATTTACAAACGGAGCAGTTCAAACACAATAGGAGCTGTAGTTCTAATATTCTCAAGATGATGAACAAATTATTTACCTGAGATCTGTGTGACCGGTGCGCTGCTGGTGCTGTAGCCCTTCTCTGCATACGCCTGGCGGGAGTCAGCGCAGCCCCGGAGCGCTGACACCCAAAGGGCAGGGGTCCACATAAGGACAACCAGGGGACCGTGTGTCAAAGCCCACAGACGCCGCATCTTGCCCACACACGAGGATCCGTCTTTCACCGGGAGTCAAAAATCACAAATAGTCAGACAGGCATCACACGTTTGCAAACATCAGGATCCAGTGGAGCAGCTAAACCTGGACCATGGAGGGGCTGGAGTCGGGATGGAGCAGGACCATAGACTGGCTGGAGTCACTGAAGCTGGACCACAGATGGGCTGGAGTCACTGAAGCTGGACCATAGACGCGCTTGAGTCGGGACTGACACTCCCCTGTCCACAGCACCATCCTGAGCAGCATCAAGCTCACGTGGGCGCAAACACCCCGGATATTGTACCTTCAAAACACACACTATCGCACTTTTGTCTGAGTTTTACAGATAATAGTACACAACTCACAACATATGTTACAGATAGATCACAAAAAAGCTTACATAATTGTTTAGAATTTTTTTATTCGTCCAACATAAAGCAATGGATTTATTTTGAAAGCGGAAGTGTGGTAGAGGCGCGGTGTCTGATTCACATGGCACCTTGACACATTAAGAAAAATAATAATTAAAAAAGGAAACTTAGCAAAATAAAAAAGGATAAAACGAAAAGTAACATTAACAATAAGATCTAGAGAAAATTTTAAAACATAATTTCGGGGGTGTTAAAAAAAACTAACTTTGGCGCGCTTTGAGTTCTGCCTGAAACTGAACAGAGACGAATGAGGAGTTCATTCAGGAACAAACTCCACTGGTGTATACAGGTATATATGAGGTGTACATATATTTAAAATACCGTCTGCTCATTGTTCTGTGTGTTCAACAATATTGTCGCTTTCTTGTAAACTTCACAGGAGTGTCATTAGTGAACACTACCCACATGTGTTGCTAGCTAACAATTAAGGTATGTTTTATGCTACTCGCTAATGCAAATGCTAAATACCCACGTGGTCCTCCCTCCTTATATCTCTCTTACAACTCACATCAATTTGAATATTTTTTTTATATAATTGGCTAACAGCAGCAGTCGTCTCGGAGGACTTTACAAAGTTCATTGTTCAGAAAATCAAACTCTTCGACCTAGGAGCCATTGGTCCATAGAGAGCATGATGACCACTGCCTAGAAATGCTCCAAAAAAATATTATATTTTATTTTTATTTTGTTTTTTTTGTACCCTTTTGCTCATGGCAATGAAACAAAATATCAGAAAACAGGGAAGCATTGCACACTTCAAGGTGCCCAAAATGTCATCTATTCTAAGATAAGATATGCTTTATTTATCTCACAAAGGAGAAATGTACATGTCACATCTGGCATGGATAGAAACACTCAAGATTGTGCAAAAAGAGTGGAAATGTGCTAAGAAGTTAAATGCAGATATATTATGTCCAATATAAAAGTGGCAATAGTAGTGCAGGTTTTTTCAGTCTTAATATAGTGACGTTTTGGCTCTATGCCTTCATCAGATCACGTTTTTCTTTTTCTTTTGACTATAAAATACAAAGTGGTTGCCAGCCCAGGTGCTCATATGCCTCCAAATTGTGCCTCCACTTATTTGGAGGCATATGAGCACCTGGTGAACATGATCTCATGAAGGCATAACACCTAAGTGTCATGAATAAATACGATTTTGAACACCTTGCTTGGAGTGTGCAATGCTTCCCTGTTTTCTGACATTTTGATTATCGCATCTGCACCTCATTAATACATTTTTTGGTGTGCAATACCGGCTATTTCTACAATGCAACTAAATCCAGCAAACAACAGTAATACATTCCTTGATAAGAAGTACAGGAATATAATAAGGGGGAAAAAAACCTTGGGACAAAAGTGATAAACCTTAGTGAGGCCCATATTGAGAGAGGGATCCGCTCTGAATGGATAGATTTGGGACTGAGGCTAGAGAACCAGGGCTGAGGCTGTAGGACCAGGACTGAGGCTGTAGGACCAGGACTGAGGCTGTAGAACCAGGACTGAGGCTGTAGAACCAGGCTGTGCGATGCAGGACTGAGGAGACTCCCAGGTGGGTAGGTGGAGCCCATGAGTACATGCTGATGGTGGAGGCAGGATTCATTGGGGGGGGACTATCCAGCCATGAAACAGACAATTGAACAGCGGGTAAATGGCAATGAACAGGCTATAGCTGATGTCACACAGATAGTTTGAGAGGACAACAACAAAGTGTCCATATGTGTCTGATAACTATATATTATCTTCATGAAAGGCCTTTGCTCATCTTTAAACCTGAAGATGCGCCAACCAGGAAGCCTTGCAGGGGGAGACAGTACCAATGACAGGTGACAGATACTTACAGAGTGTTAATGGACTGAAACAGATTTGAACATGTGAGCATTGTTTCTTTTTCAGCCTGGATGAGTGGTCAGACCTCTGCAGTGACTATGAGGATGAACTAAGAACTGCTAAACGTAAGAAGTCCTCAGCATATGGGATTCAGGTAACATACATTGTTCTAAATAATCATTTTTTTAAGTACTAAAACTGGGCAAAAGTACTAGTTAACTCTGGTAAAACTAAACCTATCGATTAATGGACAATATATTTTTTAAGCATTGCCTTTGAAACATTAGAAACAACATTAAACTGTTGAAATGTTTTAGAAATATGTAGAACGGACGTCAAATGCATATCTGAAGTGAGAAGCATGGCAACAGAATAATTTAGAAACATGGCTAACAACTTTTTATATTGTCTGTAACAAGTGACACGACATTCTCAAATGTAAAAATTACAAAGTACAGAGGTATGGGTTTGAATTACAGGAGGTAAAAGGTTGTCAGAAAAATAAGTAGTAAAGTACGTATACCAAGAAAAAATACTTTAAAGTACTATGTAGGTAATAAAAATGTTATCTTTGTTAGTAGTTATGTTTTGAATGTTTTCATCTTGCCTAATACCCATGTTTTCATTATTTCACCTGCATGTGAAAGCCTTATCCCGTCAGATCTCAGTGTGTCAGGGCTTGGGTAGTAGTGTGATGGGAGACCTCTGGGAACACCAAGTGCCAAACTGTCGTTCTGTCCTTAACAGAAACGACCAGGCTCCTAATGCAAATTTCTCAGCGTTCATATGAGGTTGAAAAAGGATGTAGTTCTAGCACCCGGCCAGTAGTGGGCAGGGCAGCCCCCCCCCTCCCCGCAGTATACTCTACTTTCTCTGTAAAGACGTGGAAGAACAGGGGAAGAACGCACCAACATCATTCTGCTTTGTAACAGCAGCTGTGAAAATGGAAACTGAACCTAGAGCTTCGCGTGGTCTCGTTTTGACGAACAAAGGCGTAGAACCCTCCTCTGTGCAGCGCTCGAAGCACACGTAGCTAGTTAGTTTACCTGCCGCCATTGTCGTTTACGTTTGTTCTCCGCTACTGCGCATGTCCAAATTTACGTGCTGGGAGCAGCTGGGAGGTGGGGGTCATATCAGGCAAAGAATTCACACCTTTTTCCCTCACGCGGGTGTGAAAAAGCTCCCTGCTGTGCAGCGTTTCTGAGTTGTCCCACTCTGCAGGCTGGATCTGAATACTTACGTTTTGACCCCCCTGGAACATAGTCTTCGTATGAATGGTTGATAGAAACCGACATCCAACTAAAGTGTTTTACTGCCACATTGTCTCCGTGTAACCTGCCCCTGAGTGGTGAATGACTGGTGGTAGATGGACGGGTCAATGGTAGATACTGGTTGTCTTTCTTCTGTCGGTCTGCCCGAGGGCAGCTGCGGCTACAGTTGTATTGTAGCCACAGTAGTAAATTAATAATGCCATGATCAGCGTCTGTCAAAAAAGCACTATAACCCTAATGCATTATTATTGATATTGCCTGCTAAGCGGTCCTTCTGTCCCCTTTTATCCATAGCCACCCAAGAGGTCCAGGCTTAAAGCTGCTGTGAGGGAGGTGTCCAGTCCCTCTGACAGCTTTGTGTCCACTGCTGACCTCCCCCCAGAGAAGCCGCCCCAGGTCAACACCAGGCGGGCTTCTCCTCAACATGCGGCCAGAGCCAAAAATGCCAACAAGAATATAACTGCAGATGACATCTATAATGCAGTGCTCTCTGGGAAAGGAGCCATGGTGGTAAGCTAAATGACAGCCTAAAACTCTGGATAACTAAGAGGGTGGGCCTTAGGAGTCAAGAGGAAGCCCCCAGAGCAACAATGGGGGAGATTATCATGTGCTGTCACTGCTGATGGATGAGACCCTCTAGAATACCCTTGGATCGGCAAAGGGCAGTGTCTTCATGGAGACAATGGATTCTGACCATGAAAAAGGATAATTAAACGCCATTAGTACAGCACTAATGTGTGTATCAAGGGTTTTGACGTAGGACATTAATCATTTTTATTCCACCTTTTCTAACCAGGAAGTGTCTTTTTAAGTTATTCTGGCCAAGTTGGGGTACATTGCAACTTTTCGGTTACCAGGTCATTCAGGGGGATGCCATCCATCTTCCTCCACTTTATCCATTTCTGGGTCGGGGGACGGCAAACAGGCGCATTCTTTTCAGAGCACCAGTCCACAGGAGCACAGATACTTTGTCTGTGACAGTATAGCCTTGATATTTCAGTACATTCGGGAGGATGCAACATTTTAATCATAATCTATGAATTATAGTCAAAACTTGTTCAATAATTTGTGATCCAAATAATTTCTCTTAAGCTAAAATGGTCCATATTTTAATTTTGATTTATGCGCTAATAAAAAACATTGCATTTTTAACTAGACCATACACGTTCTAAATAACAACAGACAAAAACACAACAAATGTATAACAAAGGCTGAAATAATATACATGTGCTATCTGTCACATTTTATAGTACATTTGAATTACTTAATATTGTTTTTAGACTGGTCCACTCCACACAAATTATTAATGTTAAGGTAAAATATTCTGATAAAATAAAACATTCAGGAATCAGATGTTCGTGTCCTATTTGAGAAAGTCGGCACCTGTCTCCCTCTTTTATAACTTAGATACTGTAGAATGTGTCTTGTTGTCTACACAGGACAGGATGCATAACTAAATACAGGACATTTTCAGTTAGATTAAATTCGATATATTTCCAAATGTTTGATGTGATTCAGTAAAAGATGGTTGTGGCAGCTTCCGTCGCACTCCGTCTCGTTTGAACATACAGCTTGAAGATTCATCGTTGAAAAATATTCTCAGCCTCGTGTTTGTTTGTTTCTGACTTGTACATTATTTTAGTTAACATGTTTCTAATGAACAATTTGTTTTTGCGAATGAGTCATCCCTGACAATATATAAGAATTGATTAAAGTTTGTGAAGTGACTGTGCAGACGGTGGTGGACGAGTGGCTGGACACCTACAAGCAGAGTCGGGAGCTGGGACTTCTGGTGCTCGTCAACTTCCTGGTTCAGTCGTGTGGATGTAAAGGTCAGAACTGTTCAAGCTGTTTTTCTTCACTTTAGAATTAAAGTGAAGAAGTTGTCACAATACTAAAATGGCAAAAGTCCATATTGATACCATTGAGCGTACGTAGTAGGACTTTGGCTTTTGCACAAAAATCATATTCGAAGTTAGTTTCTTTATTAATTTTCTTTATTAAAATCAAATATTAAATATTCAATTTAAAAACAAATATTTAATCATAATTTGTTATACAGCTCCTCACAGCAGCAGTAGAACGCTCCATTGATTTGAATGTAATTTCAAAACGTTCTACCGACCATTATTTCTTGATAACGGACCTCTCAAATAATAACCGCCAATAACCAAATAATGACCGCTGCCCTTTGGCAACGCACTCTGTGCTTGTACTTCAGGTGTGTAAAATACTAAGATTACTCTGCAAGTACAACAGACTTTCAGCACCTGTCACTTCTGTCTTAACACACGTGCATCGGTGCATGGAGGTTTTCAGAATGATCTGTTTTCATGACAACAATACTGTTTTAATGTGACAAAAATCGATTGCTGTAAACCCGGAAGTAACCATTAATATTAATAGAACATTTTAGGACACATTTGCAGAGGATCTGATTTTGGGTTTAGGTTAAGTTTGCATTTGGGTCACTCACCACTGATTCTGATTCTTTGTTCAGTTTTCATCTAGTTCGAGTTCTAGTTTTGAAGTAACCTACTAGCTAGCTTAGCTGTTACCCGTCTAGCCACGTCACGGCAAAACCTTTGGGAACTAGCTATTTTATTTATTCTATTTTTAAAAGATAATGCCCCTTACAGCTTTGAATATTAAGGGCTGTCAAATATTCGTTTTGAATATTAGACAGTCCATGATAAAAAAAAGTATATTCAAATTATATTCAAATATCAAAATTTGAAGTCTAAGCCCATATCACAGGAATCATTTACTCATACACTGTCATTTGTAACACAAAGAATGATTATTATTTTAGGTCATCGTTAGATATAGGTCATCTCCCTGAAACTGTCCTGGAGAGGTCCAAGACTGGAAGAGCACTCGGAGAGCGCAGACCTATGATTTATTTTATCTTTTTATAAAATGTATTCATAGTTCAGTGATTCCTCTTCCCAAGTTGTACTAAACCTTTCCATGGCCCATCTTGAGACCTAGACCCCGACATCTGCCCCCAGTGACAGGGTTGAGAGGAGCCATTTTTATTCCCTCATTAACTTATTCAGAATCAGAATCAGAATAATTTTTATTGCCACGTAAGTAACAGGAGGTCACAGACTAGGAAATTGCTTTGGCTCAGTGCAACAGTCAAAAAGAGATAATAAAAATAAGAATAAAAAACACTTCTAAAGAATAAATTTAAATTTAAAATAGAGTTACAGTTACTATTTACAATATACAAGTGCACATGGTGCACTTATTCTGCCCACAGGCACAGTAACAAAATATCTGGATAAAGCCGGATATGTGCTTCGCTAGTAAATAGTTCAATTACAGCCGTATGTCTGATGCCATCTCTCTTGTGATCTCTTTATAACAGAAAGAGCTGATTTTACAACTGCACTTGCTTCCAGGTGTGGTGACTGAAGAAATGTTCAGCTCTCAACAGCACGCAGAGATCATCAGCACCCTCACCAAAGAATTCAATGAGGTGAGGGAGCACTACTCTCTCTCTTATGGTATCATCAGTTCAAACTGCACTCCTTCTGAAGAACCTGTAGAATGAAATGCTATATTTAAGAAAAATATGATTCCATATACAGAAGACTACATGAATATTGGGTGTTCAGTCTTAAAATGAGCTTAACAAACATAGCTGTATATAGAAGGACATTGCAAATCCACTAGCTCAAAGAAGGCCAATAAGGAAGTTCTCTTGGACAAGGTTTTTCTCCAACTTGCTCTGGTTTCTAAACAGGTTTTTTCCACCACGCGACTTGCCGTTACTACGCCACCATGTTAGATTGCAGCTTATGGAACACTGCGACTGAGAGTACCCTCTACCAAGAGTGTTTAATTGTGGAAACGCGCAGAGTGAGACAAGGATGTCTCATTTTTCAAAATACACCCATTCATTGTTTTCCGCTTAATCCATTTCTGGGTCGGGGGGGTGGCAGTCAGAGCTACACCCAGTTCACAGAGCACCAGCCCCTCACTGATCCTCCTGCAGGTGGTGGGTCCACAGGAGGACGGCTGCTCTGTCAGTGAGAACATAGCCTTGATCTTTCAGCGAGGCTTCAGGCAAAGTGGGGTTAAGTTTCTTGCCCAAGGACACAACGACAGCAGACATCAGTGGGAGCAGGTCTCGTGGTGGGCCGTAATACACAGTTCTAGCAAGAAAAAGCAACTTGTAACAAAGAAGTTTTTTCCGCTAAAGAAAAACACACATTTCTGGAATATAGCTCAAGAATGGACTATGTTTTGGAAATTAAAAGTGGATATTGTTTTTCATGGACATTTACGGAATGAATGAATGAACAAGCATGGATTACTTCAGGACTGTAATGAAGTCCTAAGATAAGAAAAGCGATGCGTGTATCATTTGATTTAACCAGTGTTGGGGAATTTACTGATTGACTGACTGACAGAAAAATATGGCATAATTTCGCAGATAGTTAGAAATGCGGTTGATTACGATTAGTTAATTTTTAAGCTGTAATTAACTCAATTAAAAAATGTAATCGTTTGACAGCCCTAAAACAAAAAAAACAAAACATTTGCAGATTAAAGCTAAGAGCCTAATCTTTCATTTGGCGCTTGGTGTTTATATAGTCAAATAACAGAATATTCTGTAGCTCTTCAAAGTTGGGTCCAATCCCCTGAAAACACTGGCAGAACACTCTTCCCTGATCTGAAAAATGTCTGGTCAATAATAATGACAATTTCATCATTAAACATCAATGGTAGTGTCAAAGCTTGTTCAAACAGTACCTGGACAAAAAGACAAAAATCAGAGTATGCTTTTATGTTTTATTCTTTAAACTTGATAATATCACTTTTTTTTTTTAATAAGAAAACTTTATTATTAATAATAATGTGGGACTATGTATGTCTAAGAAATAAGGAACAAAAAAAGATTGAGGGAAGGAAACCCTTCGTAGCGTCATGGCTTATAGGGGACAAATCCCTGCCACACGGCGCGACGTGTTACACCCAACACACTGGATTTAACACTATCAGAATCAGAATAAGAATAAAAAACACTTCTAAAGAATAAATTTAAATTTAAAATAGAGTTACAGTTACTATTTACAATATACAAGTGCACATGGTGCACACAATGTAAGGTGACAGCAGTACAGTGAAGTAAAGTGACGTATGATGGGCAGTAAAGTGACTTTATAAAGGGCGGGGGGAAAGGTTAAGAAGTGTTCAAGAGTCCAACAGCAGAGGGGAAGAAACTGTTCTTGTGGCGGGAGGTTCTAGTCCTGATGGACCGCAGCCTCCTGCCTGAGGGGAGTGGTTGGAATAGTCCATGTGCAGGGTGAGAGGGGTCGGCTGTAATAATAATAATAATAAATAAATCTTTATTTATAAAGCACTTTTCAAAAACAATGTTTACAAAGTGCTGCACAGCATAATAAACAATACATCAGTCATAATACAAAGTTAAAACAAATAAGAATGAATGTAAGAAGACAAGACAAACAGAGGAAACACAAGACCACAAAACAGACAGGACAGACAGTAAAATACAACATTATAAGTTTAAAGCTGACAATTAAAAGCTGTTTTATAAAAGTGGGTTTTAAGAAGTGATTTAAAAGAGGATACTGATGGTGCTAGCCTTATCTCCTCGGGCAGGTCGTTCCAAAGCCGAGGAGCCCGGACAGAAAAGGCTCGATCACCTTTCGTCCGGAGCCTCGACCTTGGAATGGTCAGCAAGGACCTGCCCGAGGATCTAAGGCTGCGGGGGGGCTCGTAGGGGGTTAAAAGTTCATAAATATAGCTTGGTGCCAGACCTAAACGAGCTTTAAAAGTAATCAGTAAAATCTTGAAATCAATTCTAAATCGCACAGGGAGCCAGTGGAGGGACGCTAAAACAGGGGTGATGTGCTCCCTTCTGTTAAAAACCAGTGAGAAGTCTGGCTGCTGCGTTCTGAACCAGTTGGAGGCGGGAGAGGGATTTAGCATCAAGACCGGAGAGGAGGGAGTTACAGTAATCGAGGCGGGAGAAGATGAGGGCGTTGACGACTTTATGGAGATCGGGAGGAGTGAGAATGTTTTTAATCTTAGAGATGGTGCGGAGGTGATAGAAGCAGGTTTGGGTGGTTTTGTTGATGTGGGAGCGGAAAGTGAGGTGAGAATCAAAAATGACACCGAGGTTACGGGCGGAGGGAGTGATGTTTGAGGACAGGGGGCCGAGGTGGGTTTGGATGTGGGATATGGATGGAGGCGGGTTGATGAGGAGGACTTCTGATTTGGAGGTGTTGAGTTGAAGGAAGTTATGGGCCATCCAACGGTTCACATCATTAAAACAGTCGACCACAGCAGCCAGACTTCCAGGGTCGTTTGGTCTCAGCGGGAGGTAGATCTGTGTGTCGTCCGCATAGCAGTGGAAGGACACGTTATGACGGGCCATAACGTGTCCTAGGGGGAGCATATAAATAGAGAATAAAATGGGGCCTAAAATAGAACCTTGCGGCACACCACAGGTGATGGGGGCTGTTGAGGAGGTAAAATCACCCATGGTGACCGCAAAGGTTCTTTCTAAAAGATAAGAATGAAACCAACCAAGTGCAGTATCTCTGATGCCAACCCACGTTTTGAGGCGATCCAATAAAATATCGTGGTCTATAGTGTCGAAGGCAGAGCTTAAATCTAAAAGAATTAAAATAGAGCACTCTCCGCTGTCCGTGGTTAAAAGAAGGTCATTTAAAACTCTAAGGAGAGCTGTCTCAGTACTGTGTTGTGCTTTAAAACCGGATTGGAATTTCTCAAAGATGTGGTTATTGTTAATAAAATCTAAAATCTGAATAGAAACAATTTTCTCTAAAACCTTAGATAAAAACGGGAGTTTAGAAATGGGTCTAAAATTGTTAAAATCTGTAGTGCTTAAATTAGGCTTCTTTAAAAGTGGTTGGACCACAGCATGTTTAAAACTGGATGGGACAAGACCTTGATCCAGGGACTGATTAAGGATTGATAAAATGGAGGGTCCAACCACATTAAAAACATCTTTGAGAAATTTGGTGGGGATGACATCGAGGCTGCACGTGGTTGGTTTCATGCGGAATAAAATGTCAGATAAAAGAGAAAGGGATAAAGGCATAAAATTTGTAAAACAACTAAAATCCAGAGTTTCTCTATTTAAAACAGTGGCTTGGCTAGGAGCAGATATTTGGGTCCGGATATCTGTTATCTTTTGAATAAAATGGTTTAAAAATAATTCACACTGTTCAGTGGATGAATCACTAAAAACACAGGGACTGGGATTTATAATAGAGTTTAAGACTTTAAATAAAACTCTGGGATTCGATTTGTTTTGGGTGATAGTGTTTGAATAAAATAAAGTTCTTGCTTCCTTGACTACGTGTTGATATTGTTTGAGACTGTCTTTCCAGGCGAGGTGAAATGCTGTAAGGTGTGATTTTTTCCATTTCCGTTCGAGCTGTCTGCATGACTGTAAGAGCTTTCGAGTGTTTTCATTGAGCCATGGTTGTGGTGTTCTGGTGGGGTTTCTTTGTTTGAAAGGTGCAATCGTGTCTAAAATCCTATGTGATGTTTGATAAAAGGAGGAGACCTGCTCCTCCAGGCTAAAATGTTGGTTAAAAGTAGTCAAGGAGGCTGCAGTAAAAAGTTGGGAAAATTTAAGAGCAGAGGTGGGTTAAAAACACGAGAGTGATAAAATGACCCATTGGAGGCAGACTGAGGGGCTAAAATAACGTCGAATAAAATAGCTAAGTGGTCCGACACACAGATATCCTTGGTGATGACATTTCCTGCGCTGAGACCAAACGTTAAAACCAGGTCCAGTGTATGGCCCTTAGAATGGGTCGGAGCATTTATAATTTGAAGAAGATTAAAAGACTCAATTAGATCAATAAAATCAGAGGTTAAAGGGTGTGGTTTATGTGGGCAGCAGACATGAATGTTAAAATCACCTAAGATTAAAACTTTGTTGTGGAGGGCCATACACTGGGATAAAAGATCAGAGAATTCTTGAATAAAAACAGTGCTGGGTTTAGGGGGTCTATAAATAATTAAAACAAACACTGGGGTTTTACATGAAATGATAAGAGACAGGTGTTCAAATGAAGTAAAAACATTTTGTGATCCGGGAGTGCATTTAAAAGTGTTCTTGAAGATGGCTGCAACCCCCCCTCCCTTACCGCAGAGTCTTGGTTGGTGGAGGAAGGTGTAGTCCGGGGGGGTCGCTTCAATGAGGGGGGTGCAGTCGCCTTGCACTTGCCATGTTTCTGTTAAAATCATGAAGTCCAGGTTGTTGTATGTGATGAAGTCCTGACAGATGAAGGATTTATTGTTGATGGATCTGATGTTTAGAAGTCCAAAGATTGTAGGTGCAGGGTCCGGAGTGAGGGCTGTAGAGGAGCAAAGGGGAACCGGGATGAGACAGGGGAGGGAGAGTTCCCTGGAGGAGGTCCTGTGGGGTCGGGGTCTGGAGATGACAGGGATTGACTGAGGGGAAGAGCAGGGGCTGGGTCGATGACAAGGGGGGAGAGGAGGTAATGCGGAGGGTGAAGAGGCAGATAGTCAGATGAAGGTGGTGTGGGACTGTACTGAGTGGATGATGTTGGATGTGAGGAAACGATTACCAAGGGGGTTGATATGGAGTCCATCGGGTCTGAAGAAGGAGGAGCGGTGCCAGAATAAATTAAAATTGTCAATAAAACCAAAATTGTGGAGGGTTGAAGAAAATTTGAGCCAGGTGTGTAGAGCTAATAACCTGCTAAAACGTTCCTCCCCTCGGTTTAGAGTGGGTAGGGGGCCGGAGATAAAAATAGATTTTCCTGAACTTGATAAAAGATTAAAAAGATCTTTAAAATGGAGCTTTGTGGTTTCTGACTGGCGGGATGAAGCGTCATTGGAACCGATGTGAATGATAAGACGGGTTATTGTAGATGGGGCGTTTTTAAGCAGTCCAGGTATTTTGTCCAGCAGCGTGGTGACGGTGGCTCCAGGGAAACAGTGAGTGGAAGCATTAAAAAATCTGCAGCGTTTGATAATTGAGTCACCCACCAGAAGAGTTGTGGGTGCAAACAGAGGTCGTGGGGAGGGTGTTATGACTGGCGCTGGAGTGGCTGTGATGGGAGGAGAGGGGCGCTGAGGTGGGTCTGGAGCGGGCTGGGAGAGGCCAGGAGCGCGTGAGCAGGTGCCGTGAGGGAAGAGCAGAGGGATGGAGCAGAGTGCAGGAGACCGATGTGGTTCTGGAGGGACTGAGGCTGAGGCGTGGGGTGTCGTGGGAGGACATCGCACCGAGCCAAGGCAGGGAGAGCCTCCAGCAGCAGACGGCGCGTTGTTATCCGCGGGGGGAGCGGTAGCATTCACGCAGGGGTCCTGCGCTGCGTCAGAGCGCAGTGACCCCTCCGGAGCCAGGACAGCGTTCACAGGGGGACTCCGCACTGCGCTAGAGCGAGGGGATCCCCCCACGGCTGCCCCGGCGTTTGCTACGCTCTGCGCTGTGCACCGGGCGTCTGTGGGGCTACTCACCGTTACATGGCGCAGCGAGTCTCCCGGGGCTGAGGCAGCATTCGCGGGAGGACTCCGCGCTGTCTTCAAACACGGAGATCCCTCCACGGCTGCCCCAGGGTCAGCCAAGCCCCGCGTAGTGTCCGGGCTCTTGGGGCTCCGCGCTGGGTCACAGCTTGGAGGGCCCACGGAGCGCCTGCGGACTGCCTCCTCGACCAGCTTGCGGCGGGTGGGCATGGACGCTCTGCGGTCTTGCCGCCTCTGCTCCAGGCTGCTCTGGCTCCGGGGATGATGGTCTGGGACTGGACAGCCAGGCACCGTTGGCTCCGGGATTGGAGGAGGCAGCGAAGGATCCGGAACCGGGCAGCGCGCTGGATGCTCCGGGAAGAGCACGGAGGCAAAGCTCGGCCCAGGAGCGGGCGGGTCCTTTCGTCGGACCACAATACATGAGGTATTGCTTTGGAGTGGGGTTGAGCAGGATGAGGGGTTCGGGCAGATTACAGGGTCCCAGAGAACAGTGTCGTGTTGAGCGGTGAGTGAGAGGTGTTGTGATTGTCTAAATGCTATGTCCATGAAGTGTTCCAGGAGTAATTCTTTGTGTTTGAGTTCGATGGAGAGGTTATTGACAGTCAATTGCAGTTCTACGGGTGACATGGTATGTACCGGTTTTTTGATTGTGGAGCTGTATGAAGTGAGTTGTGACTTATAGATTTCTTTGTAAATGTTAGTGGGTTGTGTTGTGTCCATGGTTACGGTCTACGGAAGTTAGCCGGCTTGCTAGCCGGCTTGCTACCAGCAGATTCAGACGTGAATAAAAAGTCCGAGGGAGAGTGACAATAATCCTTTTAGGGCTGTTAAAAGGCGCGTAATCCAACCGATTCGCTTGATAAAAACAAATGTTAAAAGCGTGGGTTTTTAGAATAACTTTTAAAAGACAGAGGTTAAAATGCTCCAAACCAGCCGGCGGCCAAGTGATCCTACTCTGTGATACGACCAGCCCGGCCTCGAGCTCGGGCGACGTACAGGTCTTGCAGCGATGGAAGGCTGCGGCCGATCACCTTCTCTGCAGAGCGCACAATGCGCTGTAGTCTCTGTTTGTCCCTGACTGTGGCTCCAGCGAACCACACGGTGACGGAGGAGGTGAGGATGGACTCGATGATGGCCGTGTAGAACTGCACCAACATCTGTGCAGGCAGCTTGGCTTTCCTGAGCTGCCGCAGGAAGTACATCCTCTGCTGGGCCTTCTTGATGAGGGAGCTGATGGTCGGCTCCCACTTGAGGTCCTGGGTGATGGTGGTGCCCAGGAAACGGAAGGACTCCACAGAGGTGGTGGGGGAGTCCATCACGGAGGGTGGGGGCGGGGGGACAGTGCTCTTCCTGAAGTCCACAATCATCTCCACTGTCTTCTGGGCGTTCAGCTCCAGGTTGTTACCACTGCACCAGGACACCAGCCGGTCCACCTCCCTCCTGTAGGCGGACTCATCGTTGTTGGAGATGAGTCCAATGAGGGTGGTGTCGTCCGCGAACTTGATCAGCTTCACGGAGTCGTGGCTGGAGGTGCAGTGGTTGGTGTACAGGGAGAAGAGCAGGGGAGAAAGAACACAGCCCTGTGGGGCTCCTGTATTTATAATCCGAGAGTCCGAGACATGATTCCCCAGACGCGCTCGCTGCTTCCTGTCCGTCAGGAAGTCAGTGATCCACCTGCAGGTGGAATCGGGCACGTTGAGCTGGGAGAGCTTGTCCTGGAGCAGGGATGCCAGGATTGTGTTGAAGGCAGAGCTGAAGTCCACGAACAGGACCCTGGCGTAGGTCCCCGGGGAGTCCAGGTGCTGTAGGATGTGGTGGAGGGCCAGGTTAATGGCGTCGTCTACAGATCTGTTGGCTCTGTAGGCGAACTGCAGGGGGTCCAGGAGGGGGGAGGTGAGGGACTTGAGATGGGAGAGAACCAGGCGTTCAAATGACTTCATGACGACAGACGTAAGTGCTACAGGTCTGTAGTCGTTGAGTCCTGTGATCCTGGGCTTCTTCGGGACGGGGACAATGATGAGGATTTGAAGCAGGCCGGGACATGGCAGGACTGCAGAGAGGAGTTAAAAATGTCCGTGAACACAGGAGTAAGCTCACTGGCGCAGTGTCTCAGAGTGGCCGGAGACACGTGGTCCGGGCCAGGAGCTTTGCGGGGGTGCAGCCTCAGGAAGAGTTGTTTAATGTCTTTAGAGGCTATTGTTAGGCTGGGGGCAGGGCTGATGGGTGGGTCGTTAGAGTAGTGGGGGGTGGGGGAGGGAGAGGTGTCAGGGGCAGCATCAAAGCGACTGAAAAATAAGTTCAGTTCGTCAGCTAGCTTGTGGTCGTCAGCACAGGGGGGGGCTTTGGGTTTGTAGTTGGTGATCTCCCGTAGGCCCCTCCAGACAGAAGCAGTATCGTTGTTACCAAACTGCTCCTGTAGTCGTTCTCTGTGCCGGGACTTGGCTGCTTTCAGTTCTTTCCTGAACTGATATTTAGCTGCTTTGTAGCCGCTGCGGTCCCCCTCCCTGAAAGCAGACTCCTTTGCTTTCCTGAGCTGCCGGAGTTTAGCAGTGAACCAGGGTTTGTCGTTGTTATAGATGACCCTGGTCCTTGTTGGAATGATGCTATCCTCACAGAAGTGAATGTATGACGTCACAGTGTCCGTATATTCATCCAAGCTGTCTGTGGCAGCTCTGAAAAGGTCCCAGTCTGTAGATTCCATGCATGCGCGCAGCTCTTCCACAGCTTCATCAGACCACACTTTGGAGCTCCTCACTGCAGGTTTTGAGAGCTTTAGTCTCTGTCTGTAAGCAGGAACCAGATGTATCATGGAGTGATCTGAGAAGCCGAGGGCTGGCTTGGGAACAGCGCGAAAAGCTCCGCGTACGGTGGTGTAACAGTGATCCAGAGTGTTCTCCTATGACGTTAGTCCACTCCGAAAAAATGGTCTATGATAACGAGGAGATTTTATCATATGAAAAAAGCTTTTGGTCTTTGCCAATTAATATACACCTCAAATATTTTCCTTTTGATATATTTATATATTTTTTATAAATAATGCAGTCTCCACTCCTGGGGCCTCTGACCTTTTTGATTGTAGAGCTACTTTTATAAAAACAGAAATGGCAGAGAGTCATTTTAGACTATAATAACTACAGCCAAACATTGAGAACAAATGCATATAAATTCCATTTTACTGTACATGAATGCATTCATGAGATGTATAGTTAGAATTGATATGTATTGACTCAAAACTGAATCATTCAGGACCATGTGTTTAAATTATTGAATCCTTTGGGGAGCTACCTGAAAGAGGGTGGCGAGCTACTGGTATCAGGTTTGAGACGTTCTACTCTGGTCTACTTATTTCCTCAGGATTCAGTGAACTACCCGCTGTCGACCCCAGGTCCGCAGCTGAAGCGTTTCAAAGCAAATTTGTGTGAATTTGCCAAAGTCCTGGTTCGATCGTGTCGCAACAGTCTGGTGTTTGACGAGTACCTGTTTCCTACACTGCTGGCTCTGCTCACGGGACTGTCGGACTCCCAGGTCAGGGCCTTCCGACACACCAGCACTCTGTTTGGTGAGTCCATGACGTGAGGAATTGTCTTATGTCTCTTTTGAACTAGCAGCAGACCAGAGTGATTCCCAACTTTCTCACACATTCTGTGCATCTTTTCTGTTCACCACTATAAAAAGATTGTTCACATTTCAATGAACAGTGTTGGTGATACTCAATCAGTTTTCACCCATTTCAAAACTACTTAAGCCAGTCAAATCTTAAAAAAAAGTGGATTATGATCTGTAAGTTGATGAACATTGTGTAGTTTTCAATTTTTTCTGGTCCATCTAAATGTTGTTTTACCTGAGATGTTCCACGGTTTGGCTATATTTGGTTAAATTAGTGTAAGTTCAACAGACCTGGCTGAGCTGGTACTTGAGTGTTCTATCTCAGTGTTTTTCAACCAGTGTTCTGTGGCACGTTGGTGTGCCATGAGATGTTTATTAGTGCGCCTTGGAAATGATGTGAGAGGATTAGAAAGAGTTTTTGTGCTTGTTTGATTTGCTAAATAAGAAACATTGAGAGTTAGTTTCCTTTGTTAATAAAAGCTGTAGAGTATCAAATTCAGTTAGTGGTGTGCCATGTGATGTTTTACAATGACAAAGGTTGGGGAACAATTTCTAACTGACAGTGATTGGCCAAAGAGCTGCTGGAAGCCATGGCTACAAAGGAATTTCTCAGAATACTGGATTGTTGTAGGTGGTTTTCTAGGATGGTGTACCAAATAGTAAAGCATAATGCAAACACAAGCTGGTAGAGTCGAGTTGGGTAGGGCCAAGCAAGGCTGGTGGAAACGGCCTAATGTAATCAGAAAGGTTACAATATTTAGTCCTTGTCTTAATCCATGACTTAATACTGTATATTTTTGATATTTTGCCCAAAGCTTTGCCCAGAAGCATCGAGGCATGTGGCTTTTTAGTGTTTGCTAATACTCTCTCGTTCCTTTGCAGCCGTGAAGCTGTTGACTGGACTGGTAGAAGTTGCCGCTCACTTGTCAGTTCAGATCCAAACTCTCCAAAGACGATACGACATTGAGTTTGGTAAGACAGCATTTGAACAAACCCCTGAGAGACTGGAAGAGCTGCACGCCACCATAAGTCAGGTAAGCATTTAGGATTTAGCTTGTTGCATTCACACAAATCTACTCGGTTTCTGCTGGGTGTAAAAAGTCTATCACATCCTGTTAACATCTTACATTTGGTGTGTGTTCGATCGTACATGCGTGACCTCTGCTTTAACTACCGGTAAATGGAATGTTATCCTTGTAGACCTTTTTATATTGTGTGTCTGTCTGTCATAAATAAATACTTAGTCCTATTCCGGTCTTTCGGTCTTGTTGAGGGTGAGCTCATAAAAAGTCAAAAACATTTACATTTGACAAGCCGGCTGAAGTTTTTGTCTTGCAATGAATCCTGACTTTCATTAGGACCTCACTGACTTTATAATGAGCAATTATCTTTTTACTTAATAAATAGAAGCAAACATAGTGGATTTTGGAATGTCTACTTGGTCCTTTGTGAAATTGCATTAAAATGAATCTTAAATTGGCTGTATTTGGAAAAAAATACAATTATTACACATTACATACAAAAAAGATTTTAATTTTTTTATTACTGGCAACTAATTGTAGCAAATATTGTGAAGCTGCATGACAACAGAGAGGAGCTGGCGTCCATCATGAACGCGACATTCCGGGGAGTGTTTGTGCATCGCTATCGGGACAAACTGCCAGAAATCCGTGCTGCTTGTATTGAGGAAATGGGAATGTGGCTGAAAACGGATCCTGAGGACTTCCTCAACGATGGATGCATGAAGTATCTGGGGTGGACCCTACATGACAAGGTTTGGACCTCACCGTCTGCACACTAATCCCTGACACTTCAAAAGTACAGATACAAGTCTGCTGAATGGGCTTTTGGTCATGGACATGAGATGTTCCAGTCTCATACTCTTCTGATTGCTAACCTGTTATGTAAGGGTAAACCACTTTAGTTTACCCTTACATAACAGCTATTAAATTGCTACTTGGTGTATATTTTATGGTTAATTAGCTCTTAATTGGCACTTTTTAGTCCTTATTCCACATGGCCTTATTCAACATCTAACTAACTGCTAACTGACACTTTCCCATGTGGGTTAGGGTTAGGGTACACTAAAGCCCCGTTTAGACGAAGACGCTGCAAAGCAATTAGTCAAAATGACCAGGCTCCTTATTCGGAGTGCACAGCGTTTACACAACGACGGAAAACAATGTAGTTCTTGCGACCCCCAGCAGTATTACCACTTTCTCAACAACATCCTCCTCAGGTGTCTGCACAACGTGAACGAATGCACCAACATCATTCTGCATTCAACAGCAGCTGCAAAAATGGAAACTGAAACTCCAGCTTTGCGTGGTTTCGGAGTAGAATTCTCCTCCATGTAGCGCTCAAAGCACCCGTTAGCATTTGTTTACGTGGCCGTAACGGTACCGTCTCCGATAACAAGGCGACACTCAGCTCTTAACGTTTTACTGTTGTAGCGTCTCTGTGCAAAAGAGACATCTTTCAAACCACAAAAATGTATTAATTAATGTACCTAGTTCCTATTTCTATCAATGGTTTTCATGTGCATGTATTTTTGTCCATTTGTCATATCTTTATATCAGACTTACTCCCTCATATCAGCTCTTCTCAGCCCAAAGCATCAAATTGTGACTTACATGGCTCCTCTTTAGTTTGCCAATTGTTCTAATAAGATAAATCCTTGCTATGGTCTGGTTTGTTCACAATAATTGCTGACTCAGAACTGGTTCCAAGCAGCTTAAAGCGTTGTTCATTAAACCTGTGAGAATAACATGATAGCTGTAGTTGTTTTAAAACATTGATTGAAACATACAGAGCTAGAGCAGTCAAAAGCACAATATGTTCTTGTATATAATAGACATGTTCTCAGAGCTGTCTGTGTTCTTTTCTTTGTGTTTCAGCAAAGTCCAGTGCGTCTGCAGTGTGTGCGTGCCCTGCAGGGTCTGTACAAGGAGAAGGAGTTCATTGGACGCCTGGAGCTTTTCACCAGCAGATTCAAAGTAAAGCATCCCGGTGGATTAGGCAGACCCCTCATTTGCCTGTTTCTGCTTCTGTCTTTCTGTCTATGTCATGCCCCGTTCAAGTGTTCGAGTCTGGAAGCTGTCTGTTTTGTGCCATTCTTACTAGTTGTAAGCTCTCCTTTTTGTCTCTGTCTGGGAGCGTTAATTGCTGTAATTCATTTGTCTAATCTCCCTACAAAAGACCTCAGCTGAATGAGATGGAGCTTTGTCGTTCATAAAGAGGAAATGAGGCCTATGTTGTTCATGAAGGGGCGCAATGACTGGATTCATGTTATTCACTTCGAAAACTTGTCATTCACCTTCTTATTAGAAAACGGCAACGAGTAGAAAACACATGAACTGTTGAGATTAAATTCAAAGTATTTGTGTATCGCTCTGAGGCAAGACTTTATAAAGTTGTCGATTCACCATTGATAGAGCAGAGAATCAAATCGTTGAAATATAGGAAATGCAATGATAACAAACACATAGGAGCCATTGGTCCATAGGGAGCGATATTACCACTGTCCAGAAATGTCCATCACTGTCCTTAGACCCTCCTGCATCGACAAGGAACGACCCACAAAACAGTGGACACAAATGAGAAACCTCGGACAGGCCCACTTTGAGAGAGTGAGCCGCCCCCACAGCTGTAGGTCCAGGCATTTTAAGTTCATCCTGAAACCTGAAAATTGTGAGTAGTCTGTGTGTGCATTCTGTTGTATGCATATTGCTCTGTGTCCAGGAGAGGATACTCAGCATGGTGCTGGACAAGGAACCTGACGTGGCTTTGGAAGTGGTCAATCTGTTGCTGCTGATCCAACAGTGAGCTTTTTCTGTCTTTATGAGTCTTCTTCTGTGTTGCCATCAGTAGATCCAATAATAAATGTTTTCTGTCCAGCTCATCTATTATAAAATGGCTGATTCACAGCTTAGTCCATTTCACCGGTGACTCACAGTCATATCATAAATTTCTCAGGGTTTCTATTTACTTGCTCTGACTCATTCTTTGGATTTGAAATGAAAAAACAACTGTACTGTTGCCGCTGAAGTCCAGATATATTCTGCTTGTGCTGCTCTGAGCTTGTACTTCTTCTGTTGTGCCTCACAGGAGCACAGAGGAGGGTCTAACCGAAGTGGAGTGTGGCCACATCTACCCCCTTGTTTATGCTTCTCATCGCGGCCTGGCTTGTGCTGCTGCCAACTTCCTCTACCACAGGTGCCACCCTTCGTTTTACTGTTGGGACAGCTTTTCACCATTTTATACCAGTTGTCCTTTCTTGTATACAGCTGTGCGTCCTCAAATCTCCATAAAAGGGAAACCAAAATTCACAAGGTTAAAATCTGAATTGTTTATTTTCCCTGTCAAAATTCAATTCAATTATTTTTGTAAAGCCCTAATTCACTACAGTAGTTATCTCAAAGGACTTTTCAAAGCTGCCGATTCGCCAACACAGATGAGAGAATCAAACAGTTTAAACACAGGTAATGCAATGATTAAAAAAACACATAGAGCCATTGGTCCATAAGAAGCAGAGACCAATGTCCATAAATGTTGTTGAATGTCTAATGTCCTAGATTATCACCAATATCCTTAGACGCACCTTCATCGTCAAGGGACAACTTCAGTGGGAGAAAAGTGAGAAACCTCGGGAGGCCCACATTGAAGGGGAGATCTGCTGCCTCAGATGGACAGTCTAGATCCAGGATTGAGGCTGAAAATCTAGGACTGACGCTGTAGATTCAGGAACAAGGCCACGTGATACAGGACTGAGGCGGCTCCCAGGCGGGGAGGGGGTGCAGCCCACAAGTCCAGGCTGGGGACTACAATAACTGCAATAAATGCTCAAACCTCTGAGCTCATCCTCTTTTGTCTAAATCAGGGCCCCTAAACTCCACCCTTCCATTTAACTTTTAAAACACACAATAAGATCCTGTTTTGTTCACTTCAGTCTTTATTTCAACCTTTCAAAGAAATGTTAGTTTCATTGAAGAAAACACATGTAAGGATGCATGAGAAAATGTAATACTAACACTCTATTATACTATAAGATACAGTATGTGATTGTGTTAATGAAATATGTTTTCACTGTGTATATGAGTACGCATCATCACACCCATACACTCAAGGATTTTAGAGATAATTCCCGGAGTCTCCTGTATTCATGTATTGATGTATTGCACTGGATGAGCTCATGTTCTCCCTCCACACTCGCTGTTCTTTCATCTGTTTGTTGATTTTCAGCAGCACCATGTCGACCTTTTGACACAACTGAAATGAAAAAGTCTGCTACTAAAAATTAAATTGCTACCATGATCTGCTGCTATGTTGACTCTTTTCGGATTTTTATATTACAGTGGTCCCTCTTAAATTGCTGGGGTTTTACTCTAAAAAATGCGATCTGCGAAGAAGTTGGCTGTATTTTATAAAATTATGTGTTTTAAGGCTATAAAATGTAATGCAGCATGGCTTTGATATTCAGGGACTGGGAACAAAGCATATGTGAAATTACATTGTTTGCTTTTCTTTGATTGTAACAAGAACTTTCACCTTTCCCCATTTATGTAAACTGAGTAACTTCACAACGAATATATTACAGTAACTTTCTTACTCCCTACACTTTATATTTTGTATATTAATTTACTGCTTTCCTCAGAATGGAGTGGATGGCTGCTGAACAAAAACTAAAAAGTTTTGAGAAGGGCGCTGCTGCATTCATTCAGATGGTCATGGCTTTTTACATCCAGTGTGAGGTGAGTTACACTGCAAAAACACATTTAGAAGCATGAGGTATTCAGAATACTTAAGTTTATTCAGGGGCTTGCAGCCCCGAGAATCAACTGGTTTGACAAAAGAGACCCGCTCTTGTTGAGGGCTATTTAATAGTAGTTAGTTTTAAAATATTTGCTTCAATTGATCTTGATAATAAAAGAGGCAGTTCAGTTATTTTAGTTAATAATCAAAAGGAAGTCCATGTACAGTACTTGCTCATCACTGTTTTTATGCACATTGGTCACTGCTCTTTATGGACCAATGGCTCCATGTTTTTTTTGTATCATTGCATTTCTTGTGTTTGAAATGTTTGATTCTTTGATCTGTGTTCAATTCAACGGTTTTGTTAAGTCCTCCGAGATACTGTTGTGATTTAGGGCTATACAGGAATACATTTAATTGAATTGACAGTAACTTGATTTTGTTTTGTTTCTGTGTCAGTTTCATGAACACGCTGCGTACCTGGTGGACAGTCTGTGGGATGTGGCCGGAGCAGAGCTGAGGAGCTGGGAAACCATGACTGCTTTTCTCCTAGATGAAAACGGTAAGAAAACAAGTTTGTCATTTTCAAAGAGGAAACTAACTTTATAAAGTAGGTAATCTTTATTTATATTGTGAAGTTCAGACCAAGGCCGCAAAAAGAGCTTTGAAAAAAAAAAAGGGCTTTGATTTTATTGTACCTGTACTTTCTCCTCAATCCACTCTGGGATGGAAGCATCGACCATCCCCATCCATCGACTCTCACTACATTCAGACCTATTGTACATGTTTTAGTGGTGGGGGAAACTGGTAGCCTTGTAGTTCCGCCATGCTCCACCAGAGGCGTTTGGCTGAACCACATGGGTCTGGTATCGAGCCCATAGCGAACGCCTTTCCCAGATTATTTTTTAATCGACCAATCAGGATTGCCGATGTTACGTGGGGTTTGCACTGCCTTCTCAAGCTTCTCTCATGCAGCAGGGAGAGGAATCCAAGATGGCGGACGTAAAGGCCGCGAATCTTTTTAAAAGAGTAAATACGATCGAATTAAGACACGGATGTCACTTTTAATGCAATTTGAGGCGAGATGTAGATGGTTCTATGTTGATAAATGTGTGTTTTAAGAGTCAAATGTTCCTGTAAAGTTTGGTTGAAGCACTGGTTTAGTGTTCCTGTTTACACACAATGCAGCAGGGTTGCCAGGTTTGGTGGTTCCCGCATATTTTTTTCCAAGAGACTTGTAGGTATTAAATAAACAGAAAGACAATAAACAAAATCATGATAGCCCAAGTTGATTACATTACGTTTTTAGCCAAAAAAATCATTTTTTTTTTTTTTTTTTTTTTTTTGGGTATTCTCGCGGATTTTGGGTTGGAAAATCTTGCTGGGATTTGGCAACCTATGGGAGCCGTGTGCTTCGATGTGAGTGGTTGAAAGCAGACTTCATTCAAGATAACGGACAAGTGGTCTATCCAATCACATACAAGGATTTTTTTTACAAGGCCCTGCCTTCCGAAATCCAACCACTAAAGTAAATACTGTTATGACTGATTGGAAGTAACAGATAACAGAAAAGGAGGTTCTACTTACATAGAACCTCCTTTGAGTAACTTGGAGTCTTCATGAAGGGTGATCTGTTAATTCCAATCCGTCATAACAGCATTATATAGACTCGTCTCTGATTGGCCGAGAGCGGACCAGGGCCCGCCTTCCCAGGGGTCAAGAACTGCATAGCATATTCAATTAAGTTGCACTCAAACCATGTGGCAATGCAATATGCAATATGCAATGCAATCCAGAGGGAGGTGCTGTTTCACAACACATTAAATGAAACTTAACATACTCAAATGTGAAATACAAGTCAAAATAGGATATAACATGCAATTTTGCCAAATACAACTTTAAACTAAATGCCATGTTAAGAATGAATAGAACAATGAATAAAGAGGCCAAATTTCCATGTCAATATGCTATTCATTTCAAAATCTTGTAATTTGCAATATATAAAGACATTGTATCGACACTTTACATATTGAATTGCCATTAGAACTTTTGGAATAGAACATTAAATGTCAAAATTGGATATAACATTACACTTTGACAAATACAAATACTAAATAAATACTAAAATAACATAATGCATAGCCATTTGACAAATGAATAGACAATTGAATTAAGGTGCCAATAGTCTTCCATAGGAATGTGAGTCTGCAACCGATTATTGGGCTGTGATTATGGTGTTCCAACCAAACCAGGAAAAACAATGCCTCCCTGCTCTTGGATAGTCCAGCAACCAACTACAGCATCGTGATAAACACATGTCATTCCCACACTCCTCTCATTTCCATGTATTTTACTTGAAAATGGTTCGATTAAACCAAATGGAAGCCTAGTGTGTATTCTGGAAGGCTGAATGTCAGTCAGGTTCGATGTCGGGCTGTGTTTGGTCTTAGCATGCACAGTGCTTTTGGGGTCTTGGCGCACTGAAAACTGTTGCTGCTTACATTACTTTTGCTCATCTGCCCGTCATCGTATATAGTCCGCCCTAGCAATCTGATTGGTCCTGTCAGATCTTGTTCAGACATAATCCTGACCCAACAGAGCAGGGCCAGACCAAACTTCAGGCTGGAAGATGATGGAGGCGGGGCTAAAGTTCGGCTGTATCCAGGCTAACAAATCTTGGCTCCTCTTCCCATCCCTACTGTGATGTCAGCTGGAGTTATGTGTATAATCCCATGATTGCATTTCCCATCTGTCTGTCGTGTCTCATACATTCACCCTCTCCCCCATCACTGCCTCATGTGAAGGTGTTCTGTCTCACCCACCCCCCCTCATCATCACCCTCCCTCACCCATCACTGCCTCATGTGTTCTTGTGTAGGTATTCAGGACGAGGAGGAGAGTGCGTTGATCGAGATCATGGTGTGTGCCGTTCAGCGCGCATCACAGGCCACACCACCTGTCGGCCGAGCACACGGCAGAAAGGTATCTGCAATATCACAAGGCATTCAAGTCCTAGGTAATCACACAGTATATTAAAGATGCTCAATGCTCTCCCTGCTCCAGGGAGAGAACACTGCTTAAACGTGTTCAAGGGACAGAGCCCAGTTCTCCTCATGTCACTGTTGGCATCGCTCACACAAGCTCACTTTCCGAGAAGATTAATTTGAGAGTTGTTTTGAGGCTCCCGTGTTGTCCCTCTTCAGAGAAGATGCAAAGAGGGGAAACACTTAGAAATACCCCTTCTCATTATTGGATTCACCTCTGTGTGGATGTCAAGGATCACTGAGAGTGCTAAAGGTGTAAAAAAAAAAAAAAAAGGCCCCACGGTAGCGCACCTTATTGCACTGAGAGTGCCTCAGTCTTCCACTGAAGGAGCTCCTCAGCTCCTCTACAGTCCTGTGCAGTGGGTGGGAGGTGTTGTCCATGATGGAGGTGACTTTGACTAGCACCCTCCTGTCCCTCACCTCCTCCAGAGTTCAGGGAGCAGCCCGGAGTGGAGCTGGCCCTCCTGACCAGCTTGTTCAGTCTGCTCCTGTCCTGCGCTGTGCTGCCCGGGGCCCAGCACACGGCAGCGTAGTAAATGGCTACCACAGAGTCATAAAAAGTCCTGAGCAGTGGCATGCTCACTCCGAAGGACCTCAGCCTCCTCAGAAGGAAGAGGCGACTTTGGCCCTTCTTGTGCAGGGCATTGGCGTTATGAGACCAGTCCAGTTTATTGTTAATGTGAACACCCAGGTACTTGAAGCTGTCCACCAGCTCAATGTCCTCCCCCTGGATGTTCAGCAGCGTGTGTAAATTCATCTTCTCAATGTCATAGAAAGTGTGTTTTTTCCAGTTCACAACTACAAATAATGTTACAGGTTGACAAGTTGGTTTTGTTGCATACAATATTTTATTTCTTATTTTCAATGCAGATTCTGAGTGCGAAGGATAAGAAGATCCAGGACCAGGACAGGAGCCGCATCACAGCACACTTCATTCCACTACTTCCACAATTATTGGCAAAGGTAAATGTTTGTGTTATAATCTGATACATCTTTATCTCACAGGTCGATACTAATGCAGCGAATTTAAACTCTTCTTCTTTAATGCAGTACTCGGCAGACGAAGCAAAGGTGACACTTCTCCTCAAAGTCCCCCTCTGTTTTGATTTGGAGTTGTTCAGCAGCGCTCAGGGCATGTCCAACGTAAGCAGTAACGAAACCCACATTCTTTCTCTGCAGAAAATAAAAAGATTCTCACCAATCTGTTATCTACCTATATTCTAAAGATCTTTGTGACACATTGTTTTAGGCTCTCTGCGTTTAGTGCTGTTATAATGCTCTCTGGTGGATAGCACTCTCGCCTCTCAGCAAGAAGGTCCTGGGTTCGAATCCCGATCGGACCAGGGCCTTTCTGAGTGGAGTTTGCATGTTCTCCCCGTGTCTGCGTAGGTTTCCTCCGGGTACTCCGGTTTCCCCTACCACTAAAAATATGTACAATAGGTCTGGCATGCGCCTCCTGTACTGGCGACCCCGCTCCCATCTCTGTGTGGAGTGAGAGACAAAAAATAACAATTGTAAACCGCTTTGAGACTCAGATCTGCAGTGGAAAAGGCGGTATATATATACTTACTACTACTGCAGTTTGGACCGTGGTCACACAATGTCTTTCCGGTTCACTTGAAATCAGTGCAGCGTTGCTAGATAGGGGCCACATGCAGCACTGTAACTTAAATTTACATGGGCTGTATTGGAGATTTTTCCCATAGCTGTTTATATGAACTAAAACAGCTCGTCCTCAGCTGACGGGGAACCTACAGCTTTCACAAAGGTCATATTTTGTGGGTGTTGCTCTCCGCCTCTGAAATGAGGTTCCCCAGTCTCTGCGCATGTTAGTCAGTGGACTGCTTCAAATTGCAACTTATGACCTAAATTTTTAGATAGGCTTTCTCGCTTCACCTTACATAGGCCTGGATCTGAAGAGTGTTCAGGACTCTTCTGTATTGTTATTGGAACTGACTTGTATGTGTACTATTTTTCTCTGTATGTTTTTTTTAATGGTAAATTGTGATCCTGGTCAAGGAAAGGCACTATATAAATAAACTTTACTTACTTAAAATTTGTCACATGCGTTTAGGAAAGTTTTGACCTAAGTGAGAACCTCAACTTTAAAACGCGACTTGAAAGCTATCATGTGTGTGTTGTCCCTCGGTGTCTGTAACCCTGTGTGCTGTGTGTGTGTGTGTCGCAGCACCTGGAGAATCTCCTGACTCAGGTCTGTGCGATCGTGGAGAAGCACACAGACTCGTCCGTGTTGGAGGCCTGCGCACATTTGGTCAGCAGTCTGTGTTCGGACTGCTACACGTTTTCCTCCCGCGCTCACACTGCTTTTGGTCAGCTGCTGGATACACTCAGCGACTGCTTCAACAGCTACCTGAGCGAGCTGCTGCAGGTGACTGACATGTATTTTTACTGAGCAGAAGAATCAAAGTATTTTATTGTAGAATATACAGAATATATACAAAATGGGCAAGGCAAGTTTATTTGTATGGCATATTTCATACATACAGGCAACTCAATGTGATTAACAAAACAATACAGAAAAAATGACACAAGGCATTAAAATCATGAATAATCACAGTACATTAAAAAGATTGAAGATGAAATCCCTCAGTTGTAGCACAGTTTGACAGATCTGACTGACCACATCCTGTAACAACAACAGCTGCTACAGTAATTAAGCAGTACTAGCTTCTTTAAGAACCCTCTGAGCCTAATCATGAATCCCTTTTGGCAAAAAAAAAATCAAACCAGAGCCCCGTATCAAAATGTGGGAAAATCGATAAAAAAAATAGAAGCCTTCAGCAGCATATTTTAAGCTTTTCACAGTTTAAATCCTTGAACACATTTGTCTGCAGTAACAAAAAACATTAAAGGCCACACACTAAAATAAGTGCTGGCCTTAAATTAAATGAAAGGGCTTTGTTCATGTTTGCAGGGGAGCGCTGATGAGGATGATGTGTACCATGCGGCTGTTGCCTTGAAGAGAATTGGGGCTTTGAGCTGGTTGGTTGTTTTGTTATCGCTCACATCGCTGATCAGAAAAGTGTTTTCTGATGCGCTCGTTTGCATGTTTAGTGCTAAAGATCCCACCGCTTGGAAGCTGTTTGACGGCTGCCTCCAGCTCCTGAGCAGCCGAGTGGAGACTACAGAGGTGGAAGTGGAGGTACAGCCACCACCTCAAACTGAATAAATTCTTTCACTTGTTTTTCTGCCGTTGATAATTAGTCTCTTTGTGTCTTGTTTTCTTTCACAGCTCATGGTTTCTGCGCTCAAATGTGCCGCTTTCCATTTGATGTGGGCAAAAGTCAATACAGTCAACTCCTCACTAAAACAGGTTCACTTTTGCATGATTGACATAAAACTGTGTGAATACTTTTGCAAAAAATACTTATAAGACTATGAGCATTGGTTGGCAACTCGAATTGCCCCCGACGCAGAAATAGTCTAATAAGAGGGGTAGAAAATTAATGACTTTTAAAACTTCTTCACCTTAGTCCACTCATTCTGCTCTTGTTTCTAACATAAATACAATAGATGACACTGACAATGTTCAGAAATAGAAAATGATATTGTAAGATTTGTACAGTATGTTTCCTGTTTTATGGACCAACTTAAATCTTATGTATAATATTTGATCAGTGATGCGTGATTATCCACCTCTACAAACACATTTTTCTAACTGACGTGATGGCGTTTGTAGTGACCTATTGTAAAGACTTTTATTGGTACAGCAACAATCAAATTTTTCTTCTGTGTTATTTCTAAGATTTTAACCATTTAAATTACATAATAAAATCAGAATTTCCTATATCATGTTGTTCCAAGAGACCTAAATGAATATAGTAGATACAAGGTATGTCTTCACTTAAATGAACAAACTTTTATGTAGTTTGTGCTTTAGTTGTGTTTGATTGTCCCCACACAGGCAGAGATGAAGATTCTTAAAAGAGAGGTGCGCTCCTTCTGTAAAGTCTGTCAGTCCTGTCTGTCTGTGACTGCAGCTGAAATCAGAGAACAGGTGAGAGCTTTCATTTCTTTCATCAAACTTACACTTCATTACAGAAATAGTGCAGTATCAGTATCTTTAGTTTAGAGTGTTAATGTGTCACTTCTACCATCAGTATTTTACAAAGTCACTTGTGTTTACTTATGTTAACGCAGGGGCCGACAAAGGGCCTCTAAGCTATCTCCAGGTGCACAATGTTTTTAAAAGACTTGGCCACCGATGACAGCGAGCACCGTGTTAGCTAGATAGATTTTTTTTCTATCTTAAAGGAGAAATTCACGTGTCTAGCAGTAGAAACACATCCATCCATACAAACGGATGAACACATAATTCTAAAAGTTACTGACAATAGTAATGCAACCACTCTTTAGGTCACAGAAGCAGAGGTATTGGGTGGCGGGGGTGGGGGAGTGGGAGAGACCTGTGTCTATTTTCTCTGGCTTGAAAAGACCATGGTTCAAAATCATGTTTGTCAGATCTAAGTTTTCATAAAAGGCCAATATTACAATGTGTGTGACTCGCAAGTGCAGACAGCCTGTGCTTCAGGAGAACGGCTTTATCTCTGGTCCACAGCTGTAGTTGACCACCACCGTGTGTGAATAATGCTGCAAAGTGTCTGTGGGTCTCATGAAAAGTGCTATTTGTCCATGGAGCACATCCTGATGTTGATGCTGGACTTGGTCAGGACCAGAGCTGGAGGATTTTACTTATTGTACATGTTTTAGTGGTAGGAGAACATGCAAACTCCACTCAGAAAGACCCTGATCCGACCGGGATTCAAACCCAGGACCTTCTTGCTGAGAAGCGAGAGTGCTATCCACTCAGCCACCGGGTTGTGTTCTCAGATCCTCCACAGGCGCAAGCAGTTAGAGAGCGATGGAGAAGTGTGTTGAGGCCTTCCCAAAAGTTTTAGGAATTTCAATTACTTATATGGACCCGATAAATACATTATACATATATATTTGTGCTGAAAACCCAGTTAATATAGCCTTGCAAACGTGTCTGTGCCGTTTTACGTGTGCATCAAATATCTCACCTGACTCTTTGTTTATGTGAGTGTGGGACTGTGCTCCGCAGGCGTTTGAGCTGCTGTGTGACCTCCTCCTGCTGTTCAGTGAGACGTCTGTGCGCTCTGAGCCTGAACTGCAGACACTGGTGCATCTGCCCTCGGACTCCCTGCGCTCTGAAATGGCTGCTTTTCTGGTGGATTATGTCTTCACTGACGATGAGGAGCTCAATGGTAATGTTTTATCTACATGTGCAGCATTAACATCCGTTTGAGCCTCTATTGACCACGCTCTTTATTTGACTGGGTTTGTCAGATTTCACTTCAGACAGTGAGGAAAATACATGGTCTTATTAGACAGAGTTTGAAAAGTTATGGTTCCCACTGTATGTACCAGTTATTGTCTTAATAATTGTAAACAAAATGATCTGCACTTGAGGGATTTTCTGTTACGTTTTTGTGGCACAAACGAGTCCCACGCATCCTGTTGAACTATCTCAAACTCTACCATATGACGATGAGTATTACATACAGATAGAGCTGTTTTATGGCTTTTAAAACAAAAGTATCAACACCAATTTAGCTTGAAGTCAATTTATCTTCACACATGTATGCCCACCATTTTAGATTCCAATGTAATTAAATTAAATTCAATTCATTTTTGTGTAACCCTAAATTACAACAGCAGTTATCTCGGAGGACTTTACAAAGGTGTCGATTCACCAACACAGATCAGAGAAACGAACAGTTCAAACACAGGAAATGCAGTGATAAAAATCACATAGAGCCATTGGTCCATAATTGCTGATAAATGTCCATAAATGTTCATAGATATCCCTAAATGCCGTTGAATGTTGAGTGTCCTGGATCATTACCACTGTCCTTAGACCCTCCTGCATCAGCAAGTAACAACTTTTAAAAAACCCTGTGGGAGAAAAGTGAGAAATAAAAATAGCAGAATATGATCTCCAACGTATCACCCGAACAAGGCTTTTCATATCTATGTTCTGTTTGAAATTATGTATTCACAAGATCATGTGAACTGAACATAATATTTCATGTGTTGTCTAATACAATAACTTTGACACAACTGTGTTTTGTAGAAGTTGGCGAGGAGGCAAAGATAGCCAGACTCCAGAAGAAACGCAATCAGCTGGCTGGTTACTGCAAACTCGTCATGTATGGAGTTCTGGACCTGGCGGCTGCAACAGATGTTTTCAAACACTACAGCAAGGTTTGCCCAATACCAGGGTCACATCGAATATTCACGTCAGGTTTAGTCTGTTTGCCCCAAGTAGAAGATTCAGCTTTGTGACGCTTTCAAAAGTGTCATATTTACTCTCATAACAAAAGAGTAAATAACATCATAAGCAGTACAAGCCCATGCATCGAGACCCATCTTGTTACTTTGAGCATTTGATTTTCACATTTCTCTCCCCTCTCTTTCCTCTTGCTTCTCTCCCTCCTTTTCTTTTCCTCTATTTCCTTCCATCTCTTCTCCCTCCTTTCTCCATCTTCTGGCTCTCCTCTCACCTCTCTGTCCTCTCTGATTCCCTCTCTTCTTCTTTTCTATTCCCCTACTCTCCTATCTCTTCTCTCTCCTATGTCTCCTCTGCCTCTCTCCTTCCCTCTCTTCTCCCTCCGATGTCTTCTCTCTCTCCTCTTTCCTCCCTCCCCTTCTCTCAGCAACAATTAAAAACACCCTTTATCTTTATTCTCACACAACAAAACCAAACCACATGTGTGCAGTGGGACTGTGCACTTGCAATGATCAAAATGAGTGAATCGAGTGTCATAATGCATACATTTCTGATTTAACCGTGTGTTTTCCCTGTGCTCTTAAACGCACCTGGCGGCTGTCTCTCAAAAAGATCCGATGTGGTTACATAGAACTACTGGAATAAAAAAGGTTCCAGTTATTCCGAACAGACTTTTTCACACCTCAGAGTGCACAGGTTCACATGCATCTTGTTCAATATAATTAAATTCCTCATTCTCAATTCCCTCTTTTCAATCAGTATTTTAAAGATTATGGCGACATCATTAAGGAGGTAATAAGCAAGAGCAAACTCATCAATCCAGTGCTGAGTGCAAAGACCGTGTGCCTGAGTTTGCAGCAGGTAATGCTTCTCTTGATAATGATTTTAATTGGATCGTTTTCTTGTGTGTGATGAGCTGTAGAAAACTGTGGTGCATGTTGCAGCTTTTCTCCGAGATGCTGACAGAGGAGCAGAGCAAACAGGATCTTGGGGAAATTCGAGATCTTGCAAAGAGACTCGCGATGAGTTTTGGCATTGACCTGCATCGTGCCCGCGCACCACTGGTGGCTTTGCACATGTGAGCAAAATGTTCATATCCATAAGTTTAGCATGTTTCAAAGTATTCTTGCTGCATGAACTTTTCACATTCTGACTCATTATGATCACACACAAACAGATATTTGAAGAGACAAACGATTTCCTTTTAGAAGGTTGTCAAATATAGACCTTACATTCAGCGATTTACAGCTGTTCTGTGAGGTCTCGGGTTGATGAGGAAATATCATAGTTCAAAAACCCCATCAGAGAGATCAGAAAGGATGAGGATGAAGCAAACCTACCAATACATCACACTGGAGTATGTGCCAAGGACTTTCACACCTGCAAAATGAATGTGTCACCTTAATATTGGAGCAGAGAGATTCATCACGACCTGGTTTCACACGCAGCCAGAAGTAGCATGTGGACAGTTTTTGCCCGATGAGTTTGTGCAGCCAAAAAGAGAAAATTCAAACCACATGTTATTTGGTGAAATAAACCATAGTCCTATATTGAGTCATATAAATCTGGGTCATATATATCTGATTTGATGTTTTATTCTTACATTGTTGTGGGGCAGGGATGGTGTTGGCTTCGCGTTTCGAGCCTCAGCAGAAGAAGAGCTGCAGAATGTGCCGTTCCTGGAGATCCTCACAGAGTTCAGCTTCAAGCTGCTGCCGAAAGATCGCGCACAAATGTGAGTGACATGGACGACATAATTATTCCAAAATGTTTTGAAACAGGTGTTCGTTAATTAATGCATGTGCAATGATAGCATGACTAACACGGCAGATAGAAAGATACTTTATTGATCCCCGTTGTAATAATGCCAGGTGTCCAGCAGCAGAAGACTCATCCAGGTTTGTTGTACAGCCTGACAGCCGAAGGAACAAAGGATCTCTTAAAACGTTCCGTTCAGCAGCGCAGTGATAGGAGCCTGTTGCTTCGATTACTCCTCTGAGCGGCCATAGTGTCATGCAGAGGGTGTATGGAATTACCCCGGATGCCCTGCATTAGAGCCCTCATCCTTCTCTCCAGCACAGCTTATAAAATGTAATAATAGGTTTACTGTGATACAATAGGAACATAAAAGTCTAAATCACAATGTTAGTGGTTTTGTTTTTGGGGGGTGTTATGACTGATATTGAGCAGACATATTATAGCCTTTTTTCACCAGCAGAGATTAAGATGAAGAGTGGGGAAATTGCAGTGTTTCATCACCAGTTACAGCACAGTAGGAATGAGGAGCACACAGAACAAGATAAATGAACAGTAATTCTATACTAAAATCAAATCAAATCTCTAACTTTAGCAAAATAAAGAACAAAGTACTTAACATTCTAGTGCCAGAAAAGTGCCAAAAATATAGATGTATGTTCACATCTTTGTTAGCAGTATGAGGGTCTGGGACAAAGTGACTGGACACATTTGGTTCTGTATTGCACATTCTGACATTGCTCAAAGAGCAGCTGTACCTGGTGTTTACCTCAAAAGAAGTGTATTTATAACATGTGTTCATATTATAAATGTATGTTCCCACAGACATATTATAAATATATTTATAACATGTGTTCATATTATAAATGTATGTTCCCACAGACATATTATAAATATATGTTCCCACAGACTTACAACTCCAGTTCTGTTTGTCCCTGTTTTGATCACATATGAGTGGGTTCACCTGGGTTTCTTTGTTCTCTTCTGTCTTGTCTTGTGCAGCGCTTCACATGTGAAATCCCAGTGTCCTGATGCTGCCCTCTGCTGGTCGCCTGTCAGAATGTACCTGCGCTCGCTGGAGTCGCGTTCCAAGCCCAAGGATCATGGAGAAGGACTGAGCGCAGTCACTTCTGATCAGAACAGTCCTCTGCCAAAGCGAAAACGAACCACTGTTAATGGTACAGGACATACTCACTTTTATATGAGACCTAATACAGCATACATATGTGGGTAGAACAGATAAACCTTTCTTCAGAAATGTCAATGTCATAGTTGTGCACATTACAGCAGAATAAAAGGAGAAATTAAGAGCTCTCAGATTTTGCACACAAACAGGATCTATTATTTAAGACAATACTATGATAATATGATAAAATAATAATATCCACATTAAAACATATCCGGGCTGATCTTCCACTCTGTCATAATCATTGGCCTTGATAATGTTTTTATTCCTATTTATCTGTCTGTTCCGCCACAGAGCTCAAATGTGTTTTATTTTTGGTATTTGAGATGAAAACCCAAGTGGAAAAGTTTACTGTAAAGACTGTCAATTATTTAATATTTTCTAAAATGTCAAGGTTAAATGTGCTGTTTGTCTCTGAAACACAGCATCAGCGTTGGACAGCAGCGGCGTCCACAGCTCTCTCACTCCGGTCCTCAGTTCCACTGTCCTGAAGGAACCTTCGAAAGCTCTGGCCTCTGGGGACCACGGGGGCGGTCTGTCGTCAGAGCCACTGTCTGAGGACGACTTCTCCACGTAAGATCCTCTTCTTAATCACAAACCAAAAGTTTTTTGTTTTAAATATTGCTTGTACTACTTCTTTAGTATATATTTTATGTCCTTCATGTGTGAGGATATACTCAGAAGCAGAGCAAGTTCAGCAGATCCTAACACAACTTTCTCACATTTGTCTTGGAATTTTCCCTTTGAATTAAACAATTCAAGAATATTTCAAAGAGTGGGAACTAAGACATGTGTGTTTTCCTTAGAAGATTATTTCATTTGACATTAGAACATTCTGAACATCTTTGCTAAATATGGGCCTGCATCCTAAATTGTATTTTTATTCTATTTTTTTGTTTTCTTTGTGGCCCTGGTGTAGTAACCTTAAATAGGGGTTCAATGCATCTGCTTAGTGCTGATTGGATTTGCAGGAGACCAAACAGTTTCTGAAATGAAACATGTAAAAGGTGTGCTTCTTATCGTCCCCAGCACCCTCAGCACGTCGCTTCTTCCCGGTCGGTCCCAGACGAGCACTCGCCGTCTGCCCACTGTCCGACAGGCCGATCTGAACTCCCACCTCACCTTGTAAGAATCCAGTAAGTCAGAACCCCTGTGACTTTAGAAAAACTAACATGAAACTGTGGTCAGGCTGTCTCTCATTGACGACGTGGAAGAAGAAGAGCCTGACATTGAAGACTTTGCCAGCGACAGCAGCAACACGACCGACTCACAGGTGATGAAACAACGCTGTATCTATAGATTCAGATGAAGAGATCCTTTATTCGTCCCACAGCGGGGAAATGTCAGTGTTGCATCAGCAGTTACAGAACAGTAGGAATGAGGAGCACAAGATAAGTGAACAATAACTATTCTGTTTAGGTTCCAGATTATTATTTTTTCTAAAATCTCTTAACTTGAGCATAATAAAGAAGCAAGTCTATAATCATATATAAAGAAGCAGATAAAAATATTGTCAATTTTAGTGCATGAATTATAGTTGTATGTTTACATCTGTACATGTTTGCAGCCTGAGAGTAAGGGTCAAAGTGACAGTGGACACAAAGTTCAATATTGCACATTCCGACATCACTCATCGTGCAATAATCATTTGAAATATCGTGACAGTGGAAACGGTAGATAACGTGAAGTTAAACAAAATGATGAATGCTTTGTTTTCAGCACCTCACGACACCAAGCGTTCTGGACACTCTCTTTGACTGAAGACACGGAGCCAAAACAAATGAATCCTTATCATCGGACTTCATTCTTACATTTGCCACCAGTGGATTTCTCTACGATACAATTCCCTCACGACTCATTTTTAGGTTTGCCGTTCATGCAGCGATTATGACGTGAACCTGAGGATATGGGAGCAGTTTTGTTCAAGTTGGTGTTTGGTCTTTATTTTGTTCATTTTGCCTTTTGTTGTCCAGCATTGAACGATAAAGCACTTCATATATTGTATATGTTCGAGAAATACAGTAAGACACGTGGAAATAAAATATTGTTATATTTTGTATTTGATTATAAGAGAAATAAAAAAAATGTTTGTTGCCACTTATTTTTATTCTTCATGCATTGTTTCCTGAACTTGTTTGTTGTCAATGATGTGCTACAGAAGTATGCTTATAGATAACTACACAAATCATAAACAAAAATATTTTTCACTTATAGAAGCAGAAGTGATGAGGAACTAGTTCAATGGAAAAACTGGTTCTGTTTTTTTTATTTTAGCAGAGTCCTTTGGTGAACAAATGCAAATAGTTCAATGGGAGACCCTCATATCTGCAAATGGACCAGTATATTTCTAGCCAATAATCAACACATTTTCTGATAAAATCTCTACATTACCATGGCAACTAAGGCTATGCTTGCGAATCTTGTGATAAAATGATTATCTAATATACTATATAGATTACAATACATCAAGTGTTGTCATTTGTTTTTTGCACATGTTGATAATAACAAATCACATGGTTCTCAACGATCCAAATTTAGTTTTGAAGTTTAATACACTAGTAAAGAGATTAAATATATCAATGCAAGTTATAACAGTAGGTAATACAAAATTCAAACCTCAACCTGAAGAATAAGCATTTGCAGCTTAGCCATATATAATATTTACATTAGTGTTAGATGTTTATATGGCATATCTTTCCCTAAGCCGTACATGTCTGTTTTTTCACACAACCCTAAGCGTCATTTGAAAATAAATCCAGCAGTCCTCCGTAAACATTGTATTTATTATAACAATATAATGTATCTGTAGTGTGGAATGTCTTGTGTTGGGAAAATAACAACCCTTTCGCGCCAACCGTGCGCAGCTTGCCGGAAGTGACTCAAACCACGTGACCCCGCCTGGCCCGCCGTTTTCCCGCCATGTCGAAGTCCCGCCTCTTCTCCCCAAACGCAGCCCTGTGATTGGCCGCGTCACACGTCACACTGGCGCCAACTTCTCTTGTCTCTGGGAGAGACTTTGGTGAATGAGAGCGCGGCTTGTCCTCACCACAGCGGCCAAAGAACACAACATTTTACTCACTATTTAGACTTATTTTACCCCAGCACTCGCTCTGTTTAACGCCACAGCTGCAGTGATGGCCCGAAAGGATTACGCAGCGGAGAAAGGTAACGTAGGCTTCAGTGCAACAGGTAGTCCTCATTCACGTGGACTTATAGAAGTAAAAACGTCTATCGTTGCGACTTGCTCACAAAATGGTGGCTGTTTGTATTTTCGATTTTTTTTAAATGAATATAGTCGCAGAAACTCATGTATTCATATTGGGGTAGTAGTTTCATGCGGTTCAATGTTGGGTCATACTGTTGAAACTTGCTGTTGTATTTATGAGTGATCTTGATATATTGGGCAATTGCATATACCTTTTATGAATGAAAAAAGCAAAAGTTTAAAATGTAAAGTTGTAGAAGTCTTGTGTAATCGCTCTGAGTGTAACAGCCCGCAGTGACCCGGATGGATGTGCTTAAACAAAGGAGCAGGCGCCAATGTGAGCTGAACACGTGACCTGCTCTGAGTGCTGTTTTAATGCACTTATGAGAGCTGATAACTCTACATAGGTTGATGTTATGTCTTAATGTGTGTAGTGGGATGATTGGGCTTTTAAACCTCACTTTAAGGAGTGTGTTGGTCGCCATGCCTTGGTGGAGGGACTTGGACAGGTCTACAGACTGCTTGGGGATAGCTGATACATATCATGGAATAATGTCCTGAGATGGCAGTGTACGTTTGTTTTGGTCTGAAAACTTCAGCCATTTTGCCGTTGAATACCACTCAACGTGCTTAAATCTACTAGTGCTGAGTTTCACCTTATCTACATCAGATAATGTATTTCTTTGCACTGGAGTATACAGCTTATATCTGAATCAGAACCAAACAAGTCAAAAATGGAGAATAGGCATAAAACAATTCTACAATTATTTCTATATGTATTCTGTGTTAGAGTATATAGTTAGTTATGCTATAGTATATAGTTATGCTATATGCTACTGTTCTGCAACTTTTGAGGCAACACGTTATCCATCGTTTATTAAAATAATTGGAATGATTCTATTGTGTGATTTAATTTTGTTTTCCTCTTGATAATAGCTGGGCTCCTGTGTAAGTTTGTTTCTATCAGTAATAGTAGTGTGTTTATTTTTTTTTTTTACCTGCTCCATTTTTAAGAGGACCACCCTGACTCAGCCAAACTGCGCTCGACCCAACTCGTCACAAATCGACTCGCAGAGGTCTCACAATATTACATGTTTATGAGCGTTATATTTTTTCAGCGTGGTCCTGATATGGGACTCTCTCCTGATTGGTCAAACGAGGTGGACCCCCAAGCTACCATGAGTTTCATAAAGGAGACATCGTTTACATAAAATACACGGCTCTTTGAAGTAGTGTTATTGTCTCATTATTATCTAATTTCATGCCCAAATATCCGGAATAAACATGTTAAACTAAAGTAAATCCCAGTGATTACCATCGACATGGTCATAACACACATTTCGATGGTTTATTTAGTAAACTTTGAGACAGTTGTGATTTTAAACGCGCACTACTTTTCTTTGCGGAGCCGTCGCGCAGGGATATTGTCGTGGCGAGGCACAAAGCCATGTGCTGCTTTGTTTACAATAACATCCCGAGTAGAAAGCATACAGAAGACTCGCACATCCGCTCGGATCGCACTAAACTCTGCGGAAGTGTTGTTCTGATCCTGATGGAGGCAGATCTCTCGGATTCGCAGAGGGTTTGGTTTGTTTTTGTTTCGGGAAGTAGGGGGGCATCTTTTCGAGTGCGTGCGTCTTGTTTACATGGTCGCCTAACCTCTTCAACTGTGGTATACCTGCACGTATGTAACATTAATCCTTGTGAATGTTGCGTGGGAACCGATGGTAAAGTGTATCCTGGACCCGTGGCTCCGAGCGCGTCTCCGGAGGCTGCAGTGACTCGTCCAGATTACACCGGATCCATGTTTTTCAACAAAGGGGTCTTCGCAGGACACAGTGGTGCACAGGCCCACTGCCCAAAAACCTCGGTGCAGATCCCACATCTTTATACTGTTGTGTTGTTCCTGCAGATAAGCTGAAGAAGTTCCTCCAGGAGTTTTACACAGAAGATGATAATGGGAAGAAGCAGTTTAAATACGGAGCACAACTTGTAAGTATACATTAGAGTCAGTAACGGCAGATGTTGTATACATTTACCCAAACATGGGTATAGTCACGTTGGTCATGTTGTTCTTCAGTTGAATGCTTTAGAGGGCATTTTTGACTAGTGGTGTTTCAGATGTTTTAGTAAAAATGGGAAATATCTCAACTGTGTAGACTACTTATTTACTTTATGGCACAAAATTAACATTATAGGGAATTGATGATAAAACGTGTCAAAATCTGTATCATGTACACGTGTTATCCTGCTTTAATGTAATCAACTAAATTATTCAGCGGATTCCATAAACCTTCTATACATTTTAATGCTAATGAGCTCAGGAGGAAATGTGGTTGAATGTTTCTTACTTAGGATACTGGTGGCACTCGTAGCTATAGTAAGTTTTAAAATGAAATGGTGGCTGTTTTGTTTTGCATTCCTTGTCACCCGAGCCAAACAAACTAATTATAAATACTGCATGGATGGTCTCCTTGCCTCATCTTTGTATCTGCTTCCTTCTAAAATCAACGCTTACGGAATTATGTAAACCTTGCTTCTGAGCTCTGACTGGATCTGGATTCTACGTAAATATAGTTATTATTAATTTATCCTGTGCTCCTCATTCCTAATGTCTGTAGCTTATGATGCAACACTGAAACTTCCCCCCTGTGACAAATACAGGACCTCTTCATCTTAATCTTTCACCTGCAGGTGGTGACTCTGAGCAGATAAAGTGTTGCCTTCTGTAATAGTGTGCACTTGTTTGCAGGTGGCTCTGGCCCATCGGGAGCAGGTCTCTCTGCAGGTTGACCTGGACGACGTGGCCGAAGAAGACCCTGATCTGGTGGAGAGCATCTGTGAGAACGCCAAACGCTACAGCGGCCTGGTGGCGGACGCCGTGCACGAGCTGCTGCCGGAGTACAAGGAGAGAGATGTGAGCTGACCCGCCACTCAGCCGCCGCACCTTCTTGAAGCGTTTGTCTGAGATTCTGTGTTTGTCCAGATGGTGGCCAAAGACTCTCTGGACGTGTACATCGAGCACCGGTTGATGATGGAGCAGCGTGGCCGGGACCCCGCAGACACACGGGACCCTCACAACCAGTACCCCCCGGAGCTCATGAGGAGATTGTACGTGAGAGACTTTACCCACTTATCCACTGATGCAAAATAAATTGCGATTCCGGGCAATATATAAATGAATTCAATCTCAGAGGATTTTACAAAGTTGTCCTCAACAGATCAGATAATTAAACTGTTCAAACGTGGGAAGTGCAATAATACGAAAAAGGCATACGAGCCTTTGGTCCATAGGGAGCCGTATGACTACTGTCTAGAAATGTTAATAAATGTGCAGAAATCTGGAGCACTGTTCTTTGTCATGGATCGACTTCAAAACAGGAATCCGCTCCAACAGACGGCTTGGAGCTGTAGATCCATGAGTCTGGGTGGGGGAGAAATGATACAGGCTGGATCATCGCGCCACTAGGCAATTAGTTTTAAATCTTATACTGGAATTTAAAACTAATTTGTGGATTTGGGGAATAACCTGTTATAGGAAAAACCTGTTTAACATTTTCTAACATGAACGGTTCCTTTTCAGCGAGGTGTACTTCAAGCCCCCCAGCACCGGGAAGGCCAAAGTGGTGCGGGACGTGCGCGCGGACAGCATCGGCCACCTGGTGACCGTCAGGGGCATCGTCACCCGAGCCACGGAGGTGAAGCCCATGATGTGCGTGGCCACCTACACTTGTGACGCGTGCGGTGCTGAGACCTACCAGCCGGTGAGTGCAGCTGCAGCAGCGTCTGTCTGACCAGAGGCTGTGATCTCACCAGGCTGCCCTGTTCCCCCAGATCCAGTCTCCCTCCTTCATGCCCATCGTCATGTGCCCCAGCCAAGAGTGTGTCACCAACAAGTCCGGGGGCCGCCTCTACCTTCAGACTAGGGGCTCCAAGTTTGTTAAGTTCCAGGAGCTGAAGATCCAAGAGCATGTAAGTCTGCTGTCCTTACATGGAAATATCACTGTAGCAGATGTGGATTTCGTATCTAGCAGTTTAGGAACAAAGACTTTACAATTCTTCTTTTATCGCTTTAAAGCAAACCCTCAAGTCGTGTGGCTGCAGGTTTTCATTCCAACCAAACAGGAGCACACCGCATTCTACCCATTTTCAAGTGACCAGTCGCAAACTGTAGTCCTGAGAACATGTGTGGAGTCTGGTGTGCTCTGGTTTAGAATGAAAATCTCATCTTCACACATTACTTGGATCAATAGATGATATTGGATTGTTTCCGTCGGCACAAACACGTCACACTAAGGTTCTACGGGCCGCTGTTTGAAGAACACGGGTCTAAATGGTGTTGTGTGTGTTTGCAGAGTGACCAGGTGCCAGTGGGGAATATTCCACGCTGCATGACTGTGTTTGCCAAAGGAGAAAACACGCGGCTGGCTCAGCCTGGAGACCACGTGGCCATCACCGGAGTCTTCCTCCCGCTGCTGCGGACGGGCTTCGCTCAGGCCACTCAGGGTCTTCTTTCTGAAACCTACATGGAAGCTCACGGTATCGTACTCATGAATAAGACTGAGGACGATGAGCTTGGCAACGAGGATCTGAGCGAGGAAGAGCTTAGAGACATCACAGGTGAAGCACATGACGATGAACGTGTTTGAAATGTTTCGTTAAATATGTTGCTGGCTGTGATAAAAGACGCTTCTCCAGGTGGAGATTCATTAAAGGACGTCTGAATCAATCCAGTCTCTTTACACCTTTGTTTTCTTGCAGATGAAGGATTTTATGAGAAACTTGCTGGATCAATTGCACCAGAAATCTATGGTCATGAAGATGTTAAAAAGGCTCTTCTGCTGCTGCTGGTGGGAGGTGTGGAGCAGGCTCCAAAAGGCATGAAAATCAGAGGTGAGAACTGCCTGGAGTAATGTGTGCACATCCAGAAGAATAGACTCTGACACTGTTTTGTCTCAGGGACAATCAACATCTGTCTGATGGGAGACCCTGGAGTGGCCAAGTCCCAGCTGCTGTCATACATCGACCGCTTGGCTCCTCGAAGTGAGTAGTGTGTCCTTCAATTGTGGAATTGTCCGATTGAAGCCCTGCCCTCGTCCTTTGTCCTAAGTGTTGACCTGATTTCAGGCCAGTACACGACGGGAAGAGGCTCGTCTGGAGTCGGTCTGACTGCTGCAGTTATGAGAGACCCTCTGACCGGGGAGATGACTCTGGAAGGTGGAGCCTTGGTTCTTGCTGATCTGGGTATTTGTTGCATTGATGAGTTTGATAAGATGGCTGACGCTGACCGCACAGCTATTCACGAGGTCATGGAGCAACAGACCATTTCTATTGCTAAGGTGAGCGTTCAGACCGGTTCTGCAGCAGGTACACCAGCCTGAGTCATACTGTGGAATGAACACCAGTCTCATCAGACGTGTGTTTGCAGGCTGGGATCATGACCTCCCTCAACGCCCGCTGCTCCATCCTGGCGGCCGCTAACCCCGCTTACGGGCGCTACAATCCCAAGAAGAGCATCGAACAGAACATCCAGCTGCCGGCCGCACTGCTGTCTCGTTTCGACCTCCTGTGGCTGATCCAGGATAAACCTGACGCTGAGGCCGATCTGCGCCTGGCCCAGCACATCACATATGTGCATCAGCACTCCCGACAGCCCCCCATGCACTTCACCCCCATCCACATGAAACTCATGAGGTGAGTCCGACCCCCAAATGTCCCTTTTCACTAGAACTCACAGAGCAATCCATTTGACGGCTTTAGTTTTGGAAGGATAATTGCTTTTGATTCATAACTTATTTCTTAAATTGTGTTGGATCTAACGACTCCAAAAAACAGTCATTTCCACCAGAGAAGAGCAAGTGCTGGTTACCATAACGACAGTTTACTGTCACTTTTCAACAGTTTTTTAAACTTTACTCACAGTGCTAAAATTGGTGAATATAACTGGAACAAAGAAGAAACTAAGTGTACTTTTAATAATAAAGGATCCATAAATGGGTCTTTTTTGGAGGGAATTTTTCAGATTTCTATTGTTTTGAATGAAGCAGTCAAAAAGACTGGGAGCTCTGGGAGTTATGGGAGTTATATTTTCAGAATGGTGTGAGTCTGGGTGTTGATTTCAAATAGCTTCAGCTGTAACTACCCTCTGTCTTTCTCCAGGCGCTACATTGCTCTGTGTAAGAAGAAGCAGCCCGTGGTCCCTGAGAACCTGGCTGACTACATCACTGCTGCGTATGTGGAGATGAGGAAAGAGGCGCGCGTGAGCAAAGACACCACCTTCACCTCAGCACGAACGCTGCTCTCCATCCTGCGCCTCGCCACTGCTCTGGTGAGGACTAGCTTCATACTTTTAGTTTTAGTTCAATGTGGGCCTCACTGATGCAGTAATCCACACCCCCGTATGGACCAATGATTGTTTTTAATAATTTCATTTCCTGTGTTTGAACTGTTTACAAATCTGTCAAGTCAACTCAGAATAAAGTCCTCTGTGATAACTACTGTTGTGGCGCCGCTGGAAAGTTCTGGTTTATCGCCAAACGTGCGGTAAAGTGCTTACAGTGCAGGTAGCGTTCTATGGTCCTACTGCAGCGTGAGCACTTCTTCCCTGCGTTTGAGAACATTCTACAACTTGATCAAACCCTGCTCAGGTCTGTGCTCCCTGTTGCTCCTCGGCTGCTAAAAGTGCTGTTTGTGCAGGTAGTATTCTACTGTCCTACTGCAAAGCCAGCACTTCAGGCAGACTGGAGACTTACAACTGTGGCCACCAGGGGGCAGGCTCGGTGCAGGCCCAGTGAGTAAGATGACGTTCCACAGTCTTGACCATGATTCTGGCTCTGGTCAGCTTTGCAGGGTGGGCAGTCGGCCTGTGTGCGTTAGGAGCAGCTGTGCAAACCCATGCAAAACTGACCATAGTGAGACCAGGCGCCGCTCTGTGATTGGTTGCGTTGAGACTAGCTGGTGTTGAGAGGCGGAGACTTGGGCAATTGCTGGCCGTTATGAAGAGCATTGCACTTGTCTCGGTCTGACAGTGCCGGCACAGCGCAGCTTTGGTGTTGCCCACCAGCGAGACCTGTCCCACCTGGTTTTGAAGTTATTGCAAATAAGACCGAAAGACTTAAAGGCGCTATACCCGTTTCTGCCATGTTTGAATGTTTAGCCCCAACTCGCTCACAGGCTTCTCATTTCCCCTACGCTCTCATAATACGGAGCCACCTAGTTTTATTTGCGATCTGATACGTATGCTAACATTGGCATTAGCGCAACTTGTAAACTGTACAACAATCACTGATGAAATGGTACTAAAGCAATGCACTGCTAACACAATATATAAGTAAAAGAAGAAAAGAATAGTTTCGTGTCCGGATGTATTAATTTAAACATTAGAATATATTCTAATATTTATTTAGAATTTATTATGCAGCTCCTCACAGCAGCAGTATTAAATCCATTGACTTAAATGCAATTCTTCCGATCATTTTTTCTTGATAAGTAAGTAGTAAGTAAGTTTTTATTTATATACCGCCTTTTCACTGCAGATCTGAGTCTCAAAGCGGTTTACAATTGTTAATTTTGGGGCATTTGTCTCTCACTCCACACAGAGATGGGAGCAGGGTCGCCAGTACAGGAAGCGCATGCCAGAACTATTGGACATATTTTTAGTGGTAGGGGAAACCGGAGTACCCGGAGGAAACCTACGCAGACACGGGGAAAACATGCAAACTCCACTCAGAAAGGCCCTGGTCCCGCCGGGATTCGAACCCAGGACCTTCTTGCTGAGAGGCGAGAGTGCTATCCACTCAGCCACCGTGCCGCCAGATAACAGAACTCGCAAACCAATAATGACCGCAGCTCCAATGCAATCTGTTTGTAATTCAGGTGGGTAAAATACTGCCATTACTTTACAAGTACAACAAGCTATCAGCGCCTGTCACTACATTGTGCAGTTTTTCTGCACACTTGTCTGTGTAGAGAAGCTAGCGGAGCTAGCCACGCTCAATAAACAAATACATATCAATCAATCAACACCATTAAACGTCAATCGGACAATACAATATATGTATACACATACATCCTTAACACACATGCACGGACAATTTCAGAATTAGCTGTCAACGTTTTCATGACCAAAATACTGTTTTAAAGTGACAAAAAGCGATCGCGAAAAACCCGGAAGTTACCATGAAACAGCTAGCTAGCTTAGCCGTTACCTGCCTAGCACGTCCCGGTGAAACCTTTGGGAGCTAACTATTTTATTTGCAGTCATTAAATACATTTCTAATTATAAGGGTTGTCTAAATATTTGTTCAAATATGTATATATTTTTTATTTTAGAATTATATTCGAATTTTGAAGTGGAAGCCCTGGTGTTAAGCAGCGCTGTAGAGACTAGAGGACGCAGGCTGCTCGCTGCTCGTTCTGTGAGTGGAGGAGAAAGAGCGTCCCGCTCAGACTCTACTCAGCACTTTTCACTGCCTGAATTTCATACACAGTGGAATCGATGACCTCAAGTTTTCAATTAAATTATGTATTATGATACAACTTGTATGTAGTAAAAAGCATTTTTATGAACTACTTAGAAAAAAAATCGGGTATAGCTTCTTTAAATGTTTCCTGAACCACCACGAGCCTCAGATCCTCGGGCAGGTCTGAGGTCCAGGCTACAGACCAAGATGATGGAGCCTTCTTAGTCCAGGCTCCTCGGTGCTGGTACAACCTCTGGATCAACCTGTCGAAGGAGAGAAGGCTTGCACCATCAGCATCTTCTATTCACTTAATCCACTTTTAACAGCCTTTAACTGTCTGTAATGTACCGTATATACAAATGCATATATGTGACGTTTACATCTGTGGTTGTGTGCACTCTGCCCCCCCCCCTGAGATTCTTTTGACTTGTGGTGTTTTGTGCCGTACTTTTCAAAAACACAGCTAAACCATTACCAAGTGCTATATCAATACAAAATAATAATGTACATTGCACCTTTGACTCTTACTGCAAACTGTCAAAATGCAGCAGCTTGACGGTCTCTGTAACGTGTGGTCCTCAGGCTCGTCTGCGGATGATGGACGGTGTGGAGAAGGAAGACGTAAACGAAGCAATGAGACTGATGGAAATGTCCAAGGACTCTCTCCAGGCCGACAAGTCCTCGTCCACCAGGTTTGTGTTCAGGGCTGGGGTCTCCTCGTTGGTCTCTCACTGCTTCATTCGGTTATCAGTGATCCGCTGTTCTGAATCTATGAACATTAGTGAATTAACCTCTTAACACCCACCGGCGCGCCGGCGTTCCGTTTTTGTTTTTAAAATGTTCAACCGGCAATAACGGATGCATTTTGAACACCAAACCCCAAAAGCTGTATGTCATTTTAAAGCTTATTTTCTTATCTACAATTATATACAAGTGCAATATCAGACATTGCATTCAAAAGATATAACACATAATATGGGAACAAAATGAATCGGCTCCAAAAAAGTTCCTTACCATTTTCCGTGTACTACATAAATAAATCAGCTCTCCTCCCAGCTTGCTATGGCTTATTCTCTCCATAACTGTCCATGGAAAACGAAAATCCACTTGTGTTTCCCAAAGTATAATCCATTGTGCAGAAATCATCCAAAAACTAACATTTATTTTTAGCGAGAAAAAATAAATTGAAACAGCACGGACGCTGCTTTTCAAACAGGGTTTGTGTTCCTCACCTTGTTAGCTACACAATGAGACTATCCCCGAAGAGATAGGTGCTTGATTTCGTTCGCTACGTCTCTGAATAAAACAAGCGACTCCCTTTTACGCACGGCCACTTTCTGTTTGTTGTTAGCAGGGCAGGGAGGGGGACGTGGTAGAGCCGAATGAATGACATGGCCGTGTAGCCAATGAGGAAAGCTTTCTTGTGATGGGTGGAACGGTCACATACGAAGCGTGCGTAAAGGGAAAAAGACGCTCGTGGGAGACCAGCACTCACAAGTCTACCACTTTTACGCAGTCTTTGCACTACTTTGTTGGCTTTTTTCTACCAAAATCATGCCGAAAATGAAGGAAAAGACCACAAAGAAGTTCACACGGGATGAAGCACTTGCTCTGATTTTTGATTCATCATCAGAGGACAGCGAATTTGACGTAAGATGGAATGGATCCATTGTTAGATGGATAAGAAAAACTAATGAAAACATTGTTTTTACCTTGAATACTAAAGCTTATGTTATGTGATATAATTCATCTTTGCAAAAAACATAATACATAATTATAATTTATTATAATACATGCTTTATTACCATTTAGCAATGAATTATATTATTGGAGAATAAAGACAAAATAATAAACAGGAAAACAATTTTACGTAAAATAATTCATTATTGTACATAATGTAGAAAGGAAAATCTTACTTTGTGAATACAGTGTAATCTAACTTTTCAAACAAGGTACACGTTCAGTCATATAGATATACATAAACATGTATTGTGCAGGTTCAAAATAAATAGATACACAATTGGATAACAAAACATTGACATAGCTATGCCACTAGCATAATATTATCAATATTGCTAATTGTTTAGATAAATGCAAGTGTACTAAGGCTGAGTTTACACGGAGACAATGTGGCAGTAAAACGGTATAGTTGGATGTCGGTTGCTACCAACCGTTCATACGAAGACTGTTTCAGGGGGTTGAAAACGTAAGTGTTCAGATCCAGCCTGAAGAGTGGGACAACTCAGAAACGCTGCACAGCGGGGCTCTCTTTCACACCCGCGAGAGGGGAAAAGGTGTGAAATCCCCCTCTGCTCTGACCCCCGCCTCCGCGCTGCTCCCCGCACGTAAATTTGGACATGCGCAGTAGCGGAGAACAAACATCAACAACAATGGCGGCGGTCACACTAACTAGCTTCGTGGGCTTCGAGCACAGCACAGAGGATAATTCTACTCCTTCGTTCGTCCAAACGAGACCACGCGAAGCTCTAGGTTCAGTTTCCATTTTCACAGCTGCTGTTAAAAGGCAGAATGATGTTGGTACTTTCTGAGGGTCTGGCACAGGAAGTGAGTACACTGCCGAGGGGGGGGCTGGACACGGGGCTGGGGGTCGTGTGAGTGTTGTAAAGTTTCTCTGCCCACTACTGGCCGGGCGCTAGAACTACATCGTTTTTCAACCTCATGTGAACGCAGAGAAATTTGCATTAGGAGCCAGGTCGTTTCTGTTAATAGCCTGGAAACGTCTGCGCAGCGTCTCAGTATAAACAGGGCCTAAGTGTGCTATATTTTTTTCATAGAACCAGTATAGACAGTGAGTGGGAACCTCCAGCAAAGTTGAAGTTGGGATCAGCTCAGGCAACTTCACACCCATCCCCCCAATTCACACCTTTACCTAACACCACTGAGGATGCTCCAACAACTTCTACAACAGTTAGAGGGAGGGGGAGAGCAAGAGGCAGAGGTAACCCTAAACGAGCAGCTGTTTCTCCCCCTCTGCATCATGGACGTTCAGAACACTGGAGAAATGTTGAAGAACTGGACACTGTTCCCAGACAATTTCAATTCCAACCTGCAAGAGAACCTGGACCCCAGACCAGGAGTAGACGAGATTCAACGGTCATGGATTTCTTCAGGATGTTCTTCACAGATATTATTCTGGCTACACTGCTGGATAATATGAACGCATTTGGCTGCCACAAAAATGAAAATTGGACTGAAGTTACCCTGACAGACTTTTATTCCTTCTTGTCGGTGGTCATTTATATGGGAATTGTCAAGCTTCCTACAATAAATTCTTACTGGAGACAGCACAACTTATACAATATTCCCTTTCCTTCCGCTGCCATTTCGAGAAACAAGTTCTTGCGTATGTGCCAGTCACTGCACCTGTGTTCGATGGAGAACGATGCACGCAACCAGGCACTGAGAGGCACTCCGGACTATGACAGATTAGGAAAAATAAGGCCTCTGTATGAACAGATGGTCACAGCCTGCAAAGACAATTTTCACCCAAGCATGAACATTTCAATTGATGAAAGGATGGTGGCCTCAAAAGCCAGAATTGGTCTCAAACAGTATATCAAAAATAAGCCCACCAAGTGGGGATATAAACTGTTTGTACTTGCTGACTCAGACACTGGCTACACATGGAACTTTTTTGTGTATGAGGGAAAAGCATCAAACACCGGGAAAGGACTAAGCTACGATTCAGATATCTTTGTTGAACATAGAGGTGATACCCTGTGCCCAGTTGTTCTATGTGGACAATTTTTACACAAGCCCCCATCTTTTCAGAGACTTGTTTACAAAAGAGATTGGGGCTTGTGGTACAATTAGACCAAATCACAGAGGTGTTCCCAGAACCACCATCAACGATTTTGGCAGAGGTGATCCCCGAGGAAGCATCAGGTGGATACGAGATGGTGAACTGCTCTTTGTAAAGTGGAAGGACACCCGTGAGGTCATGTTGTGTTCTACCATACACACTGTGTTCAGCGGAGATACTGTCTCACGGCGGCAAAGACAGGAGGGGTCATGGTCTACGGTGAATGTTCCCATCCCAGCGGCAATCAAAGACTACAATTGCCACATGGGCGGGGTTGATCTATCAGACGCACTAATCGGATACTACAGTGTGCTGCACAAAACCAAGAAGTGGTATCGCACACTGTTTTTCCACTTTCTGGACATTGCAATTGTGAACTCATTCATATTGTTCAACAAAACCCACGCGGACAACAAACTGAGCCAACTACAGTTTCGAGAGGAACTCATTTCTCAGTTGGATCAGCATGGAAGTCCTTCAACGTCTACAAATACCCCACAAACTCAGGATCCCACCGTGTCACACATCCCTGAGCATTTTAATAAGGGGAATATAGACAAATCAACTGCAGCCACAGTTGGCAGGAGGCACTGTAAAATGTGCCACATGAAGACGCCGGTGGGATGTAAGACGTGCACAGTTCCTCTGTGTTTTGTGCCCACCAGGAACTGCTATCAGCAATGGCACGAAGACAGGGGACTAGTCTAAAACGCGTGTCTTCATTTTTTTTGTAAATAGTTAGGTTTTACACTTTGCACATATTGTTTGCACTAAAGTTTTTTGGTTGTATATACTCTATTTTGTATAAAGAAACAGTGTTCATTCAATTTGTTGTATTTTGTATTTCTATATGCATTTACAGTACAAAAAAATGAACTTTGAAAAAATTAGCTACTAAAATGTGATTTTTTTTTTTTTACATAAGTACCACAACAAAAATATAAGGTTTTTAGGCTGATTGAGGACATAAAATGTCTGTAAAGCCATTTGGCACAATTTGGCACAAACTGTGCCAAATTGGTTCCGAATGGCACTACTTCATGAAAAAGAGACAGCATTAAAACTATAACAGCTAGAAGTCTGAAACTTTAGACATACAATGAAGAATGCCTTTGTTAGGGCCTTTTGAAATAGATTTTTTTTTTTTTTTTTAGGAGAGGCTAAACAGGGTTTTTTTTTTCCAAACTTCAGAGGATGCAGAGTGAAATAGGAATGACATGCATTATTTTAGTTTATATTTACATATATAGGCTCTAGCTTTAAAATGATGCATCACACAAGCATGTGAGATGTAAGATGTGTTTTTAAGCAAATACATTTGGGTATGCCCAACTTTTGTGCATGAGCCAAAATGAGGCGGGTGTTAAGAGGTTAAACGCCAGAAACGAGTCGAGCGGATCAAACTTTTTAGTGATCCAAGACTGTGCACACCCAATGAATCCCAATACTAAACTTTATACGATTCTAAAACTACAACCTTTTTATCTGACCCACAGTGGAAACGTCCCTGTCTCATGTCAAACAAGATTTTATTTAAGATAAATGATACAAATGATAAACAAGACATAATTGTACTTCTGTCAAAAAAAGTAACAGCAGTCATGGGGTAACACATTCATACATGGTTACTAGTCACATATTTTCTGCTAAAGTGACCAGCGTATTATCAGAACAGATGATTGGCATATGTACAGCTGTTCTCGTTGTACAGTCTGACAAGTTGATTATGGGGATTTGAGTGACATTGAAAAAGACTGACGCTCTCTCGGTGCTACGGTTTCTCTGTAGTGAGTTTATTTGTGAAATCTCTCTCATAGTTCCAACTAATGGTCCATCTCTTTTCTTTGTGCACTTTATTATTCTAAAGTCAGTGATTTTATTTTGGTATAATCGTTTTTGTTCATTTATCTTGTGCTGTGTGCTCCTCTTTCCTACTGTCCTGTAACTGGGGAAGCGACACTGATTTTATTCGTCCCATAGCGGGGAAATATCTCCTAATCCATACATTTTAATCTAATCTAAATCTGCCTGAACTCTCATGCTGCTGATTGACAAAGCTGGTGTTTCGAAGCCAATGGCAACAGCTAGATATTTGCTCGCTAGAGATGTGCTATGTTTCCATTCACTTTCTCCATTAACTCTTTCCCCCATAATGACGTTATTTGACGCCCCCCCCCCCGGTACCCTTAATGACGTGTTTTGACACCTCCGCTATATCAATAAAGACGCTATTTGACGACCCTATGGAAAGGCTGCAATTTTCCCCTAGTAACAGAGCTGTGATTGGTGGGGGCTACCAGAGCCCATACTTGTCTGACCAATAGGATTAAAGGAAACTTTTTCTCCGAAGTTTGCTGAAGTAGTGACAGCTCTAGCTTCGGGAACTGAGCTGTCAGCGGGACTTTAAAGATGGCAGCGGGAGAAAGTTTTCGAGTGACTGAGGCGCGGCAATTTTTAGAGGATTACTTTGGAGAAAGTGACTCTGGCTCCGAGTTTCATGGATTTTCGAGTGGTGATGACTTGGATGACCCGGATTACATTGTGGAAAACAGTGACAGCGACGCGAGTGAAATTGACGAGGAGAATCTGCGAGACGCGTCTGCCTGGAGTCCCGTCATATGTGAGCAAACTATTGGGGACTTTACTCTGGATTGTGGACCAAAATTGCCACGAAATATGGATGTTTCTGAGGCTAGTCCCTTGAAATACTTCAGTCTTTTCTTCCCGGATGAGATGTTTGATAAACTTGCCACAGAAACTAACGCTTATGCGGCGCTATGTGCGAGAGAGAGTGGCGCTGACTAGCACTGGATGCCGACTGATGGGGAAGAAATTAGAGCGTTTTTTGGATTGGCAATACTCATGGGTGCAAATCCCATGCATGAATACGCGGACTATTGGTGTGGAGATCCATTCCTCGGTGTCAGCGGGTTTCAGCGCGTGATGACCGTGAACAGGTACGAGAAACTGTCTCAGTACTTGCACTGTAATCACGCGGCAGCGCGTATTGGTCGAAACCATCCTGATTACCATCCCATCGCAAAAGTGGCTCCTGTAGTGGACATGGCACGTGACAAATTCAAAATGTACTACAAGCATGATCGTGACATCTCCATTGATGAAGCTATGAAGGGCTTCAAAGGAAGAACAGAGCTACGCATGTACATGCCCCAAAAGCCAGAGAAATTTGGCATAAAATTTTGGGCAAGGTGTGATGGCCGGACAGCTTACATGTCTGACTTTCAACTATATTCAGGCAAGCGTGATCAGACCCCTCTTCAGCAGCGTCATGGACTAGGATACAGAGTAATTCACGAAATGACACGGGACTTAATTGGCCTAAATCACTGTGTTTACTTTGACCGTTTTTTTTCTCTTCCGTTTCATTGCTGGAGCATCTCCTGTCAGACCACATATATGCTTGTGGGACAATGTTGACAAGAAAATATTCCCCACCTGCTCTGAAACAAAAGAAGCAGCTAAAAAAAAAGCTGCCAAAGAGAGGTGACACCATGACCTTTCAAAGAAACAATGTCACCGTGACAGCTTGGAATGACAACAGCATTGTAATTGTTGCTCACAGTTGCCTTGCTCATCCAAGTGAAATGGTTACCTGTGAACGGCAGGTGGGCAGACAGAAATTAACTGTGCCACAACCCCAGGCTATCAACAGGTACAACCAACACATGAATGGTGTTGATGTTCATGATCAGCTGAGGAAAAAGTATGCAGCATCACGTGCCAGCAAAAAGTACTGGAAGTACATATTATGGTTTGTGGTTGACTGCTGCCATGTAAATGCCTGGATTCTTTACAAGCTGGCATCGACCAGGCAAATGGGAAGGAAGAAGCGCTATGCCCAGAAGGACTTCATCTTGGAGCTGGGAAAAGAGTTGATCAATGAATTCTCCAGCAGAAAGAGAGCTGCCATTCATGAGTGTGGATCTCCTCCATTCATTGATACGCATAAACGCAAGATGATGCACTCCTTTGACCGACTACCAGGAAAACACCGCAGGTGTAAAAGCTGCTACAAAAAGGAACGTCGCCATGAAACTGTATATGGGTGTTCAACATGTAATACACACATGTGCAATGACTGTTTCCGGGAGTTGCATCCACCTGAGGACTGAGTCACACCAGGTTCAGATCTGAAAATCTTTTCAGACTTTTCAGTTGTTATTATATTGTTGGTATTACATTGTTATTATATTTTTATTATATTCCAAAAAGACAATCACTTCAGAGTTCCTTTATGAGTTGAAAATGTAATGTGTTGAATAAGCTAAATGTTATGAGTTGAATAAGCTAAATGTAAATGAGTTGAATAAGCTAAATGTAAAAAAACGAGTCAGGTACACACAGGTGTATAACAGGTAGAAACAGGTATACACTTGCTCACACTGTATCTGGTAATATGAAGCCTGTCTCAATACTTTGACAAATATATCTTTAAATTTTTTTATGAATACAGTGTTCAGAATATGTATATATCAGATGCAGAGTTCATTTTTTATTTTCGAATTTGCACCTGACTAGGTAAAATAAAATGTTCAATAAGCTGTTACATACCTGTAATTTAGTTTAATTACATTTAAGCATACATAAATGGATAGTTCAAGCTCTAAGGTTTACAGAGATACCAAATATGTCTATGTTTCAATAAATTTCAGAGTGTGAAATGATTTATAATCACTTGTGGACATTCGTTTTCTTTTATACAGTTATGCTCTATGGGTAGCCCTAGTAATGCATGTATGTGTAGTTCCTAATAGGCGTCCAAGGGGGAAAGAGTTAAAGCTGAGGTACCTGACTTTCAGACCAGCAAAGGTTGATCTAATTGAATGGAATCTGATCTATAACGGCCGGAGTCTCCAAAGGGAAGTAGTGAGTAGGGGAAAAGCTGATAAAAGTATTGACCCATGTGTGTTGTGCCCTCAGGACCCAGAGACCTGCGGACGTGATCTTCTCTCTGGTGCGGGAGCTGGCCACTGAGGGGGTGGCGGGACGCGGGGGCTCGGGAGGAGTGGTCCGTGTGTCCGAGGCCGAGCAGCGCTGCGTGTCCAGGGGCTACACTCCGGCTCAGGTGCAGGAGGCGCTGGAGGAGTACGAAGAGCTGAACGTGTGGCAGATAAACCACACTCGCACCCGCATCACCTTCGTCTGAGCTCTCGGCGCCTGCACTTGGACTTTTGTTGCGGTGGAATATTGGGACCTTTTTTTTTTTTTTTTTTTTTTTTAAAGCGTCCACTAAAATGCTTCTTATTTTATTTCACTGTTGTAAATATGTTGTATACCATGAGCGGCATCTCAGTCAAACTTCCAGCTTTGATGCTTATTCCTGTATTTTGGAGCGATGGCCTGATGTCTTGTATAATAATAATAATAAATTGCTGGTTCTGATCCTGTGGCTTGTTTTGTCTTTGAAGCAACATGTGTTGTGATATTTGTGAACATCTGTTTTGTTTTTGCGGAGGCCCAGACTGTGGCACCCACTGAGACAAATTATGACTTGGCAGGTTTTACAGCCAAGGCATAAATTCTGAGGTAGTTGGCCTCGTTTTAGGAAATGTAGAGTTTAGGGGAAAAGACCTGCTTTGACTTCAGCACAACTGGTGAATGTCACATTGGAAAGGTTCAGCACATTTAAGTCACACCAGGAAAAAATAAGGACATGCCACTGTGGCCCAGGACCTGTGTGTGATGCTGTAGGTCCGGACACTGCTCTGGTCTGAAGTGAAATTACTCTTCTCATGCGCATTCTTGGTCTTAACTCTTGACTTTTCTCTATCTTTATGTACTTTTTTTTCTTTTTTTTATGATTCTTTATACACAAGAATACATTTATTTGAATTCTATAGTCCTAAATCACAAGTTCTCAGACTTAACAAAACCGTTTAACTCGCCAACACAGATCAGAGAATCTTAACAGTTTAAACACAGGAAATGCAATGATAAAAACAGCCATTGGTCCAAAAGAGGCAAAGTTCATAAATGTAGTCCTGGATCAGCACCACTGTCCTTACAGAGACACTAAAGCCTAGAGTATACTTGCGCGGCGTGGCTTACGTTAGCGGTTGCGGTGGACCTACGTAAGCACAATTGATTAAACCCAGTAGCCGGAAGCCTCTGGATCTGCTCCCACGGATGGCTGAAGTGCCAGTCACCATAGCAACAGTTTGTGTCTGTATGACCATTTTAGCACTTGAAGTGAGTAAATGTACTAAAAACCTTTTATAAAAGTATTTACTTTTCAGGAATCTTGTGGAAAAACTTTTTCTGTACATGTTTCTAACTGCTGGTATCTGCAGATAGTGAGAGGTCTGGGTTTCAACATGTGATCTTTTGGAACTTCAAACACCAAAAGGATCTCAATCTTTTATTCTAAAATACTTGTCCTAAAAAAATTCAGACAATTCCACAGTGGGAAATCCAATAAAAACGCAGTCCATCAGTGTTCATTGCATTTACTAAAACTCTGACCACGATATTTCATCACTGAGTGGCTTTTGTGCATGAAAACAAGAATTGAATAATGACTTCAACTTAAAAGTTTGTGGTGCCACCTGCAGGTGAAAGCCAGATTCTGTCAGATTTCTGAAGCTAAGCAGGGCAGGGTCTGGTTAGTACTGTGATGGGAGACCTCTGAGGTGCCACAGTGGAGCTGCTGTAAACTGGCCAAACTTAGAATGAGTCGTTTGTGAATGGCTGATGGCGGTGGGAGGGGCCGATGACACATACAGGTTGCTTCAGGAGAAAACCACTTTCCCACACGCTGCTGAACATCCAGGGGGAGGACATTGAGCTGGTGGACAGCTTCAAGTACCTGGGTGTTCACATTAACAATAAACTGGACTGGTCCCATAACACCAATGCCCTGTACCAGAAGGGCCAAAGTCGCCTCTTCCTTCTGAGGAGGCTGAGGTCCTTCGGAGTGAGCAGGCCTCTGCTCAGGACTTTTTATGACTCTGTGGTAGCTTCTGCCATTTACTACGCTGCCGTGTGCTGGGCCCCGGGCAGCACAGAGCAGGACAGGAGCAGACTGAACAAGCTCCACTCTGGGCTGCTCCCTGGACTCTGTGGAGGAGGTGAGGGACAGGAGGTGCTAGTCAAAGTCACCTCCATCATGGACAACACCTCCCACCCACTGCACAGGACTGTAGAGGAGCTGAGGAGCTCCTTCAGTGGAAGGAGCACTATCGCAGGGCCTTTATCCCCACCGCTGTCAGACCGTACAACAAGTCACTTATGCACTCGGACTGAAAAAACCTGTACTGCTATTACCACTTTTTATTGTACATAATTATATCCTGCACAGACTATGTTTTTAACCTTTAACATGTTGCACACTTCTGTCTTTTGCACAATCTGAGGGATCCTATCTTTGCCAAATGTGACGTGTAGATTTCTCCAGTGTGAGATCAATAAAGTCTATCTTATCTTATACCAGACAAATGTAAGTGTATGGTAAGGCTAACACAATAATAGCATCACTATCTTACATTTGTCTGATTTAAAAGACCCAACTAACTAACTAAACTAAACAAAGTTAATGTGAACAGAGCTGTATCGTTCATCTTTCCACACATTGTTGAAAACCTGAATCCTGTTGGTTTGCAGTTTTTTTCTTCGACTTAGCAGTGGTCACAGCAGGTAGACCTTTTTGTTCCAGACTTCACAAGCAGTTTTCATTTGAAGTAGCACTTTAGGGGTTTGCTGCGCAGGCCTGGGGAGAGAGGGGTGGGGGCTCGGCCTAATTGGTGACTGGAGCCCCGCGTTTAACCATATTTATAGAGAGGAGGAGAGAGGCTCCAGCTTCCCAAACCCAGACCTGCCATTGGTCCAGTGCAAACATGAGGCTTGTATTTAAACCACCGCTCCGATCCCCCCTGACCAAGCCACCTCTGGGGCCAGGTAAGTCACCGATTTCCACTCTTTCAATATTTCCTTCAAAAGCAGGAGCGTGCAGCTAACTTGTAATCTTGTTTTTGATGGAGCGCAGAGGTTCAAGATGATTTCCACGTTAAAGCTGGCGATATGCAGCGTGCTTTGGCTTCCAGGTGAGTTCTTGAAGTTGGTTTTTGTCTCCTGCAGAATTTATTTTTTACAATTCTACTATTCTCCTCAGGTCTACTGGACGCCAAGTCAATGCTGAACATCATGGAGAGAGAAGGTACTGAGACTGTCTGGAGATTGTACAGCCCTAAATCAAAACCAACACAGATCAGAGAATGAAACGGTTAAAACACAAGAAATGCAGTGATAAAAAAACACATAGAGCCATTGGTGCAAAAGGGGCAGATGACCAATGTCCATAAATCCCCTGGACACTTTTCTCATCTGCTAACATGTGTGTATTTTTTCTTGTCAGAGATGGTTCCAGTGGGTCGTGTCAGCCTCGACTCTGAAAAGGCCCATGATTTTCTGAGTCATTCCAGACCCAAGCGTAACGTGGACCCCAAGTGGTACCGGAACAACCCAGACTTCCAGGCGTACTACCGCTACTACAGCAGCATTGGGCACACTGAAGGGGTGAGAGGCTGCTCCAACACTGTTTTTATTACTAGTTTTTAAGGAAATCTCCATGTGGTTAGAATCTGGTTACACAGACACTGGTTATTCCGATCTACTGGGACAGCCTGATGTTTCTTGGTTGGGAGCCTCGCCCATAAAATGTAGTTTTTTTGGAGGAAAAATGATATTAGCGGTTGAATTAGCAATTTCTTTCAGTGAACCACATTAACTTTTCACAAGGTTTTTAATCTGCCACCCCCCACCCGTGTGTGTGTGTGTGTGTGTGTGTGTGTCACATTAGTTGGTGCCATGGCTGGATTATTTTTGCTTTCCTCACAAACAGCAGGATAAAAAGTTGCATCACATAGAAAACGTTGGGGGGAACAAAAAGATGAAAGAAAGAATTCATGAATTCCATTGACAAATAAAACTATTAGTGGAAATGAAAGGTATGAAGAGTATTTTTTAAAGTCCATGTTCATTGAAAATGTGGGGGGAACAAAAAGATTTAAAGAAAATAAAGGAAAATACAAATAAATGAATTAAATTGACAAATAACCCCAACCCTAACCCAGAACATGCTGTTTTTTTATCTTATCTATAATAAAACATTGCAAAAAGCCCCGTGAGCCAATTTCACAAGGTGAGAAAGATAGATCGGTAAAAAAATAAAAGTCTGCTGAATGTTTAGTAGCTGATTAAAGCTGGGGTGTGTAACTTTCAAAGCAGACGGCCCTCTCATTCACTTGTCTGTCTGAAAAACTCGATCTGAAGATGTGACATAGGCCAAAAATACATCTATGAGAAAACTAGAGCCAGAACCGAAATTCGAAGTGCGAGGAACTGCAGTGACAAGGATTTGATTATGTTTTTATTCTGCTCATATTCTCTGCCTCTGAAGTAGCCAGGTTATGACAGTACCAACCATCTGTAAATACCTCATGAAAAAGTGCTATACTCCACAAGTGACTTATCCTTGAACCAGGTGCCGTTAAATCTCCAGAGTTTTATTATTGTACTAAATTACCTAAAATTATCCAGTTTGATGTGTGCAAATGTGTGAGCGATCTCATTTTGTCTCTCTCTGTTCTGCTGTAATGTGCAACTCTGACATTGAAAATTTCCCCAATGAGAGATAAATAAAGGTTTATCTTATCTTTTCTTCCATTGTTAATTTTTTTTTGTGGAGTGAAAAGTTACGGACCCCAGCTTTAAGATAAGATCAACCTCGATTTGTCCCGCAGTGAAAGTGGAGATGTCATTGTTGCACATTACTGGAGAATAATCGGAGCACTCAGGTTATAGAACATCAAACAGGATTTTATTATTTATGATCATAGATGTTAAAAAATTAAAATTAAACGAATACAAATTAAAAGGCAATTCTGGAGCTATAATTACAGTTGGTTCAAGAATAAGTCACTTGTGGAGTATACTGTAGTCCGCAGCATCATTGTGAGTTTTTACAGATGTTTGGATTGTACTTTAGCAGCAGAGAATATTGAAGAAGTTGACAAAGACTGGGATTGTGTCTTTAATTCAGACAGAAGACATGTTTTATTGTCGAAAAAAAGTATTGCCTTGTGCATATTGTTATAGATTGATGAGTTTAAAGTAGCAATTTGTAAGATTTTCATGTCAAGTCATCACTAAAGGGACCTACTCTATCAAAAGTCAATAAAACATGCTCTTTTCAGATACTTTTTTAACTGATAATAGTTCAGCCAAGATATTAGAATTTTAAAATTAGTTTAACAGCCCGTTTATCTTATTTTGTTTTAATTTCGATGACCCGCCCTCCATTGTTTAACCAAAAAGTCCGTCAGAAAGTCCATGATCTGGGTTGCCAGAACTCACCACGTCGAGCTTATCTCACTGGTAAAGTAACATGTTGCCGCAGAACAAAAGAAAAGATCTTATGATACTCAAATCATTAAAGCTGCACTAACTGACTTTATTTTTGTATTCATTACGAAAATGCTATCCATGTCCATGTAGTGCATTGGGATATACATCATTTTGAAGAAAAAGTAGCGCAGATTTGTGCTGGCGTGACATTATATTTTAGATCGAGTTTTGATGAAACAAGGAAGAGAATGTGTTTCGGGTCGCGGATTGTGACCAATCACAGCGCACCACTAGCCCCCACTTTCGTGAGAAATCTCCAGGTCCGTTAGCATAGACGGCTGAGTTAGCACAACAAGCCGAGGAGCTAACCTGAAACTTCGTGTGTCTTCGTCACCGGATACTGCTTACACAGCGAAACAGCCATCCAAAAGAAAGTCCCGTTCCTCCGCGCTTCCTGGTTCTATCGTTCTATGGTCACGCCATCCACGTGCAAATCCATATTCGTGTATTATCCATATTGGGAGACACTAACTCCGTCCCAACAGTGGGTGTGTGTGGGGGGGCGATAGCTTCGTGGGTGCGGGGAGGGGAGCAGAAAGAGCGAGGCCAGAGAGTCCACGGCTTCAAAATCCCAAAGTCAGTTAGTGCAGCTTTAATGACAAAGGTGTTGGTTATAAAACTCATGTATATTGAGATATTATGGTCCCAGCTGGATTTGTCTCTGCATATCTGGCAACCTGAGTCAGAGAGCGTGGAAGAGGTTGCAGTTCTACTCTTGGCCAGATTTCTTTTGACATACTGCTCCTTTAACTTTAACTACAGTTGCTTCAAAATGTCATGAAATCTCCAAAATATGACCAGAATAAATAATAGTAACAATGTAATCAGAAATAAAAACTTTTGCTTAACAGTTTTCACCTCTCCTCCACAGCTGTACGAGACCGACAAGCTGCGCATGCTGTACCAACAGATGCGGCACCTGGAGCACGTCTACGGCCCGGACGCCTCCTACTACCAGAACAAGCTGGGGCTGCCCGTGCTCTGCGACCCGGCCGTGGACAAGAAGTGCAAGTTCCTCCCCCCTCCTCCGATCCCCATCAAAGGAAAGCTCCCGGAGCCCCCAGTGACCGCCCCTCCGCCTCCTCTGGCGTCCCAGGCCGACGTCATGTACCTCTGCAACGCCAAAGACCCCATGTGCAAACCCCACGTGGTCTACCTGCCCACTGGGGCCGTTCCCGTGCTGTGTGACCCCCGCTATCACCCCCACTGCACCCCCCAGAAAGCACCCCCGCCCGTCCCCGTCATCCAGCACGTCAAAAAGTCCGCTCCACCTCCTCCACCTCCGCCCATGCTGGTGAAGAAGGTACTCCATCCTGTGCACCTGGTCAAGGGCATGGAGTACGACTGTGACCCGTACTGGGACCCGGACTGCCTGGTGGACAACCCTCCTCGGCCGGTCAAGGGTAAGATCGTGGTGGTGCCTCCTCCCCCGCCTGCTCCCAAAGAGGAGAAGGTGGAGGAGCCGGTGGAGGAGCCAGAACCACCAGCGCCCATGGCCAAGAAGGTTCCCCTGTACCCGTTCCCGTACCAGTACTACTTCCCCAAGGCCTATGACCCCCGGGACGAGCTGTACGACCCGGCCCGCTTCCAGTACCCCCATCCAGCCGACCCTGCGGACCAGCCCTCAGAAGATGCAGAATAGGAAAAGACTCGATTATATAAACAAAACACATGAACAGTTTATGAATATGACGTCATGACAATAGAAAGGTAAAACACTGTGAATATGCTTCTCCATGCACCGTGTCTCTTCAAGGCTTGCTCCACACGTATAAAGATGTTTTTCATGTCAAGTAAAATATTTGAGTCTGAAAATAAAGCCAGTTCCTCTGTGTATTCTGGGCGTTCTTTCAGGCGTCTCCATCGCCTCAGGTCAGACTGCAGTAAAGCAGAAGTGCCGACGTGTACGCCAAGGGTCATTATCCCTGTCCCACTGTGCGTTTAATACCTTTTAAAACTCTGCTCCTCCTACAAGTCTGGGGCTGTAAAAAGCTGCTGTGTGTGCGCCTATATCCCAATTTACAGTCTATGATCCCCACCTCCAGGCGCAGAGCAGCGGGAATCACTTCAAAAGGGCGAAAACTGCAAAACAGACCGACTCCAGACATGAGCCTCAAGCTTCAGCTCCAGTAGAACTACAGCAGCCTGGAGTACTGAGAGTGAAGACCTGGGCAATACTGAGGGTGAAGACATGGGCAATACTGAGGGTGAAGACATGGGCAATACTGAGGGTGAAGACATGGGCAATACTGAGGGTGAAGACATGGGCAATACTGAGGGTGAAGACATGGGCAATACTGAGGGTGAAGACATGGGCAATACTGAGGGTGAAGACATGGGCAATACTGAGAGTGAAAAAATCTAATACAATTCAAATACAAATTGAAAATTGTCCAACAGCTGAAGCCTTTGTGACTACAAATACAATAAAACAAAAAAAAATCTGAATCTTTTTTCCATAATAAAATATATTAAACTTGCAGTACTACAAATACTACAACAGGTAGAAGTACCAAAAGTACTGCAATCTGTCACACCTTTATGAATATTAGAAGTGACAGAACTTCTGGAAATAACTTTTCCAAAAGAGTGGAAAACAAAAAGGTTTCTATTGAAATCAATGGAAATGTTAGAAGTACTGTAAAGTACTTTGATACTGCAAATACTGTAAGACTTAGAAGTAACCTAGTAAAAACCTTTTGATAAAAAGATCAAAAACATTTAAAAAAAAGACTAAACATTCAAAATGTGTAATAAGTAAAAGTACAACTTCAGGTAAAAATATTTAAAATACTACAAAGATACATGTAATATCCCTGATGAGACAAAACCAGGAGTACTAAAAGTTCGCAGACAGTGATGTGATAATAATCAGCCACGAGGCCTGTGAAAAACATATCTTTTAATACAGAGACATTGAATAAAACAGAACAGAGAAAGAGAAGAACAACTCTTTGTATCGTGAGAAAACAGTTGAGTGCTTTTAACAGGAGACGGCGGAGGAGCTACTGTTCTGGTGTCGAGGTGAGATCCTTCACAAAGCTAAAAGAAGAGTCCTCTCATGCGGCGGCCGATGCCCTGCCGGTCGTACAGCACATTGAACTTGTTGATGAACTGGTTCATGCTGTTGCAGGTCTTGGTGATAGTTCCTAAGTACGCCATCAGCCCCACGTCGTTACATTGCTGCAGGGAAAACAACACAGCTATAAACAGTTAGGCTAACGGCAAACGGCTAACGGCTAACAGCTAACAGCAGCCTCGTTAGTGACAGACAGGGTTGCTCCAGGACACAACCATAGACTGTAAATATGAGACAGAATCATGCCTATCTCCGCCGTTCAAACAAATGGGCCAAAAAATTTGCTCTACTGGAGCTATCCAAAATGACAGCAAGTGGTCCCGCCCACAAGAAAATTGCATCTGCGCATGTGTCAGCCGGCGCAGCTCCATTCATTTGAACGAGAGACTTCAAAAATTCACAGCAAGTAAACTAGAGTGGACCAAAAAAATCCACCCCCCTCAGCATTGACACACATGTGGAACGGAGCTTTGGGCCAAGAGCCAACTTTTGGTCCATCCTGTAATATGCTATATGTTAGCATTGGCTAATTCTTATTGTGGGTCCACCCCCATCGGCCCGGGGTGGTATTGCAGAATGTCAGCGCACGTCATTTGGGCCACTTTTGAGCTGGGACCCTCCCCCACTGCTCACAACATCACAATCCATTTATTGTAGAGTGAAAGTTACGTAGCCCGGCTTTAATCGGGAATACAAAAAACTGGTTCCATCTCTAGCTTTGTGTACTTTTCACTTTTTAAGACAGAAAAGTGAAACAGATATAATCAGAAACACAAACGTATGCTACAGTTTTACAAGCATGAGAAAGCTAGGGATAAAGTAACTCTTTTTGGAGCGTGAGGAACTAGTTAGAAGGATTAGATTACTTTTTATTCAAAGTGAGATGACAGAAGCGCATCATTCACTCACTACTTATATATCTTTTTTTAAATTCCTAGTTTGTGACTTTTTATTACTCTTAATGGAAATACAAATAATTCTGGCTCCATTGATTCTTGCTGTTTGAGTACAAAAGTGCAGGAGAAAAACTAATAAAAACGCAAAGGACGTGCTTTTCAGATAGTGGTTCTCAACAGGTGGGTTGCGGAATCCTTTTTAGTCAAATAAACTTAGCAACACTACGAAAACATCCACTGCTGTAAAGGAAGTCTTATAAAAAGAAGTCACAGTTTGATGATTTGATAACTGTTATCGTCTGAAGTTAAATATATCGGTGGCAATGAAAAGGCTGTAGACGGATGCTCTAAAGGCCTCGAAGGACGGGTCAAATGCAGAGGACACATTCCGTTACAGGGACAATAAGGTATAACTTTATTTACTTACTTTCAAGACATAATTCAATTATGGATTTAAAGAAGCTATATCCAATTTTTTTTTTTTTTAAGTAGTTCATTAAAATGCTTATTACTACATACAAGTTGTATTATAATCCGTAATTGAATTGAAAACTTGAGCTCATTGATTCAGTTGTGTATGAATATAGGCCGTAAAAAGTGAGTGAGTAGAGACTTTAGCGTGACGATCGCTTTCCTCCACTCACAGAACGAGGAGCGAACAGGCTGCGTCCTCTAGCCTCTACAGTGCTGCTAAACACAGTAGCATGTTAGCATAAGTGGCTATAACGACACAGAAAAACAGTCCAAACGACAACAGTGAGGAAGAGAAGAGGGAACTAAAGCAAAGTAATGATCAAAGAAGAAATCAAGCCCGGGTGAACTTAGCTAGCTTACATTGTATCCTCTGGAGAGACTTGTCTGGGAGAGACCTGCGGGAGCGCCTCGGACTATCTATGTTCGGACTATCTATGCTCGGACTATCTATGCTCGGACTATCTATGCTCGGACTATCTATGCTCGGACTATCTATGCTCGGACTATCTATGCTCGGACTATCTATGCTCGGACTATCTATGCTCGGACTATCTATGCTCGGACCACATTCGGAGGCGGAACTAGAGGTAATCTTTCATTTATATATTGTGTTAGCAGTGCGTTGCTTTTGTACCATTTCATCAGTGATTGTTGCACAGTTTACAAGAAGTTGCGCTCATGCTAATGTTAGCATACGTATCAGATCACAAAAAAACTAGATGGCTCCGTGGGATGAGAGCGTAGGGGAAATGAGAAGCCCGTGAGCGAGTTGGAGGGCGGTGCTAAACATTCAAACCTTGTAGAAACGGGTATAGCTCCTTTAATCTTTGAATGGGTTTCAAATGACTGTAGGAAGTTTTATACGGACACTTCCCCGTTCTTTGTAGATGGACTGAATGCTTAAAACTGACAACTTTTATAAACAACAAATCCCAATTGAAACCTCACCAGAGCACCAGGCTGGAATCTTAAAGTGGCAGAATATACAGTAGTTTAAGCTTTTAAAACCATGAGTGTCACACCGGTCCTCAAAGGGCCTTGGCTTAAATCATTAGAAATATATTGCATTAGATGAAGCTACACAAGGAATAAGATACAGACAAAAACCTTTTCTTACATCATAGAAATCCGTTTTAAACTTCAACGTGCTGAGGACAGGAAGTCTGTGGCAGAGGGCGTTCGCCTCTCGCAGAATCTCGTGATTAAACGGCACCTCTCCTGCGGCACACACACGAGAGGGGGGTTTAGCACATACATAACACAGTCTGTAATCACGCACACGTGTTCAGGGGCCTCTCGTAAACGCACACATGAGAATAGGAAGCGGCGTCTGGCCAGAACACAGCTGCTTCTCCACACTTATCATACTCTTCCGTCCATAAAAAGTTGTCCTTACCTGTTTCCACAGCTTTAACATACTCTAAAATGATCTTGACTCGACTGTGGAGCATCTTTATTGCACTGTGTTGAGCGATGAGGTGTTCAGCAACTGCAACCAGAGGCAAACACAGCAATTACCCTCTCTGGCCCTTTAGCCTCAGAAATGTGATGGGAAACAGGAAAAGATGGAGCCCTGAAACTTCAGAAGAGATAGAAGAATACTATACTACAATAATATTAGTCCTGGTCTCAGAGAATAGACTTTGGAGCAGCTCTTCTCCGGTCCAAGGTTGTATTGCCGTTTAGTGCCATATGAACCAACACTGAGGATTTACAATGTTCAGATCATAGACTGTATTAATGGACGTAGTCACGCCTATCTCCGCCGTTCAAACAAATGGGCCAAAAATGGTGCTCTACTGGAGCTATCCAAAATGGCTGTGAGTGGTCCCGCCCACAAGAAAATTGTGAAAAAACGCATCTCCGCATGCGTCAGCTGGCGAGAGCTCCATTCATTTGAACGAGAGACTTCAAAAATTCACAACGACTAAACCAGAGTGGTCCAAAAAAAATTCACCCCCTTCAGCATTGACACACATGTGGAACGGAGCTTTGGGCCAAGAACCAACTTTTGGTCCATCCTGTAAAGACGTTTTCGAGAGGTCTAACCGCTGCGCCACCTTGCCGTCCCAGCAGGAGGCCAGTCCCTGTGCTCCTCAGAGTCTGAGATGGTTCTTATGGCTCTAACATGTCACAGATGTGCTTTGGTGCGAGGCCATGGAGAGACTTGTAACAAACAGAGCTGTTTTAAAGGACTGGACTAATGTGATGGTACTTCCTGGTTCCAGTGTATTGTACCTGTAGAGTTCTCTCCGGTTCCAGTGGCCGTCATGCGGGCCACATGGTCCACACCGATCCTCTCTGCTTCTTCTGTGGCCAGAGTGTAGGTCAGCTCAGCAAACAACATGGTCGCCTGTGCACACAAACAAAAACATGACATCAGGGATTCACAAACTCAGAACTGTAACACAAAGGATGAAGAAATGTACCTCGCCGTTAATAATGTCGATCACAGACTCAAACACGCTGACCGGGAGCTGGAGCACAGAAAACAGTTATGAGAAGATGAACTCAGGCTTTTGTTCAGAATGAGGAGGATCTTACATCAGAGTGTTTGGTCATCGGGTTAAGCTTCAGGAACAGAGGGCTCTCGATTATTTCACACACCTGTAAGACAAGAAATACATGAACAAAAGGACTCTCTGTGTGCGTGTGTGTATGTGCGTGTGTGTGTGTGTGTATGTGCGTGTGTGTGTGTGTGTATGTGCGTGTGTGTATGTGCGTGTGTGTGTGTGTGTATGTGCGTGTGTGTGTGTGTGTATGTGCGTGTGTGTGTGTGTATGTGCGTGCGTGTGTGTGTGTATGTGCGTGTGTATGTGCGTGTGTGTGTGTGTGTATGTGCGTGTGTGTGTGTGTGTATGTGCGTGTGTGTGTGTGTATGTGCGTGTGTGTGTGTGTGTGTATGTGCGTGTGTATGTGCGTGTGTGTGTGTGTATGTGCGTGCGTGTGTGCGTGCGTGTGTGCAGCGCGTGTGTACCTGCTTGTGAATGTGGATGTCTGAGGAGTCGGGAGGTCCTCCAGTCGTGTACCAGCCCAGGAACTCCATCTCTTTGAAAACCTGTTTAACTACAGCAACAACACATCAGTGATGAACATTTGACCCAGACCGATGTTTGCCAAAACACAGGGGACTGTGGACCCACTGAGACTGAGTCAAATATCTCTATCATCCATGTCAGTGAAGCTGATCCTGATTGCGCCTTTGATGCTATGGACTATGGATTTACTGGCAGATATCAAAACTAGAACTCCCAGAGCCATCATTTTGAGTGCTCCCATTTTGTACAGTCCAGGAGCAGTCCAGAACTAGTCCAACTTTTCTGAAAAGTGCAGTAAATTAAACCCTTGGTCCTCAAGGGCCTCACTTCGTACTCACCGGTCCATCACATATCACCTCGCCCTGTCCCCTCTATAAACCACACAGTAACATCATCCATGACTCGCCGGCAGCTCGGGGTGCACACTAGGTCCGTGCGCCTGTCCAAACTATCCTCCTACCACGTATGTATCTTGGATCTTTGGATAAGCCAATTATACCAGAGCATGGATCTATTATAATAACTTGTGAACAAAATTGTATCTTGGTTTATGTCAATAAAGCCTGACTTTTTTGGAAAATGATCTTATTTACTTTATTTGTGCATTTATATTTGATCGAAAAATGCATCAGGACTAATACTATACCAATACATTTATGGACCAATGGCTCTATCTGTTTGTTATCATTAACATTCAAATTTCCTGTGTGTGAACTGTTTGATTCTCTGATCTGTGTACGGTGAATCGACAGATTTGTGAAGTCCCCCGAGATATCTACTGTTGTGATTTAGGGCTACACAGAAATAAATGGCAGAGCGGTCAGAGCGTACATTGTTCTTCCTTGGTGTAGTAGTACTCCTTATCGATGTGGACTCTGTCGTCTGTGGTGTGGGACAGCAGCTCAAAGGAGTTCATCACCTCGATGTTTCTCCCCTCCTGCTTTCCAATCAGGGCGCCGATCACTGGGAAACACATACTGATCAGTCCCAATCAGCTAGGCTTATGAGAGAAAACAATAAGATTCATTATTTATCTGGATGGAACAGTGCATTACCTCACATGTCGTGCATCTGTGCAATAATTTGAAATATTGTCAGAATGTGCAATATGGAACCACATGTGTCCAGATGTATACAGTACATGCAACTGTATATTTTTTGCACTTGAATATACAGTATTTTATACGACTATGCGTACAAATCTCATACTTGCTGAAGTTAAAGATTTTATTTTATTTTAGCATAGAGTTATTGTTCCTTTTCTTTGTGCTGTGTGCTCCTCATTACTACTGTTCTGTAACTGGTGATCTCTCAATCTTAATTTTAATAACTGAACAGCTAATGCAATCACATCAGAGAGTAGCTCCACTGTGGGACTAATATATGAACTCTTAATCTAATATTATTGTTGAAAAATACTTGACACAATAGTACCAGTCGCTGACATCGCCTTTATTCTAATACAATACCATTTCCAAATCAAATCAAATACACAACTTTCCCAGGGCATAAGAAGTGGATTTATATTTCCTATCACTGCATAAAGCCTTTATAATGCACTGACATAGGGAGTGCATGGAATTGGCACAATATCTGTATCATTGTACAGATGTATGACATGTGAGGTCAGGTTGGCAGTGTTCATTCGTTTTCATTGTTCATTGTACAGTCTGACAGCAGCAGGGAGGAAAGAGCCTTTGTTCCATCATCTGCATGACTGTAGAGCATGGGTGTCAAGGCCTGGGGTCCAAATTCAGCCCATGAATTCTTATGTTTGATTAGTAATGATGAGACCGTACTGAAGACGACTCACCTTGCATGGGGCGCCCTTCTTGTGACCGTATCCGTATCCAGTGGTCAGAAATGTTGAGAATGACCAGAGGGTGCAGTGCTATAGAGACGCTGCCGGTGAGCCCTGACGCCATCACACTGGGGCTGGCTGCAAGAGGGAACATCAACAATCAATCCAATATTCACCCAGAAGCTGCAGAAATGCAATTGTTTTCATACATGAATGGTTAACTTTGTTCATTATGTTTGCTCACAGTATGACATGCATGGTTCTGATACAAGAAAGAGAAGTAAATAGACCAACACTACAGAACCCCACTTTTAATTTGAATAAATAACAGAAAGAGTCTTGTAAAAGTAAAATGTGAACAAGTCAGTCCACAAGTTAAGACAGAGCCCAGCGAGAAGATTTGGTTATTGTGTGACATTGCTGGACATTGAAATATGCACGTGGTGTGTGTCTGTGTGTGTCTTACCATCATTTGTCACCCAACGATATGACATTTGATGGTCATTCACGCATTATTAATGTATAATGATTATTAAAAGGGTTACTTTTCTTTCTTTCTTTCAGACAATACGTATGCTATAGATATGCCTGCAAGTAATATTATTGTGATTACAGCTAAAAGTAATCACAGTAATATTAGACTCAACATACTATCAGTACTTTGGAAAAAAGAAGAGTACTATCAGTGTTGAATATACTAAACAGTAGGTTGATGCATTCAGTCACTATGGGGAAAAAAATATTCAAAGAAAAAAATGGTTTACACAGTGCAGTAAGTTATTATAATGATCTATTGTCACATGTGATGTTTGGGATTGAGATGGGTCTGATCACAAAGTATAATCACTATTCTTTTCTCATACTTTGTAAACGTAGTCATTGATTAAACTCGCTTGCATCTCGGTGTTAAAAACTGCATTAGAATTGATTGAATATTTTCAAAATGAATAGAGTGATTATGTGACATTGCTGGACATTGAAATATGGCCCTAACTCACGAGATAAACATGTTATGGTAAAACAGCATCATGCACGATTAATGCAAAATAGTATTATCCGTAAATCGGTTTGATTCTGATTCTGATAAGCACAACAAGCTGAGAGAGACAGTAGCTCTGGTAAAGGACTTTCCAGCAACGAAATAGGACACGTCTGTCAAACCCTAGTCACACAAAGCTACACACTCTAAGGCACAATAAAACAGCACTGAGTAAATCCAAGAGGACATGTCATTAGAGTAATTTAGAACACAAACTCGCCTGCCCCGTCCACCTCCATTCCTCCATTACTGGTCGCCATCTTTCCCGCTGGAGTGCGCATGCGTGTTGCAGTTAGCTAACAGGCCGCTAGATGGCGTGGCGTTTGGTTATGGGACGCTCTAAAATCTTGGTATTTCGTCCAGTTTTGTTGATATTTCTTGCTTTGAATGTGTGATTTCAGGACTGTAAACATTGATTATAATAAGGCACACTCAGGTTTAGGTTAGATAAGGTAACTGATTATTTTGTTAGGGTTATAAATGATGATCATCTAAACTCGGCAGGAATGTTGAATGTTTATAATATACATTATATGGGCTGGAGCAAAGAAGCAGAAGTTACACATAAAATTAGGTTGACTTATTCAACATAAAACTATAAATAAGTACACGATTACAAGAGATAATGTGGGACGAAATACCAAGATTTTAGAGAGTGCATATTTTCTCCACTCTTGTGCCTCAAACCTGCCCTGCGTTCTTGGATTGTGATATATAAACAAGCACACAGATATAAAAGTGTATTATTCTATATTTTGTACACGTTCATTTATCAAGCTATTTATATATTTTATCAGGCGGAACTACTCTTTTTGATTATTTGTTTCCGTGGTGTTTTCCTCCTAAGCGCAACCCTTTGTGCACCGGAAAACTATGGTTACATCCGAATTCATAAAATAACGTTCCTTTCTTGTCAGTGCTAATCATTGTATTCTATATAAAATCGGATTATTTGTCAGACACCGCAGGTCCAACTTTGGTCAAATGAAATTTAAGACATTTTATAGACGTTGTTAATGCCGCGTAGCTGAAATGTAATGCCATCGAGGTCATTGTATAGAAGAGGGAAGAGGCCATTGTTTATTATTTCTAATGCAGCCGATTCCCTCAAAGCTTTTGGCAGAGTTCTAAATAAAATGGATGTGTTCAGTGGTTACAATCTCGATTACTTCCCCGAAAACCTCTTAATAGATATATTGTCTTTTCTTGGAGTTCGGGAGCTCGTAAGAGCTGGGAGGTAAGGACTGTTTTGAACTCGGATTCATGAAAGTGTGTAACAATAGCCCGGCTCTGTTGTGTTTGTCATGTGTTGTTCATGTCATATGCTGTTCATGTTATCTGCTGTTGTAGAGTCTGTAAGAGATGGAGGCGCCTGGTGAAAGACCAGAGGCTGTGGAGGGTCGTGGATCTGACAGCGTGGAAAGGAGTGAGTTAAAATGCTTTATTGTGTTTCACTCTGAATGTGTAGTTTAAAGGTACACAAGAGTCACATTTTGTTTTGAAAGACATACTTCGTGACATAAACGCTAAACAAAAACTCAAAAGCACTGAAATGATCACTTGAGTCGATTCCTTTAAATCCATGTCAAAAAGCTTTATTTACAGTTGGTTGGCGATTAATCTAGGAAACGTGTTTAACTATTAGAATCAGAATCAATTTTATTGCCATGTAAGTAACAGGAAGTAACAGACTTGGAAATTGCATTGGCTCAGTGCAACAGTCAAAGAAGAGAGGTAAATAATAGAGGATAGAGATAAACATGAATATTGTAGAATATCATAGAATATTGATAAACATGTGAAACTGTTGCAAAACAAGTGTACCGAACTCAATCTTGTCTGAATTGTTTGTTTTTGTATATGAGTTAAAGGGTGTACAAAAGTGACTAGATTACTCAGTTAATCAAAGGTAATAGTTGATAGATAGCTGCAGCTGTAATATATACCACATTAAGAAGTCCTCATACAAATAAGCATACAAATGTCAAAGACTCCGCTGTCCCCCACATTCATGTTCTGTTCCTTTTAACCTGAAATGGCTCATCTCACTTGTAGGTCACATCTCGGATACTGTGGGTTCTACTCCGCCAATACTTGGGTTGTGGTTTACGGTGCCTCCGGATGCGTGGCTTGCTGCTATCTGCCAGAGGAGGGACGTTTCTGTCTGAGTCCTGGTTAAAAGCTTTGTCCACCAAGTGCCCTCGTTTGAGAAGACTCTGCCTCCTGCACGCTGATCTCCGCAGTCTGCCTTCATGCCAGATTCTTCCTCCATCACTGCAAGTCTTGGAGCTGCGTGGCTGTGAGCTCGCCCGTGGCTTCTTTGAGCAAACGCTGCCAACCACAGCCCCTAACAGTGACTCAGAGGCTGCAACCAGTCGGGACAGAGCTGGGAAAGCTCCAGCTCTGTCTGGAATCACTATTGAGAGTTTGATTCTTAACAATGTGCCATCGTTTACAGACCAGCACCTTCAGAGTTTGACGTCATGGCAAAAACTTAGCCACTTGGAGTTGCGTGACACATTTAGAATAACAGCAAATGGTTTGAGAAACTGCGCTGCCAAAGACGGTGTGTCTGGTTTGGAAGGGCTTTTCAGGCTTAAGAGTTTGGAGTTGGGCATCACCGGTCGACAGGGCTATCACCTGCAGATGGCCTCTCTGGGTTTAGGGTCAGGTTGGCTGGGCCTGGAGCAGCTGAGTCTGGGAGGTAAAGAAGTGGGGCCCGGTCTGCTCTGTGCCAGTCGGCTGAAAGACTTGAAACACTTGTGTCTCTGGTCTTGCTCTTTATGTAATTTACAAATCTGTAAAAGCTGCCGAATGCTCCGAGGGCTGCGGCGCCTTGAGTTTTTAGACGTGGTTTTCCAGCCTCGCCAGTGTCCGTCAGAGGAGGGCAATGCTGAAGAGGAGCAGGATGGAGAGGAGGCCGCGAGTGACGACAGCGGCACCAATGAAAATCGCAAAATGGAAGTCGTGGATCCTATTCCCAGTTTGCGGCGCACTCTGGGGACTATGCTTCCATCCTGCACTCTGGTTTTCACCAATTGCTCAGTTCAGAGCAGCGCAGAATAAAGGCTCGCGTTCATATTTTAATATAACAATGACATCAAACTAAAGGTTGTACTTTCACAAATTCTGAGGCAACGCGATGGTAAAATTAAATCTTACACGGCTTTAAACAACGCTTGAGTTGTGTGGTCCTTTGTGTTTTATTTATTACGTTTCATTTTTGTTTTTTATGTATATATCATTAGTGTTTTAGTGTTGTTATTTTATTTTTATTGGTTTTATTCCATCTTAATGTTTTATTTGTTCATTTATTTTCATATACGTAAAGCTGGCAGGCCTGTATTTTTAAATGTGTTGCATTTATCTCGTTGCAGCACTTTGCAAACTAGACTGCTCTATAAAAACAGAGACTTGGATCAAAAGGCCCCCGCTGCCCAAAAGAGGGGGCAAAACCTAATATTGTATTGAATATGGTCAATGAGAGCGTGCCCTTTGAATAACATGGGAACTTTCACGCATCTTCAATTCAATTTATCTTTGTATCACAACAGTAGTTATCTACTAAGCTGTTGATTTGCCAACAACAGATCAGAGAATCAAACAGTTCAAACCCAGGGAATACAATGATGAAAAAAACCCTACATAGAACCATCGAATGACCCTTTTCTATAAATGTTAAGAGATGTCCTTAAATGTTGTTGAATGTCAAATGTCCCGGATCATCTCCACTGTCCCTCCTGCGTCTGTCACCGGAGAATGATCCAAATCCTGCTGCTAACTTTTGATGATGTGGAGTCACTTTGGCCTGTCAGCATCGCCACAGCAACACAGTGAAAGTTCTCGTCTCATTTGCTCTTTGAATCAGGATCCCAGAACAGAATAAAAAAAAAACGAATTTATTTGCTCCCTGTGTAAGAAGTTTAGATGTTTAGATGGTGTGGAGCGATTTTTGAAGTATTTTTAGGCCCTATGCCCTGTTTGGGCTCAGGCCTATGATTAAACATGGAAATGACTCATTTTGTTCCTTAAACCCTGACATGGATGTATGATTGTCTTGTTAGCTGCTGCCCCTATTTTAATAGATCACAGTCCCATTTCATTGTATAATAAATCATTATAAAAGACAAATCTAAGCTCATAGTCTGTTGTGAGGTGTCTTTGACCTTAGAAATGGGGAATAATAATCTATTTTGAAGTGTGTTTTACTATTTATTGTCATGTAAAATGGACTGTACATTAAAGATTGAGTATAGGATGACCAGATGCTCTGACCAGCCAGATCCTTCTACATGTGATTGAAAATATTATAATCCATTCTTGGATGTTTGTGTATCATGAGAACCGGTTGTTTCTGTTTCTGTTTAAATGTAAAAACCCTTACACACACGGGAAGGTTCATGAATGTATCCAATCACTGTTCATTCATGTTACTCAGCTGAGTTTGTATGAAATCTTGATAATAATAAGACCTTCTGCCAGTGCGTTTCCATAATTATTGCCAAACACAACAGAATATGACATGTTCTGCTGCTGTTGAGGATCAAGGGTCTAAAATGTAGTCATATTCTACTATACTAATTTTATGGTTATGGATTAATTGGGGATTAGAACTAGTAATAATCTACGCCTGGTCACCCTCCACGTAACTATTAGTATTTCATTTATGCTACTTAATAATAATAACAATAGTAAATAAAACTTATATAAAGCTTTTTTGGACATTCAAAAACGCTTTGCAAAACATAAACATTGAATAACAAAATTAAGGAAAGGCAAGCTGAAACAGATGGGATTTAAAAAGTGATTTCAAGTTCTGCAGTGAGTTGGCGTGTCTGATTATTTGTGGGAGTGAGTTCCAGAGAGTGGGGGAGGTGAAGGCTTTTGTACTTGTTCACAAAAATATGACAATCTGATGTATACAAATCAAACTGCAGAATGCTATTGGTTTATTCTCCATGTGGTTCCATAGACATGTGCCATATACACTTACACATTTGGTGAATATTATTTTCATCATCAGAAACAAACCTAGACAACACCAGATCGGACATTCGTAATCTGGACCAAATACACAGAAACAATCATGAGTAGCAGGATTACTATTGCAACAACACATCATCAGTCGGGTAAAACCTGTCCCACGACGGTCTAAGCTCAGCTCACGTTCCCTGGTGGGTGAACAATCCTACACTTGGTGAATTCTGCTTCACAATGATAGGATGTACTTTGAAATCATTTTACACATGTTTCATGAGAACAATCCCATGTCATTTGTGTTAAGATTAAGATGTGATTCCTTTATTCGTCCTACAGTGGAGAAATTTCAGTGTTCAGTGTTTCAAGTTACAGAACAGTAGGAATGAGGAGGACACAGCATAAAAGAACAATAACAAAACTTTACTAATTAAGATCAAATAAAATAATATCATTTCAAAATAGTTTTATAGCTTTAGCTTTTATGTATTTACTTTAACAAATCTGCACACCATGTTCAGCTGGCTGGGAACGCCTCAGGATTCCCCTGGATGAGCTGGAGGAAGTGTGTGTGGAAAGGGACGTCTGAACGTCTGCTTAGATGGCTGCCCCTGTGATCCAGCAATGGATAAAGCAGAAGAAAATGGACGGATGGACGTTTTGTTTTCCAAAATTTTGAAATCCACTTTTAATGCCTTGTGTGATTTTAATGTTTGTTTTTAATAGTCTGTGTGATGTTAATGGATGTTTTAATGCCCTGTTTTTAATGTTTAGGATTTATGACTATGTGATGTGTGTTTGCTTGTGTAGCGTTCTACTGATTTATTGAAAAGTTCTGTGACTTCAGGAGATGCTGAAATCAAAGTTATAACACTGCGATTGGGTTCCTAATTTTACAGGTTTGTCGCCACCATGTGGTGAAAACTGAATTTTCCAAGTATGCAACATTTTCGTAGTCTCCACTCGGCCTGTCATGTAATAATTACCTCTGCTCAGGAGGTAAAGTGATCACTGGTGTTTGTCTGTTTATTTCTTTGTCTATCAAAAAGTTATGGAAGGATTTGTGCAATGAGGTGAAGGTGATCTGCATCGCCTTATGGAGAGGATTAAAATACTTTTCATTTGGCCTTGTATAGTAGGCAAATTTTAGCTACTATTTTCTGAAACATTTTTTTTTTACTGAAAATGATTTGAATAATATTGCTTACTTGTGTATTTACTCTGCTCAGCCTCAGGCCTACTCATTCACTTCAATTCAACTAATTTTGTTTTAGTTCATTTTTTAAATTTGTAGCAAAATACAACTTTCCGAACGTTTTTAAAGTGTTATTTAATTTGCACTAGTAATAAAATACATATTATCGTAACCACATTAATTGTTTTTACATCACATGTTCTTTGATCAGTTATGATGACATGGATTGAAAGTATCAAATTTGTTATAAACGCTTCTAAAAGTAATAATGATATCAAATAAAAGTGGTAATTTTTCCGTATTTATTTCCGTGCGGTGTTGTTTCGACCAATCACCTGTCATCTGTGTGAGTCGTTTGGCCAATGAGAAGACAGGATTCCTGAGCTTTCAGCCAATGGCGCTCGGGTTCTGCGTTTGAATGCAGTAGCGGCAGAGACTCAAGCGCACTCTTCACTTCTGTGGTTTCTCTGCTTCCTCTCGGCATCATGCAGGTTTGTGATCAGTACTGTCGTTTTTATTTTCTGCTTTTACGCTGATCTCGGACAGACAAACGCACACATTGGCCGGGCAGTGTTCCCATTCCGCTTCGTTGGCTGCAGTGAGACTATTACAAAGCGTTAGCCTGCTGCTGTTAGCCTGCTGTTGTTAGCACAGATGCTAACGTTTGTCAAAAGGACACTGCTTTAGTGTTGTCATGATGTTAGCATTTTAAAAGCCTTTTCCGGTACCATCATGCAATTATTATTATTTTCGTTGCAAGTATTGTTAACATCCGTAATATTTCATGGGAGTTGCCATAATGTTGAATCCAAGTGAGGAATGTGGGGAATATGTTTTCTGATAAATTCTCCACTAATCTTAATTGTGGGGGAGACTTTCTGAATCACTTCAACTTTTAGAGCAGATTCCAAGTCCAATTAAATTAGCTAATTTTAGAATGATCCATTTAATTGTTTTGTTTATGAATGCATTGTGTCTACTCTGACAATGTTCAAATTTGTCTTCAAGCTTTTTAATGTACTGTGATTATTTATTTTAATCTGTGTGGTTTTAGTGCATGTTTTTCTTGTTTTTGTGTTGTGAAGTACTTACATATTCTTCATACGCTTGTTTAACTATACCGTGGTTCTGATGTACAATTCATGTAGTACTGGGTAACTTAGAATATTGTTCAGAATGTCAATCATACTCCTGTAATTCAACTTACAATGTGAAACTAATGTAAGACAGACTCCTTACATGCAAAGTGAGACAAATCAAGCACCCTTTTTTAAATATTTATATGTATCATAAACATTTTCACAAACACTGTTGTCACATCATATATTGTGTTCACATTTTTAAAGGAGGGCGACAGTAGCTCAGTTGGTAGAGCATTGGCCTTAAGCCCAGAAGGTTGTGGGTTCAATTCCCACCTCTGCACCTTCTCCACCGACTCCCACTGATGACTGCTGTCGTTGTGTCCTTGGGCAAGACACTTAACCCCACTTTGCCCAAAGCCCCCACTGAAAGATCAAGGCTATGCTCACACTCAGAGAGCAGCCGTCCTCCTGTGGACTCACCACCTGCAGAGGGTCGGTGAGGGGCTGGTGCTATGAGACTTGGGTGGCATCTCTGATTGCCACCCCCCTGACCCAGAAATGGATTAAAGGGTAGAAAATGGATGGATGGATGGATTTTTAAAGGAGTCACAGTAGTAATGTCCTGCTCTGACATGTACAATGACTCTTTGGGAAACACTGAAATGTAGCTGATCATTTTATACTCTTATTTCTACAGAACAAAGAAAATTATGAGCCCAGGGGATTCCAAAGACCAGTAAGTTTTAATGTTGTGTTTTTGTTCAAGAGGCGAGTATTGTTTACAACTGCTTATCAGTCTTTGTTATCATTAGATGGCAACTCCTAACATTGGGGGTCCCCAGCGTGTTACAGTCGCCAAACCCAGAGCAGAAACCTCATCCAGTTCTGTCGCAAGGTACAACTTCACACAGCATTTTACACGGTTTACAGGTGAACGAAAGTAAGAAAAGTGAGAAATCTTTTTATGCATTTATAACCAAAATCACATGGGAAAGTGTATGGCTTACTTTGCATCACTACTGGAGTTTACTTAATTCTACTTTAAGGATTTCACTTTCTCAAACATGAACTGGTGGAAGTAAATACAGAAGAATATAGAGGGTGCCAAAAATTATCCATAATATTTCTTTAACTAAAAAAAATGGCAGACTCAGTCACTGTTGATTTTGCATGTAGTAACAAGTGTAACTGTCCTTTGCAGAAAAGTTACTATAGATGACTTTGACATTGGTCGGCCTCTGGGAAAAGGCAAGTTTGGAAACGTTTACTTGGCTCGAGTCAGAAAGCTCGAGGCCATCGTGGCGCTGAAAGTGCTTTTCAAATCTCAAATGGAGAAGGAGGGAGTGGAGCATCAGCTGAGGAGAGAGATTGAGATTCAGGCCCATCTCAAGTAAGTCTCTTTTATTTCTCGTTTACTAATATAGATTTATTAAAATGGATGATTCTAGCGTCAGTGCTTATTATTATTATTTTTTTCAGACACCCAAACATCCTCCGCTTCTACAACTACTTCCACGATCGCAAAAGGGTGTTTTTGGTGCTGGAGTATGCACCGCGCGGAGAGATGTACAAAGAGTTGCAAAGATGTGGGAGGTTCGACGACCTCCGCGCGGCCACTGTGAGTTTAGATCAGTGCTCTTAGGCCTAGCGTACATGGACAGAGTGACTGGAGACAACTAGTTGCAAGGCGGCTTTTGGCAACTGAGAGTAGATGATGGAGATGATCAGTTGCCGAAATCGGTCGATGTGAGCGCTCTTACAACTGGAGATAAACAGTCGATCTCCGGATTCAGTCAGTTGCCCGTGTTCTACTTTTCGGCAACTAGTTGTACTCAGATCCGGAGATATCACCCGATGTGCGCGCTCCAACATGTGTTAAGAGCGTTATCATGTGACGTATTGCGTCCTCTACAGTTTATGTCAGAAAACACACTGTAGTTGAGGCCAGTTGCTGTCGATGTACGCGCTGTTATTCCCGAGACTGGTCTGCTACTAGGAGTTTCCCGTTTTCGCCACATTGTCGATGTGTTCTAGGCAGCAACTCATAGGCGACGGATATAATCAGTTGCCAGTCCGATGTACGCTAGGCATTACAGTGGATTGTGTCAAGCTAACCTCAAACTTCCTTCGTTCTTTTTAGTACATGGAGGAAATTTCTGACGCGCTCCTCTACTGTCACGAAAGAAAAGTCATTCATCGTGACATCAAACCAGAGAACCTGCTCCTGGGCTATCGCGGAGAGCTGAAGATTGCAGATTTTGGCTGGTCTGTTCACGCGCCGTCACTCAGGTACAGGAAAAGTAGTGTGTGTTTGTTAGAGGGAGTCTTCTGAGCTCAGTTGGTAAAAAGTTCAAGAGCGTGACTTGAGTTGGTTGATTCAAAGCCTCAGTCCTCTTTCATGACTTAATTACTTGTTGCTTAACACACTCAGCTATGAATTCATATAATGGAAAGTGCATGCAGACTCGTATAAAGATGGAGTGTGAAAAAAAAAATAAAAAAACTTATACAATCAATGTTGTCGACCAACAATTTCACATAATGCATACATAATTTTAATAAAAGACATTTTCGAGAAATTGACCTCTGAGGGATTTATCTAAGAGCCTATTGAGGCTTGAAAGTTGGGCTGTAGCAGTTAATCTATTACTAAAACCTTACCTTACATAGACATTTGCCGAGATGAGGTTTTATGACGATAGGATGAAATGAATGTGTTTACAAAGCATTTTTAATCCAACAACTCGTAACAGTCGTCTCTAAGCAGATGTCCTCCAGGGGAAACCATAAAGCTTTGTTTTGGTCACATGTAAAGAGCTCCTTATGCACTGACTTTTCAGGATCTCAACAACAAATGATCAATCAAAAGAATCTGCCACTAATCTTCACAATAATCCTTAATTACAGCCCTAATTGAAAGAATTACAGCTGGATTAATAATTTTTTTTGTGTTTTCAATAGTTTGCATTTCTTATTTGGCTGAAAGTCCCTCTTGATTGTATTTGTAATCTGGTTGTTTTCAGGCGTCGTACCATGTGTGGCACGCTGGACTATCTTCCTCCTGAAATGATCGAAGGCCACACTCACAGTGAGAAGGTGGACTTATGGTGTATCGGAGTTCTCTGCTACGAATGTTTGGTTGGAAACCCGCCCTTCGAGACCGCGAGTCACTCGGAAACGTACAAAAGAATCACAAAGGTGGGTTTGAACACGTGTTTATTTAACTCTTGGACTCTCAGCACTCACTAACTTTTACTAAGTGCAAAAACTGGTGAAAATAACTCAAAGCAGCCAAAACAGTTTGGTGAAAGGCTAAATGCTAACTGCTGATAGTAACGTGTTGCTATGGTAACCAGTTCTGGCTCTTTTCAAGCTTGTACACTGCCAGAACATCATAAGTCTCTCCTGACAGACTCCAAAGCTGCACTGTTTGGCTATTACCATAATAGTTTCAATTCAATGTATTCTTGTATTGCCCTAAATCACAACAGTAGTTATCTCTGAGGACTTTGAAATGATGTTAAAGCCCATGATTGGTTGGACGACTAATTTCACTAAAGCTATAGTAGTAGTAGTAGTAGTAGCATGTGTTAAAGGTTGAAATCATAGACTGTAAATATTAATGGACGTAGTCACGCCTATCTCCGGCGTTCTAACTAATGGGCCAAAAATTGGGCTCTCATTGAGTGATTCAAAATGGCCGCAGGGGCTGGAAAATGTGAAAAAATGCATCTGCGCATGCGTCGGCCGGCGCAAGCTCCATTTATTTAAACGAGTGACTTCAAAAATTCACAGCAAGTAAACTAGAGTGGTCCAAAAAAATCCACCACCCTCAGCATTGACACACATGTGGAACGGAGCTTTGGGCCAAGAGCCAACTTTTGGACCATCCTGTAAAGACGTTTGAGAGGTCTGCCAATGCTATATGTTAGCACGTCATTTTGGCCACTTTTGAGCCGGGACCCGCCTCCACTGGCGCTGACATGCTTGCTCGAAAAACGTCTTTCCAGGATGGTCCAAAAGTTGGTTCTTGGCCCAAAGCTCCGTTCCACACGTGTGTCAATGCTGAGGGGAGTGAATTTTTGTGGACCAGTCTAGTTTAATTTATTGTGAATTTTAAGTCTCGTTCAAATAAATGGAGCTCTCGCCGGCCGACGCAGGTGCGTTTTTTCGCAATTTTCTTGTGGGCGGGACCACTCGTGGCCATTTTGGATAGCTCCAGTAGAGCACTATTTTTGGCCCATTAGTTTGAACGGTGGAGATAGGCATGACTACGTATAGACATTAATATTTACAGTCTATGGTCAGCGCACGTCATTTTGGCCAGCCCCAACTGGTTGAAATTTGAAGTTTTCTCTAAGTTTTGTAGTTTATAATGGGTCTTCCTAGTCATAATAGACATAGACATCATCTGCAGATGATCCATAAATGTATTTTTATCTTTTTAGGTGGATTTGAAGTTTCCAACAATTGTCTCAGATGGCGCTAAAGACTTAATTTCAAAGCTGCTCCGACACAACCCGATCGATCGTCTCCCGCTTCAACGTGTCATCGATCACCCTTGGGTCAAAGCCAACTCCCGGCGAGTGTTGCCTCCCATCTGCCCGACCGAAAGCTCTGGAAGCGACTGATCCACAGACGACTACTGTCATTGTTTTCACATCTTGTCTTTGGTTCGTCATGCTTTGATGTCCATGTCTTTTTTTTATGTACATTATTCTTTTAACTGAATGTAGTTTTTTTTTCTGGTGCCTCAAGCTTTTAATCAAATCTTTTTATGTTTTATAATTTTCCTTGCTCGTTCATTAAACTTATACATATTTAAATGGCTTCAATTGTTAATTATTCAGACGGTAAATAGATTTTTTAGCATTAATGTTTATTACATAATTCCAGTGGAATAATATATAATATATATATATTATATTATATATATATATATATATATACACATTATATATATTATATATAATATCTATATATATATAATGTATATATATATATATCTTATATAATATATAATTTTTTATATATAATTTTTTTTTTAACTAATGGAAATGCCAACTTAACACAAAGCCAGAGCAAGATTACGAGGAGCGTGTGACAAAGTGTTTTGGACAGTTACTCCGGCCACAAAATTTCAATATTCTCTCAAAGGAGGGACCTGTAGAACCATAGGTGGAAGCTGGGGAACTAGCCTGGTCTTTCCACACCATTGTACTGATTTAATTTTGTACATGTAGAGAAATGATAATTGGAGTTTACGGATGGCTAAGGCCAGGCTGGGGGATCACATGGTTCATCTAAGAAGAGGAATGCAAGAAGAGTTTTCCAAGGTTTTATGAATTTCATTGTGTCCATGCAACATTGTCAATGATGTCAGTGACCTTTGAACTTCAGTATTATATACATTCATAATATCTCTTAGGCTCATCCAGGAATATTATTAATATTCTTAATATGGTTGGTCAACAATAAAGATTTATAATTAAGCTGCTAGCTTTATTCATCCATTTTCTTCCCCTTAATCCATTTCTGGGTTTAATATATATTTATAAATGTATTGACAAACTTAATTTATGTCATGAATACTTACACACAGACATGTGCTCATAATTAGAATTTTACATATTTTCACACACTCGCTTTCTACTGGTGACAGCACAAGAACCGTTCTAAACAAAGACGATGTTCATATAATTACAGTATTAACAATCACACATTTGACTTTATTTACAGGGAGAGGTCCGTAGGCCTTACTGCTCCAAACCACTGCTGTTTGGTGAGGGATTCAAAGTTTGGGTAGTAAACTTCGTCATGCCACTAGCCGTGGTCAGTTTCAGCCGTTCAGAACTGTCGATTTCTTACACGTCTTGGCCGCCACAGTCCGGTAGGCCCGATGTCACTGTAGGAGGAGGTGGAGGAGCACCAGGACTCTGTGGCACGGACACAAACAGTAATGTACTCTACGCCCTGTAGAGAAGAGAAAAGCACAGGAGGACACTGCAGAGATGGTCTGAAGACCAGAGGAGGAGGCAGAGCTGGTGTTGCTGGTGCAGGTTCTCTGTCAGCTGTTTTAGTTTACATTGAGTTCTATGGGACAATTTCTCTAGGTAGCCAACATGAATTTAGTCTACAGTACCGTGGGCGCCCCCTGTACCCATTGATGGGACAGCTATAAGCTAGTAATATCCTGTCCAAATAGTATCATAGATCCATGATGACAAGGGACACCAACATCCCGTTATTATGGATCCATGCAACATCCCCACAAAATCATAGTTTTGTGAAAGCTGTAGGATCTGCCAGCTGAGGACTAGCTGTTATAGTTCACATTGGGGTCCATGGGAAGATTATCCTGTACAGCCCATGGAGAAAAAAAAAGAAAAAAGGAGGAATACAGTGGGGCAAAAAAGAATTTAGTCAGCCACCGATTGTGCAAGTTCTCCCACTTGAAATAATGACAGGTCTGTAATTTTCATCATAGGTACACTTCAACTGTGAGAGACAGAATGTGATTAAAAAAATCCAGGAATTCACATTGTAGGATTTTTAAAGAATTTATTTGTAAATTATGGTGGAAAATAAGTATTTGGTCACTTCAAACAAGGAAGATCTCTGGCTCTCACAGACCTGTATTAATGGCACCTGTTTGAACTGGTTATCTGCATAAAAGACACCTGTCCACAGCCTCAAACAGTCAGACTCCAAACTCCACTATGGCAAAGACCAAAGAGCTGTCGAAGGACACCAGGAAAAGAGTTGTAGACCTGTACCAGACTGGGAAGAGTGAATCTACAATAGGTAAGCAGCTTGTGTGAACAAATCAACTGTGGGAGCAATTCTCAGAAAATGGAAGACATACAAGACCACTGATAATCTCCCTCGATCTGGGGCTCCACGCAAGATCTCATCCCGTGGGGTCAAAATGATCATGAGAACGGTGATCAAAAATCCCAGAACCACACGGGGGGACCTGGTGAATGACCTCCAGAGAGCTGGGACCAAAGTAACAAAGGTTACCATCAGTAACACACTACGACGACAGGGAATCAAATCCTGCAGTGCCAGACGTGTCCCCCTGCTGAAGCCAGTGCATGTCCAGGCCCGTCTGAAGTTTGCCAGAGAGCACATGGATGATACAGCAGAGGATTGGGAGAATGTCATGTGGTCAGATGAAACCAAAGTTGAATTGTTTGATATAAACTCAACTCGTTGTGTTTGGAGGAAGAAGAATACTGAGTTGCATCCCAAGAACACCATACCTACTGTGAAGCATGGGGGTGGAAACGTCATGCTTTGGGGCTGTTTTTCTGCTAAGGGGACAGGACGACTGATCCGTGTTAAGGGTTAGGGTTGAATGAATGGGGCCATGTATCGTGAGATTTTGAGCCAAAACCTCCTTCCATCAGTGAGAGCTTTGAAGATGAAACGTGGCTGGGTCTTCCAGCATGACAATGATTCCAAACACACCGCCCGGGCAACGAAGGAGGGGCTCCGTAAGAAGCATTTGAAAGTCCTGGAGTGGCCTAGCCAGTCTCCAGACCTCAACCCCATTGAAAATCTGTGGAGGGAGTTGAAAGTCTGTGTTCACCGCTCTCGAGAAGATCTGCATGGAGGAATGGGCCAAAATACCAGCTACTGTGTGTGCAAACCTGGTAAAGACCTATAGTAATCGTTTGACCTCTGTTAGTGCCAACAAAGTACAATACATACAAGTACAAACATTTTTGAAATTTTGTTATTAACCAAATACTTATTTTCCACCATAATCTACAAATAAATTCTTTAAAAATCCTACAAGATTTTTTTTTTCACATTCTGTCTCTCACAGTGGAAGTGTACCTATGATGAAAATAACAGACCTCTGTGCAAGTTCTCCCACTTAAAATAATGACAATCGATGGCTGACTAAATACTTTTTTGCCCCACTGTATGTACGCGACAAAAAAATGTGTTCTCAATTATTTCCATTGTTTACACTCATTTCAGCACTTAAATGCAGCAAAATGTATTATCCCTTCAATTTAAAGTAACACATCACTTTGGACGTTCTTATGGTCCACCAGCAAATCAAAACAATGTATTAACAGTGTATAACTGAGTGTGGATAAGATCAATTTGAGCGTGTTGGGTTTTGTGAATAAATCTAAAGTAATTCTTGCTTCAATTGATCAATCAGTACCTTGTTTTTTAAAAACGAGAAGACTAATCTTGGTTTAAAATAGGTCCGTGTACTTTTGAGTTCAATACATTTTCTATTTTTGAAGGGAAATGGAAAATCAAAAAAGGCTATTTTGCACTTTCAGGCACACAGCAATACACAAAAATGACCATTTTGGTTTTTTTCATTGCTTATAAGACATGTATATTATAATAATCGGATTTGGGAGCTGGAAAATGCAATAATTAACTTTTTTTATTATGTATTAAATACAAGTTTATTTACTTCAGCCCTAGTCGCACGGAATTAGTATTAACTGTGGACTTAGTGATAATCATGGAGTACGTCTGAGATCTTGCAGTGCATTCACACGGGATAAGCAATGCCTGTAAATTATTATATTTCTCTCCGCTTCACGCAGCCAATGGAGTCTGACCACAGCTGCCACAGAGACCATGAAGACAAACACATAAATGTGGCTTTTACTGCTCTACAGTTCTCTGGCACGTACTGTCTGCAATGTTTAACAATACTGTTTGTATGGACGACCTCTGAACGCGCCAAATACTCTGCTAACATACGCGCGAGCCGACAAGCAGTAACGGCCCAGTGACAGATGCAGAAACACTTCTGTACTGTATTAGGACAGAGTGACAAAGTAAACGTACAAATGCAACCCATCGGTCTGATCATTTAGTGTCAGTGAACCCATTACACTGTCCTCTACACTTCTCCATAGACCTCACAGAGACAGCAGCAGCCGTGACTCCAACAGCCGCGATACGCTGCTCCTCTGCTCGTTAACAAAAAATAACGCAGAAAGTAAAGCGAAAGCGGCAATAGAGATCACAATCACTGACATGCAGATTCGCACGGGATTATTATTTTCAGAGGCCTTCTGTGTTTGGACAAATACAGGAGGTAATTTGCGGCGGAATTATGACTTTACAAATTACAGACATGGCACATTCGCACGGGACTAAGATCTCAGACATCGTCCGTGATTATCAGAAATAACCAGGGGACTAAAAAATGTGAAAAAACGCATCTGCGGTCACTGTAGTAGAGGTGGAGTAGCCGCTGGGTGGAGCAGGACGGGTCACAAGATGGAGTAGCTGCTTGGTTTGGACCATTTTCTCTGCTCTGAATGCTTTTGGGTCCTACTATTTGCACTGTGACACTGCAAAAATGTTGCATATGAATGTCCACTGGTGGTCGCATATGAACCTTAAAGTTTGCAGAATTCTTGTTAACTGTACGGTTTGAAAGAAATGCCACTTATTCACATAGTACATGATACAAATCGCTTTAAACATAGCTCATGTTAATTTTATATAAGTGAAAACTAGGGCTGTCAAATGATTACATTTTTTAGTTGATTAATCGCGTAGTAATGGTAAGTTTACTCACGATAAATCACATTTTTTACATTCTATTTCAAATCCACTCCAATTGGAGTTAAATGAG